ATGAAATACAGAAATTACTACCACAACACGCCATTCCGCTGTCATCGACAGAAGTCCCTACCTGCAGGATCCATTTTCAGCCATGGCAATGTTAACCTAGACCAGCTATGACATAACTCCCGTCGATATCCTTCACGATGTCTCAGCTCATATGTGCCAAGGCAGTTTGATTTGTGAAATATAAGGTCGCTTTGACATGAGGCGCTGGCCAGTGCGGTGCCGACAAGTTCAAAAGCAACGTTTTCTTTCGGTGATCAACTCCACGACAGGGACGAATGCCACGCACCGAGGCCCGCTCCCCATCTCACTCATGCCGAAATAGGCGTCAAAAAAATACTAAACCGTACCTGTCAGCTATTGCGACTGGGGGGCACCATCTCGCCCAGTGACATGACGAAAGCAATTAACCTTAAGGCTGGCCATCCCACCACTTAGCTCGGCTATTCGGTTACCGTAGCAGTCGATCAACCCTGAGAAGTCTTTAGAGTTCCCCTGGTTTCTAGAAACCAGGCCTGATACATAACAAGAAGCACCTATTGGTTACACGAAGGCTGCTGAGTGGTCGGTTCACAAGCCGACTGACGTTTACCCTCTGCCCAGATCCTCTGAGATCTCGCATCGTAACGTTGCTGCACCAGTGAGCGCGAAGTTCGACTCGCAATATGCCAGGGATAGTGATAATTCACGTCCAGCAGGCATGGGGCGGATTGGGGTCCGTCAACCAACGAAATAGCTACATATAATATGTTCACATACAGGAACGAATCACGATATAGGAATATCACATTAATGTGAAGCATATATGTAGGTACCTATGTATATGCATCTACCGAAACATGTCGATATTATACTTGCCGACTTCGAACAATTCAAACACTTCCCCAGACTCGATGCCACCCAAAACAAACGAGGGTAGGCAGTTAGTCGCAAATCGCTTAGGCAAGTATAAGCGAAATTCTTACATGCGCACAAAGAGTTGGAATTGTTGCTCGGGCAGATATGTTCTGATCAGGTGAACTACTACCGAATTAAAAGAAAAGGGGGGGAAATATCATAGAGGTGGAGCAGGCATTATGTGAGCCTCATGACGTGGAAGGACCCCGTTTCTGAACGCCTCTGTCTTTCACCGAAATGGGGGCGGCCCGCCACACGGAAAGGGTCTCCTTGTCGTCGCTCCCATGCATTTACACACTGGCACGAACAAGGAGGACCCTTGATTCAAGAAGCATAACCAACAGCCATCCCCCTATATCGAAGGCCGCCTAGGCCTTCTTGATCTATGAGGCATTCGTGGACATAGCTAAGCTAAGCTGTCGACTATGGATTAAGCTAGCGGCAATGGAAACGCCCCAACGAACGCCAGGTCTCATCTGCACCTGCTTGTTTGCCTACCTACCTACCTAGTACCTAGCGCTGCCCGTACTACCTGACGAATGACATCTTCCCAATATGAACCCATAGCTTAATTCCGACTTCATAGGGGAAGAAGAAATATGCAAGAAAAACCAAGAGACTGCGAAAAAAAAAGCAAAGCGATTACTAATCGGCCCAAGCATGGGTAGGTACTAGGGTTCTGCATTATACGTATAATGAGGGCACTATACGGTATAATATTATACACCCCACATTATACCATTATACCCATACTAAAGGTGTATAATAAACGGTATAATGTGGTATCGAGGCCAAAAACTTCCACTAATCGACGATTTTCTCCCTTTTCTAATACATACGATGCCTCAATTGATCAAAGGATATCTATTAAGTACGATCTCTAATTCAGTTCTTTCTGAACGCGCTTTCTGGGCGCAGAATTACTATATACAGGACTTTCCAAGTGATCGACAAGATTAGATCAAAACTAACAAGCTAGGTAGGTACCTACGTACAAACGCGCCTTCTAAATCTCTTTGAATTCTACCGATGAATAAATCGATCGCATGGAATAAGAAAGCTATAGACAATTACTAGATCACTTGAGAATTGAATAGGGTTGTTTCAGATTTGTATCTATTTTTTTCGAGGTTGTATAATTTCTTTAATAATTAGGGTGGTTGATTGAAACATTTGAAGCTATTTTGAAATAAAATTGTATGTGATATATGAATAACCCCTGTATATGTGGAGTATATATGGGGCCGAAAGGTTTCTCCGTTCCGTTATACGTATAATAGAATCATTATGCGGTATTGGTATAATACATTATGCGCATTATGCAATTTTGCATTATACATTGCAGAACGCTAGTAGGTACGGTACCTACAGCGATAGTATCTACTGTACCTCTCGTCTATTCTTCCCGTCCTACCACCCTCTCTTGCAGGGTAAGGGTTCTAACGGTCGACGGGTGCACCCGTCGTCTCAGCCATCCCTTGTATGAGACGGTGAATTCAGATTCGGATACGAATGGAGTAGTCCAGCGATGTCCTAAGTATCCGGATACAATGTGGATGCGCATGGGGTTAGCCTCACCAGCTAAACTTTCTAGAAATGCACCACAATTAATATCATCGGATATCTATATCTAGAGCTGATATACTGAGATCTATAACTTCAACGCTGGATTCGACTATCGAGTACCTAACACGATGAGCTAGATCTACGCGCACGTAGAACAACCGGGTCGTGCATCTCACTCCCCCGGTATCACGGAGGGAAATGCAAGAAGCGTGATAAGTAGCGAGCCGTAAGTTGTTTTGATACTTAGGAGCTCCAAGAACCTTATGTGAAAAATTGGATTTATCAAATTTGTTCACATATTCCGGAATCATCTCCTATACGTCATAGATGTATTGAATTTACCTGGAACTTGTTAAGGTGGACTGTGTGACGGGAATTGATTTAGTTCTTTGAGCCAAAACTTCTCACCCATTCAACAATATGGCAAATGCCTGGTAGTACTCTTACTCAAACAAGGCTTCTTGGAGCCGATAATCGCACTTGCGGTCGAGACACTCAGCTGGGCCGGCCACGTGGTCAGGTGGTAATCACAAACTGTCCATATACTGCATATTATGAACGCCATTTGCCACCCCGTTCGTACAAATCCTGAAATCTCGAATCCGGGAAACTTGATTTCATACACCATCGATTAAGTCAACTACATACGGCGACAGCGATATCTACGAACCCCCCACCATAAGCTAGACTCGTCGAGCCTCGAAACTAAGTCGTACGTACGTCTATAGATTGATCTGGGCTCCTTTCCCTGCCCATCATTCTCTTCACTTTCACCATCTTACTACCGCAACCCATCACTAGTATCGTTAGTAGTCAAATCAACGTCAACTAAGCTCATCAACTAGCACGTTCCCGTAACACATACACATGGATCCCATGTTTCCTCGGCCGTCCTCGTACGATATCTGCGTAAGGCCCGTATGAAAATGCGATCCAGCATCGATATCTCACCCACCTAGTCGTCGATCTAATCACAACTCAGAATCTTGAAAATCTGCCCAGGTATCTACCTATCTACCTAGGTACTAGGTTCATCGGGCATCTATCTACACACCCGATCATGCACTCCTTTCTACGGCAGGGGAGGATTCATCAGAAAAAGAATCGATGCTGACGAGGTCAGCACGACCCGATACCCAGACGCGTCCAGGGATCCCGAGATCGAAGTGTCGATATGGCGTGACAATTGCAGTACGTGCGTACCTATGTTACGGATAAGTTACTAGGAACCTAAACTTTGAAGAATGGGAGAGAGGAAGGCCAAAAACAGCGCGCGAGCCTAGAATACCGTCGCCTTCACCCCCTATGACGAGATGGCAAAACCTAGTAGGTAATTCTGGCAATCGACCCCGAGCCCTGGCCTTGGATGGGCATCTACGCTAGAGGCGTGCAAAGTCCTACATGCTTATGCATGCATACCCCATACTCGATCTCGAAACAACCCAGTCAGTCAGTCAGTTTAGGTAGTCAGAATATAGTCCATGTATCCAGAGAAAAATAGCACAAAAGCGTTTATACGCCAATAACAGCAACATGTTCTACAGAATCGCATGATCGCAAAGTCGTCTAAGCTGTCTTGAGTATGCCGAGCGTGCCATGTACTCCCCAGGTATCTAGTATCTAGATAGTTGAGGCAGATAGACTCGACGAAACACAGAACATGGAACACGAAACACAAAACAAGCATAGAGATAGGCAACTAGTGCCCTCCAAGCTGACGAAGCTGAGGCGACGATTCCCGGATCACGTAGCACGCATGACGTAGCAGGCGCATGTTCTGGAAGAGGCTCTGTAGCGATTCTTATCTCAGGTATCTACCGATTTCCTCCTATCGAATCTATTACTACCGCTCCCTTCCATTCATTGCTTATCTCTCCCTCGCTCCAAGTGTCGCCCTCCCTCCTGCTCATCTTCCTCCTCATCCTCCGCGAAGTAACGAGAGCTAAGCCAACCTAACCATCTGTCCCGCCGGGTCTGGTCTGGTCTGTCGATATGACACGAGCCAACCCGAGACGGGACGCATCAAACCAAACGATAAAAGAACATGGTTTCGTTGTTCCGGGTATCCCTATCATGCGATGATAAATACTTCAAAAAAATCAGATCTAAAAAAAATCCCGGGCTTAGAAAAAGGAATTATCCAAATACTGCCGATGCGATGCGACTCCTATCAGACAGAAATGACTGACGAAGAGAAAAAAAAAAAAAGAGCGCGAAGAATCCTTGCGGTCATACGTGAGAAAAAAAAAATCAAAAAAGTCTCATCTGATAATGCTGGCTCCTTTCCCTTTCGCAGCATCCGGACTGTAGCTGCTGTACGCCTGACAAACCATATCCTAGTCCTGTTACACCCGAGATAGAAGAGAAAGAAAAAAAATATGCCGATCAGAATAAATGTTGTGATGCCCAACCCGTGTTTTCCCCATGGCAATCAGCCACAGATTTTTCGCCGGTTGTCCATTCCCCCTGGTTTTTTTTTTTTGATACATGGTTCATTGAGTGGTCGTTGTGATTAGGTAGGTAGGTGAGGGGTGGCTTTTGGGCTCGGGAATAGAGCAACGGGATGTTGTGAGAGAAAGGAAAAATATGACTCGTGGTCTTTGGTGATGCGGTCGCACGCGGCCAGCGGCCGTGAGCCGCCAGGCTTATAACCCGCCCGTCAGTGCTGAGCACGACTGTTTGGCTATAACCTCCGACTTCGCTCATCCACGCGAAACGGGGTCAACGATGGAAGTTTTTAACTACACGGATGAGGAGAACTCCCTGGGTCTTGTTTCCACTAGCGTCGAAAAGGCGAACAAAGCGGTAACCCGTCGCTAATCGATCAAGACGGATGCATGCCCAGCCAGCGGAAGGGTCGCGGAGTGATACGAGCCGCGGCGCATCGTCTTCGACTTTGAACCTAGATAGAATATTCGTAAGCTAGGATTCGTGGACAAATCGGGATCTTCAGGAACGCCCCAAGATATGACAGACTATGAGAGGACCCGCAAATGTTACACGACCGATAAACAAGACGCGAATATGGGCAATTGGAGATGGGAAATCTGAGCCAAAGCTGGAAACCGGGAGCTGAAAAGGCTCGGTCCGTTCCCGTGAAGAACCATTAAGAACTGTTGGTAAGCTGTCATATATCACTTTCTCATTTCCGTTGCTCAACGGCTGGTTGCATATGCAGGTTCAGCCGCCGGCTCGTCCCCGGCTCGGAACAAGTCGTTCGTTGGCTGTTGGCTGTATGAACTGAATTATGAAAACCCGACCGCTTGGTTACGGGTATGTAAGCGCCCTTCCGGCGGGAGGTTGTAGTGAAGGAAATTAGAAGAAAATGTAGAATGTAAGAGGAAAAAGAAGCGTGGTAAAATCCTTACCTGACAAAGCTGAGCTCTTCAATGACCTTTTGGACACCCATGAATTGAAGATCGTTTTTGACAGAACTGAAGTCTGGGTGATCCGACTTTCCAGCCGCAGTTTTCTGCTTATAGTCGCATTCCCGCGCTTTACTGGTTCCTTCAAGGAACGATCCAAGTCGTTCTTCCGCTTTTTCAACATGTAATTCACACTTCACCAGAGGCCTCAAGGATCTAGAGTTGCTGCTATCAATACCCTCGGGTAGTGGAATATGCTGGCCGGCGAGTATCGTAATCATGAGATCCAGGGAAGTGTGGTGAGGAAGATCAGCCTCCTGACCCGGCCACACGTCTTCGCTGCGATAACCCGGTGGCTTTAGCACCCATCCGTGTTCACCCGAAAACATAGCTTCGTTGAGCATCATGCCCTCATCCCAAGATTGCCAATTCATAGCCACCATCTGTACACCTTTGCGCCAAAATTGTGTGGGGTCGGGATTAGATGAGTCCCAACGGAGGCCCTTGGGATAAGCACGCATGAAATAATGGCGATTATGGGAAAATAGCTCATGGTGTTTTGAAACCACGAGCTCTAATATCTTATTCTCGCTTATTGAGAAGATGTGCGAAGGACTTTTGGCAGCAGGCGACTCGAAGTTCGTAAAGTGCTCGCTGTGGGTGTATATAGCAAGAGAGCTTAGACTTTCGCATATAGGCACTTTTGGCTTTTTTGCGCCGTTGGGGAGGACAGGCCTATCGTCTTCTGATCCAGATGCCTCGTCGTCAATTGTCTGGTTCGGAGCCAACGTTGACATGGTTCCCGGATCTAACGATGAAGATGCCTTTTTGACTTTGATGAGTATCTTGTTGCGCAATTCCTCTAACTTTGGCATCACGCCGTTTGGACAGGTTTCGTGATGCTTGTCGATCAACACGCCCGCCCACTCCTCCTTCATGATCTTTACCATAGCTTCCTGTTGCTCTTGGTCGGCATGTACTTCTAGGCTCACAATGATGGGTAAGCTGTTTGTCTCGAAGCCAACTTCGCGAATTGCTCTGCACACTTCACGGAACCCGACAGGTGCAGTGAATGTATAGCCATGCATCACAATTGGTTCATCTGGGGGTAATGATGGTCTGGACCGTAAGGACGAACGTTCCCCTTCGAGCTCACGAGAGAGAGCAGCGGGATCGAGGCTACCACCGATCTCACGACTAAAGGGTGGTGGTGATAATTCAGATTTGCTGCATCTAGGACTGTGGCTGTGGACTTTCTCAACACCTAGCTTTTGTCGCGTCTTCTCGATTGTCTCCTCTACCGTTCCCTTAAGATGAGCAGCTGCAGTATGCAAACTTCCGCCGGAAAGGTGACGAACGTGTTCGAATCTCGAAACCGGTTTCAAAGATGCATCTCGTGGATGGTCCGGCGTCGAGCTTTGTGAATCGCCATTCCACACATCAATCTCTATACATCGACATCCTCTTCTCAAGACGCGCCTGTATGCGTCTGCTGTACTTCGGCCGGCCAATTGATTACCAGATAAATATGTGTTGTGGCTACTGCTAATGAAATAGTTGCTAATAGGTTTCGATAGGTCCTTGATTTCAGGGGACGCGGGCTTCTCTGCTTCAAGGCTAAACTGGAGCCACCATACTTCAAGAAATCTCTCAAAATTATACCTTTCTTCTGTTAAAGCCTCTAATGTCGGATTAGTATCGCCTTGTACACCCTCGAGGAAGTTCGCAAACGCAACACGGGATAGGGTCGGTTCTCCTCGACGTATTGAATCGTATAATTTTCGGAAATGTCGTTGGATGGCAGCGCTAAGGTAAACCTCCTTTCCACCTTGGAAATGTACGACGGTCGGCGCGACAAAAGAAGCCAAGGCAATTGCTCGTTTAAGAGCCTTAATCGAATTGGTTCCAAGTTCGGCATTCAAGGTAAGGCGGCGACGCATCGAGTTGGTGTGCCTCGGGATCGCATCGGTCGGTCGTTTCCGCATCTTTGATGTGTTTATCAGCATTTGTCTGCAAAGCTCGTATTCGAATATGACGTAAATAAGGAAATCCTGCGTCAAGTTATGATGTCAACTTACAGTGAAACACATCGGGTCAAATAACAGTGAATTGATTAATGTCTTTCCAAAATTCCAAAAATCCAGAGTTACAAGTTCTGCTATCTCGGTTGTGCTCCCACTGAGCAAGAGAGGGGGTCGTTAAAGACCATTAGGGGTGGGAGGTTCGTCGCCCGTCAGAAAGGGCTTCGAAATAGTGATCCGCGTTCCAACTAATATAGGTAGAGTAAGATGATGATGGGTTTGTAGAGTGGGATTGTTACGGGTATGAGTTGATGAATAGATATAATGATGACGGATTCGAGTAACTAAGGGATAGGATATGTATGCATGAGAGAGTAGGACGAAGGAGGGATTGTGAAATGAAGAGAAATGCAAAAATTAAAGGGTCCAGGTTCAAGTTATTGTCTCTTCCAGTTCAGCTACGGGCATGGGTGTAGCCTCATCCCAGTTAGAAGCACCAGCCGGGACCCCCGCTACTTAGCAGCTTCTGAGAGGCTAGAACAAAGCCAATCCAACCGTTTTAAGGCGAGCAGATCCCTGAAAAAAACAAGCTACCATTCGTAGGGCTGGTACCGCTTGACCGGGTCCTGCGTGTCTTGGTTTGTCCACCACCCCAAGAGATCTAGTACGTAATAAGAGCAAGACACACGCTCGGAATATGGGGTCTTTTGCACTTTGGGTCCTGGATACCTTAAAAGTGCTTTAAAGTCCTCCAAGAAACGAAAGATAAGAAGGGTGAGAGGGGGCAAAGGAATCGATTAGGTCTTGGTCAACCCTACTAGAGAGAAGAGACCCAGACCGCTACTGTCGAAAGGGTTTAGGTCAGCCGTGCCGCGGATTGTAGACCGTTAGGGGGCGGAGTATTCTCGACTCATTATCAATTATTGGCCCCCAATTGATGACTGACAGCTGGAGATGGCAGAGTGGGCATGCAAGTCAATGGTGTTTTAATGGTCGATCGACACCATTCTCCACTCATTGCCACGATGCCATTTGCTCGTTCGATGTTCGAAGACAGCTGAAATGTAAGATACAACTCTATGCAAGGTATGAATACCTAGGTAGTATGATTAATTCTTTTGAGAAGTTTTGACGGCTTCATCGGAATTGGTTTGACAAATTCGACAGATTCGACATGTCATCTCATGTCGAACGGACAAACTCCGAAGTAGAGAAGAAACAAAGTTGTAGAAAGTATCGCATGGTAAGACAATGCGAGGCTCAAGTTGCATATTGTGCATCAATAGGTCGCAAGGTAGAATTGGATGGAATGGGATCCTGGAATGCCATGATGTTTATCCAACGCTGCGCCTCTTTCTCGGTATTTCAACAGTGGTGGTACGGGACTGTTAAAGATTTTGATAGGACGGGGTTAGAGGTAGTATGTAAGCCTAGGGCTTTGTAAAGTTGCGCTGTGCTTGCAGAAAAAGAACCTTGGAAGTCGCAGTGCAGCACGGCGCAGGAAGGAGACACTACTACTAGCTAGTATGACTGCAGTTAGTATGAGTAAAGAGCGTAAAGAACGACCGACACGTGAAATCGGCGGTTAAAAAGGGGGGTTATCTCGTCCGACATAACACCCGTTTCCGGCAATAGCCACAAGGCTATAGACCGAAAATCAACGTCACTACCTAAATAAGACGAAACCCCAACTTTCGACCAAACTTCAAACAAATTTGGAAGTTGCCCAACTTTCAACTTTCGCTCAGCCACGTCTAATCGCACACTACCCGCACACTACCCGCACATTACTCCCCAGGCTGTGCTAAGTCTTCTGTATGAGTTGGCAAATGAAAACGATCCCATCGTCCATTTCACCTAGGTATTAAAACAACGAATCGGCGCTACTTCGAAACGGTGACCATCAAGTGGCCAGGTCAGCGTAGGAAAGCGACCGGCCATGTCACACAAAGCGCGCACGGATTGCGAGGCAGAGGTGCGATCGTGGGGTTTTCCTCACGTTTTTACCTGGACGGACGGCCCGTATGTTTCGACATATGTAGTACCCTGCCCCCATCTACCCGCTTACTACCCGATCTAGCCCCAGATCTACTTTGCCTAAGGCGATGGGATGAAGCCTGACGAGAAGAACGGGGTTTGAAAACGAGATGACTAACTTGTACTTACGACAGCAACGCCCACTATAAACCACATTCTCATGCTGGTTTGACAACGCATCTGATCATCGCCGGTCAACTGACTATCACGTACCCTAAAGATCCCAAGCCCGAGAAGACGACGTATATCGTCGGCGACCGCATCGACGTCGATGCTGGCCGCGTCCATGAGGTGTGGATAGGAGACGAGGGTTGTACTTACGTTATTGGAGAGTGATTTGCCTACAGCGACAACCCGGCGATATGTAAGGTAGTAAAAAATCATTCAGGCTCCCGGAGCAAATGTGCCCAGGTAGTTTTCGCCTCCCTATCGGTCAGGCTATGAGATATGGGTATATGGTCACTCTTCAACCAGTACTCACGTAGCACACACCTACTGGATTGCTATCAGCCTAGGCTACCTGGCTACCTAGGTGAGCAATTGTCCTTTTCCATTTACATCATCGGTGACAGTTGTCAATTATCATAAGAAACCCGTGCCAAGCTGCAAGGGAGGCAATATCAACTGCTAGTCCCGGGGGATAATAAGCAGCCACAGCTGTAAATGATGGTGGCTAACGCGGGGGGAGCCACCCCAGGACATCTATTATCTTCCCCTAAAAGCTCAACAATACTAAGGTGCGATCCAGAGCAATAAGCCCGCGAAATTAAAATATGAAATTCGCACCTAATAATTCAAACCGTATTCGACTTTTGTGGTGGCAGTGTTTTTTATGTGAAACTTGCTTTTAGGCATCGCCAGGTTCGCCACCGATTAGCCTGTGCCTGTTCATGTTCTCGTGTCATTGGGATATGACGACAAAACGCCCAGCTCAGATGAATTTGTAAACGAGAGCTCTGCGATTAAAAGTGCGGTAAGATTACCCCAGTCCGCTGAAAATGATCATCACCTAAGTTCGTGGTCCTAAGACATGCTTGTGAGACATACCTATTACTTCATCCACCTAAGCTGCTAAGGTAAGGAACGCGGAACTTGGTTCCAGGCTAGTTAACACGTCATCTTTGGTGAGAAGTTAATGCTATTCTAATCATGTTTGAAAGGAGAGTGGGAAGCCTCTGATTGAGTGTCAGCAATAGTTGGCTTGCTGGTCTTGCCGTTCAAGATGAGGGCGATTCGGAACCCGATAAGATCGAGGGTTCGTGAACACCATGTCTAGCGGATCGGGTCATGCCGAGGTTCGCCAAGATTATTAAATCTAGGTAGGGGATCAAGCAAACTTCAGATCGAATATTATGGTGGATTCTCCAATGTTCTTGGCTTCATGGTTTTGGGTCCCATATAGATAGCTTGCCAGGTAATGATCTTGTCCTAATGTACCAACACGTTACGGGATGACATAGATAAGGAGCGAAGGGATATGTTTGCTAAGTGGTTGCTGCAAGCTCTGAGTCGCAGTGTAACATCGATCTTGAGGAGGTTCTGTGTCACGATGTTACCAACTGGTAAGTTCAGATGTCTCACATGCTGAATCTGTGGGTTGGCAGTTTGCGATATGTCGCGGGGTTAGGTAGGACATGAATGGTCTTGGATACCTCAATTTCGCATATTTGCTCAGGTTATCGGAAGCTGTTGCTCGATGGCGGCTGCTGGGTAACAGAATATCTGTCTACTTTGGGAGACGCCTACATTTGGTGTTGTCGTCCAGCATTGACTTATTCCCAATGCGTCGTGACATATGTAAACGATAGGAAAGAATCGAGTTTGGAAAGCCGAGGTTTGTGGGAGTCTCTCATATACTATGCTCGCTCATCCTCATTCCCCAGACCGGGCTTGATAGTTGAATTAACCTTAACTATCCCCCACGTGTGTTCCTGCACCTTCGTTTGTTTGATAAACTCGAATTAATATAGTCAATGAGCCGCATACTTCTCTTGTGGGGTTTCATCAAAGCTTGCGTAAGACCATGCGTGGAGCAATGCAGTGGCACAACAGTAGAATGGATGACTGCAAGTGAGGATGAAGAATGTAGTGATCATCGATCTGCGCCAAGGGTCTAATCGTGTGTTTCGTGCACTTTCAGCTGCACATTATTGATGGTGTCAGGCGGGAGGTTTATATGGCCTTTCGCTATCTGATGGAGGGAGGATTGAAATCGAGTTATCTTCTCGCGTCGGCATCAACATTGAGTTGGGGATATCCTGACCGCCTTCGACAGATGTCTAGGCCCGCAGATCCTGCAGAGACCAAAGAAAAGCACCCCACGGCTATCAATGGTTTGTAAGTCTTGCGTCAGTTGTAGCAAACCACAACTGCATATATGAAACACATGGCGGTCGAATACAGAAGGCGGTGACGAATATTTGCCATCGCCGGTCAATCGGCATATGTAATTCGTCGGCAGGAGGTGAGGCTTCGGGAGCTCGACACCGAATCAATCCGCCGTGATATCTGTACAGAGTATTTTCTAACTGGGATGAGAGTGAGTGGGGTGGAATTACGACTACGACGTTACGGGATCGAGCTCCCTATCACCTCATTCGCTAAAGGGGATTCTACGTGGACTGATGACTTGATTGATCGAGAAGAAAATGTTTCTGATTGGTAAAACACTCCCTATGTTTTGTAAACGCGTGGCGCGTTAGAACCTAATGAGTGACGTCCTCTAGGCATATATGATATACCTAGTATCATCAGCGGCCTTTGAATGACTTGATATCACAACATCTGGGGAGTAATATCGGAAGGGCTAGAAAAAGAAGGTGTTCATTTGATGAAGTAACATTGGTTGGATGAGACAATTAAGACATTACCATTACCTAGGTACCGTAACCGCGTAGGTCAAATTGGTCAAATTGAGGATTCGGCTCTGGAAGAACAGAAATCAAGGCCGGAGTAGTTGCAGCGGTAATCCCTGGTAATAACCCTTGTAATATTCCTTCCCCGGCATTGTGGATGGTCTTGGTTCCGCACTGCAAGATGCAGCACCAACCGCAGCTGTGCTGTTCTGGCCTTTATTCTCGTAGCTGCGTTGGTGCTAGATATGTATGTTGATATAAACAAGAAAGATCTACCTAGAATGGCTTCAAGCTAGTTCGAGGACGCGTATGTTTGTATATTTATGATGATAGTATGATGGCCGGGACGGGGTACCGTATCTGCGTATGTGTAGTTCACCGTAGTTGTAGGTGTAAGAGTTACATAACTGACAGGACTGCGAGAGTAGCTGGTAGCTGGTATTAGCTGATAGCTGCAAGAGTTCGGCCTCATTCTCGATCCTTTTAATCTTTGGAATCGGAAGTGGCGGGATTAAACTCTGTACTTCCGAGATATGGACTGAACTGGTTGATGGAGGACTTTCCAAATCTAGCATTGCCGGCATGGTAAAATCCTTGAAATGCTCGATCTGACAAAAAATGTGAACAATTGCCGTGGAATCGAATTCTATTTCATGCGACGTGATACTCATATCCTTTTTTCTATTAGCAAGGATAAGCTTAATATTAAAGTGGTAGCTTCGGATAGATATTGATGCTTTACTAGTACACAAGTTGTAGCCGCATCGCACTAGCCTAAGCCTTGATTATCAAAGGTCCCGTAGTCTTTTCATCCGCTTAACTTCCATCTTATTAGGCAGAACGGCGTCAGAATAAACGGGCCATGTGCGAACCAACAGAAATGGTACTGTATTGCACTGTGCCCTGATTTATCCCCTGGATTATCTAACTAGGCATTTAAGGATTTTCTCACAACACTAGATAGTTTAGGGGATAAGTCAACTCACAGTGTATTACAGTAGTATTAATACATGGCCCGCACATGGCTCACTTATTCTGACGCCGTTCTTTAGGTATGGTGCAATAGTCGAAGAGAGCTTGGGAAAATGGCTAGTTTATTTTAGTTTGTCTTTAGTTTGCCTAAGTCAGGTCTATTCCGGTCTTTCGTGATGGAAGGAATGGCCATTGCAGGGGTATGGAGATCAGACAGGTACAGGAGGGGCTTTGGTGCGGAAGGTGGAGGTGGGTTTAGCTGTTTAGGTACATTGATAGGCTGATAGGCAACTGCAGTTCCTGCTAAACGCCTACAAGCGATGTACTTAGGCATCGTCCCGCTTATTTCAATCTACCTGGATTCGTGACATGGCGGACATGGGAAAGTCGCTCTTGAGTCGTTCTTGCTTCCCCGTCTCAGTTGCCGCGAAGAAGTAACGTTCAAGTCTCAGCTTAATTCTCTCTTACTTCTTAGTTTCTCCTAGCTGCCTACCTACCTATGTACTTTTTCCTTAATACTTCTTTTAATATTTCCTCTATTTCTCCAGATCTCGATGTTCTATTCAATCTAGTCAAGATCAGTTCCAAATTCAGGTTTCTTCTGCGTCAAGATTTCAAAGACCCGCATCTAACACTTCAGCCCACGGCTAATGGTTTCCAATAACGGACATCTCGTGGTTGTTTTGCTCTGCCTTGTTCTCCTCCGTCTCCGTCTCTCACCTCTTGTTCAACTCCACCGTATCCTACAATAGCTACATGCTTCGCCCATATATGTATGTAGGTGTACACAACCTCCACCAGATTGCTGTACCATAGCTTGCGTACTCACTCGCGCCTCTCTTCTCTTCTCGTCTTTGTCTTCTCCGCTAGCTCTGTCGATTTACCTCCCCCGCATAATCTACGTGGGTTATGGATGCAGATCCCTCCCCCAGGGCGCATACATGAATAAAGCAACATCTGAGCTGATGTTGCCGCATTCGTTTCGTCTAGGTGTATAAGTTTGGTACTCGGTCAGTTAACCCCCCTCGTCCTATTAAGGTGCTTGCCACATACGGACTGAGACATACACATTGAAATATGAGATCCTATTAGTCCATTAGACCATCCATCCCGCATCTCTCTCCCAACCTCTCCAGCTCACGATCAAGCCAATGATCTCTTATCCATTCACACATGTAGCTCTGGACCCTAGAACATAGTTCATGCTTCCTTATTAGCAATCTTAACCCTACATATGATCTATCTTAGAATACCACCCACCTTCCCCTCTCTCTAGCTACCCGCACACGTTTAGATGAAATCTATCCCGACAGCGTAAACTGTTAGTCGCTAATATTTTTTCGGGGCTTCTAGCAATGGAACTGCCAATGCTCGTATAGTAGTAGTATCGTGCCGGTTTTTCGGCCTTGTCTACTCATAACACTATGGGGAATTCACCTTCCGCTGAAGCGTCACGGAAGGGTCAACGGACAGCTCAGAAGTTGTCTAAACCTAAGACAGGCAATCCTACCGCAGCTGGCCTGTTGAGTACTACTGGCCTTTCGAGTTCCATACGTCCTTCACCCGGAGCGAGACGCCTTTCACTTCCCTATGCTCCCTCACCCACGACGGCATCTCCTGCGATTTCCGAGGCGGTTCCCACGGTTCCCGCGGTTCCAGAGGTTACAGAGGTTACAGAAAATACAGAAAAGGTGTCGGCAGAAAAGAAAGGGCTAGAGTTGGGCTCTCGTATATCAAGAAAGCTTTTCCGTTCCAACACATTTAGAGAATTCACTAGTCGCCGGAAAAGAAGCGAAAGCGTCGATGTGCCGAGTTCTCAGCAAGAACGTTGGTCTAGTACGACAAGTTCGCTAAGAAATGGGCCCGAGGATGGATATGGCTATAACCAAGCTCCCATTCAAGGGTGTGTGAATAATCTCAATTTCACGTTTACAACCCTCAGAAAATATAAGCTAATACACGCTGTTAGGAGCTTGTCGATGAACGTATCGCGAACGTCGTCTCATTATGATCTTGGATCATACGAAGCCAAACGATTATTAAATCTCGTCGAAGCACCGTCCTACGAAACCAACTCCGTAGTTTCGGGGGGCCATATGTACATATCAGAATCGGTTCACGGCGATTTTAGAGGTCGACGACCATCAATTCCCGAGACTACTCCAGAAATGACTAGGGCTAATTCTGAGATATCTTTGTATACGCCGATGCGAAGAAAGTCTTTGATGACCCCAGGCATTGCTACCCGCGAGATACCGACGGATCCAGGTCCTTCAAGGCCGAGGGTGAGGCACAGTCTCCCCTCTACTCCGGCGCGTCGGGGTTCTGTGGAGTCATTGTGCGACGAGGCGGCTCGCTTTCCTCCTCTATCAATTGACCCGAGTCTAATACCCCGCGCTCTCACTCCCTGTGAAGCAGAATATAAGCAAACGGGCGCTTTTAAGCTCGGCACCCTGCGAATTACAAATGGCAGTCCAGCACGCAGTCCAGCTCGCAATCCCGATGAAGATATGAAATTCATGAGCTCTGAAATGCCGTTGGTGGGTGAACCGACGGTCGATTACTTTGAACCAAAGAAATTATCGCCAACTAGCAACATAAAACCAGATATTTCGAACATAACCTTGAAGAAAGCTGATGCTCAAGATACCAATGGCTCTCCAGGCCCGTCCCGAAGTTCTCTTCCCGATGCACTGGTGTCTCCGAGTTTCATTGAATCTCAGGAGCCTACCTACTTTCTACCCGAGCGTCAATCCAGTCCGCCATCACATGATGAACAGCTAGAAATCCCTCAGGTGCAAGTAACAAGCAAGCATACAGCTATGGAAGATGAGCTGTTCGAGGATGATCAAAATGAGTATTCATCTATCGAAATTTTAGATGTGCGGGTAGATACAAACGCGAAATCTTTACCTCGTCCGAAATTGACATCCGAAAAGAGAGGTTCGAGAGAAGTCATTAGAGCAGATAGCGGTATTGCAAGCCCAGCGTCAGAATACTCACATGCGCCTTTGTCTAAGGCAGACTCGGGCTACAGCTCTAGTATTTCTCTCCGCTCATTCTCTTCAAAACCATCGGCTCTTGAAAAGGACCGTTCTTCGGAGAAGGAGGTTGAAACCCTGAACAATTCCAATATGAAACAAGGCGAAGATGTTGGAGAACTAAAGGCTGTAACTCCTACGGCTGTGATAGTTACTACCGTCGTTCCCAAGCTACCTGTCGACGAAACTGCTCCTCCACCTGTTCCTGTGAAAGATCCACATCTTTTAGCTCTCGCTAGCCCCAGAGGAACCAGTGGCATGTTACCTTCCGCCCAGAAAAGCCCTACGTCACCAGTTATATCGAAGCACAGCCGAGCGCAGGAAAGAATTATATCACCAAGTTATACCCAAATTCAAGCCAGTCGCAATTTGAAAATACACCGAGCAAATTTGCATAGTTCGAGCACGTCTAACTCTTCTTTAAGAATTGGTACTGGTATACGCAAACCTGGTAAATTTCAGAGATTTTTAAGTGGAAGTCGAGCACCGCTCACTGCTCATAGCACGCATCCTACTGAGTACGCAAGCGTGCCTGCTGTCTCTAAGGACTTGCAAGTGAGACTTCAGACTCACACAGGATCGATGCCAATGTCGTTACGGAGACTCACTTTAAAGTCTGCGGCTAGCAAGGAAACGCTCGGGACCATTCTCAGCGTGGGAAGCGCGGAACTTCTTCAGGATGATGATATGTCTCCAAAAAGCTCGAGTGGTCAACTATGGACTTCGGATCGAATTCAAAGAAAGCCGATTTCAATGAGATCGTCAATATCACACTCTACCTCAATAACCGCGAAAAAACCGATTCCTCGGAAGCCTGTACCTATTCGAACCAATGATTATGCCTTGGCCGGGGAGGTTGATAAGTCTCCGAAAGACGTTGATGAAAGCTCTGGAGAGAAAAATATAGTTGGAACTATCCCAGCTCATGTCACCGGCGGGGATATAGAGACCGATGATTCTAACCAACTTGTTATGGAAGACAACCAAACAAGATTTTCTGTACCTGTTCCTCGACTGGCAAAATCAAACGCTACAGCAAGCCACGTGGAAAAGGATTTAGAGACTAATTCTATCGGTACCGAACGTGTTTACGAATTTGCTCGAGGCGAATCGCACTCACTCACATCCCTTGAAATCCCAACAGTTGTGTCGAATATCAAGTTCTCTAAAAGCCCCCCTCCTGTAAGTATGAGGACCCGGAATATGAAATCTCGACGTTTCTCCGCACCTATTAGACCCCAGTCAACTCCACCTGAGATGAGGTGGCCAGGACGATTCTCGTATCCTCGCAGGGAAAGCCAAGAAGGCAATGGAAGAGCTCCCGAATCTATTGGTACTTTTACGTCTGATCATACTGGCATACCTAGGAGTTACAGCCAGGATGACTTTCGTACTTTTAATCCAGCACAATATGGCAGAGAGTCTTCTTCTATATCCATAGCGACGAACCTCCGAACCATGAGCTTGAGATCCGATGTTAGAAAGATCCAAGTGCCAAATTGGAACGTTCAAGCAGATCACGGACCCACCCTCTCCCGACCGTCGTCGTCCGATCATATCCGCCGAGGTTCACTCGGTAGTCAGTCTAGTCAGCAAGGCTCAGCAACCATAGAGCCCAGTTTCTTTCAGCAGAACCAATATTTACATCCTAACCCGCCATCATTACATCGTCGGTCCAGTTATGACGAGTATAACCTTTTACCTCACGATAACTACGTTCGAGATAATGGCCCCTATCCATCAATGCCTCGCAATGGACGAGCATTTGTTTCCGACCCACGCAGTGGTCGATCGATGTCGATGCCGCAGCAGTGGGATCAAAAACTTGATCAGCCTGCCCGTTACCCTCCCTACGCTTCCCATCATCAACGACATCGGAGCTTGGACCAATACGGGAATCCTATGCCTTACCGAGTTCTCCATTCTTATAATTCCCCTGCCTACCGCAACGTCCCAATCTGGAGATGAATTGCATATTCATCTGTCATATGAGGAACTTCCCTCAACTTCTCCTATAACTCTGTATGAGACGTTTGTCTCCTTCGATATTTTCGAACTTTGCTCGTGATATCCTGCATCTTCGGCGTTTTGATTTGTGGCCATACACACCGGGTCATTCCAAGGTAAAACAGTTTTTGACATTTCAATCATTATTAAAAAGCATTTCCTTGGTCACTCAGAAGGATGAACTGGTTTAGGGGAGAGATCTGCGGCACTTTGAGACGATGTTGACTTTGATTCTGGATGATGGCGGATAGCATTTTATGACACTAGACAACAGTCACGACTAAGGTTACGGGGATTTGCTTCTTACAGATGGAAAATGATACCACTTATTTGATGGACGTACACTTTATACCCATACCCATTCGGAAACAAGGCTGCTTTTTTTTTCTGTCTGGACGGCATGATTGCACAAGCATACGACTAGCTGTTGCTAGAACTGTGTACATATAGCATAGCAACGAGGAACATATCAAATGCAAGATGATTATGCAAGTACTTAGCCGGTTGAGAGGTCATGGTCTAGCGTCGTAGATTGTCATGGGGACGTTGATTGTGTGAAGTTGACGAGGTTTAAGTGATAGGGCTAGTTTCATCGACAGAGCGCGGCTAAATGAAGAGATATAGTAAGTAGGTGGGTAGGTAGGTGAACGAGAGACTAGGTACTAGCAAACCTCCCGATGCTATGTTGAACGAACATTGCCAATTATTTTATCTTTTCTTATCCCGCCCCTTTAACGATCCAGCACACTACACCGTTTATTGCCTAAGTTGTGTCACGTACAACCCCCTTTACACCGCCGCAGGTATCCGTAGATGCATATCTGCAGTTGGCCGACTTTTGGGTCAAAATAATGGTGTATATATTGGACGTTACCTCGTATAAAGAGAGCGGCTTCATGTTACTGAGAAACATACCACCTGCCTCTTCAGAAGTAGCATACGTTGTTGGGGGTTAAATAGGATTCTACAAGTACCGACGCATGCAAGCTCTGATGTGACGGAATCAGATAAATTGGATATTGAAGCACAAGCAAATATTTGGAAGCGTACCAAACTATGAGCATGCCGAGACTCCACTCCCACATGTCGAGGTGATGGTATCCATATGGTATGCAATGTTGCGGTAAGACGGCACGGGGGCACAGACTTTAATACATCAGATGCCCAGTAGTGTATGTAGGTATGTATGTTATGTAAGGGTGTCTAGACTCTACCATAGTAGTGAATCTGCAGCCGGCATGAGATGCATAGGAGAATTTAAGATCTCGAACTGATTACTCCATAAAGGCATTGTTGAGATGAACGACAAGGGGTCCCCGATAATGGGGGGTTTCGAGGGTATGACGTTGTGACAATCCGAACTCCTATTGTATCAGAAAACCCCTTCTTATTAAACCGACATGAAGCCACGCTACGACCTTATTGGATGATTTGAGGTTGTGAGAATTAGTGAGTTGATATATGATATACCTACCACCTAATAGAATGCGCCTATGTATGATTCTAATATAAGCAACTAAGATAATTACGTCGAAATTGAGTATGATTATGATTTATTTTGGTGTCTCACGAGCAGCACTCAATTAGCAATACGACAAATAGCCGCTAAGCTAAGAATTAGCCAATCCCGACTCCTCGGTTGAGCGTGTCTCACTTTGTAGTAAGAATAGTATATTCGCACGGACCAGGAGAAGGTTTAACGCTTTGGGGCGAAAATGGCTAGGCGACCAATCATTGCTGCGGCAGCTAATTGTTCGCTTGTGTTTCCGTGCACTAAACTCATAAGAATAGGTACCAGGTACTTGAAAATATCACAGTAAAAAGTCCCTATATCTAGCACTGTGCTACCGTTGGCTACTGCTACGCTGTATCTACGTACCTGTGTTGTACGGGCTACTGGTAAAGAATTACGTAGCTTGGTCTGCTAAGCCACAGAAGTTTGTGCCCGCACTTGGATTTTTTGTTTGCTACAACTTGGAACAGGAACATATCCGATATCGTGATATAAACTGTTTGAACAATTTTAGAATACGATTCCCGGCTTTGCCGCATTGCATGACTCCGGGAGGCGGAAAGGACAATTGAAATCGTACTACGGACAGGTTCATACCACACGGTTCCATATTTGATCACGACCCGAAAAGAGGCAGCACTGCAGACTGCCCAGAAGCCCGGAAGCCCAGCAGCCCAGGTGCAATTAATGAATGCCTGACACTGGCACACTGGTTACAACTCACTACAAACTACAAAATACATCCACTACAAACCACATACTACACACTGCACACTAACACGCTACACACTCGCATGAAAGTCGAACCCGATCCCACGTTTCACAACACTCCCCCTACAAGAACCAAGCTTTTCAACACCTTGTCCATGAACTGTCTACCCCGGATCAATATCTGAAAAAAGTGATACCATAGTACGATAGCTAGCCTTGGAAGCTAATCGATCCTACGCAAATCGGAAAAAAGCAAATCCACGAAATATTGAGAACCACTATCCTCTAATATGGCAGACTACGGCCGCCACTCTAACGAATTCTCCTCCCTTCAAGTTATTGATCATGAAGCAATCGCCAGTATGTCTCTAGGAAATAATACTAGTCCTCCGCCAGAAGATGGCCCCGGCCTCGTCCCCCCCACGAACGGCTCCGGCGCTGAAGGCCTCGAGCCCAGTCCTATTCAACCCGAGCCTGAAATGCCTACCGAAGTGCAAGATGTATTAGCTTCAGATGTATGAATCCTGGTTATACTCGATATCGGGAGAAAGTATGACTGATTAGTATAGATCGGCGTTTCTACCATGCTGAATAGGCTCAAACAAAGTATCACAGCAGCCAAGGTTAGTTACAGTCGCAGTTGGTCTCCTACCAGTTTCTTGGTCACTCATCATCATCACATGTGTTTAGGAATTTGCCACGTTCCTAAAGAAGCGATCGGACCTCGAAGACCAGCACGCAAAAGGCATGAAGAAGTTGTGCAGATCAACACAAGAAAGCATTCGTCACCATGAACACAGGCAAGGGACGTTTGCGCAGTCATATGAAGATATGCTCATGATACACGACCGAATGGCCGAAAATGGTATACAATTTGCGCTGTCCCTGCACCAGATGCACGAAGACCTACTTGAGGTGGCCGCGGTAGCTGAGAAGCATCGTAAGGGGTGGAAGCAGAATGGCCTAGCGGCGGAACAGCGTCTGACTGACGTGGAGAATGCGATGCGCAAGTCTAAGACAAAGTACGATTCGCTGGCCGAGGAGTACGACCGGGTGAGAACTGGCGAAGCGAGACAAGGTCCTAGAGTCTTTGGCATCAAAGGCCCCAAGTCAGCAGCGCAACACGAGGAAGATTTGTTGCGCAAGGTGCAAGCAGCCGATACAGATTATATGGGAAAGGTTCAGGCATATCAGTCAGAGAAGGCAGCTGTAGAATCTACCACACGACCGGAAGCAGTCAAAGCGCTGCAGGATCTCATCAGAGAATGCGACTCTGGTACTACCTTACAGATGCAGAAGTTTGGTAAGTGTTTGCTAACTGCCAATTGGGGAATTTACGCAATTTGCTAACCGTTCGTCAGCTTCATTCAACGAAAAACTGCTGTTGAGTAACGGTCTAGTGATAAGCCCCCTCAAAAGTGTCGCTCAGCCGGGTCAGCACTCCCGCAGCCTGAAGGAAGTAGTTCAAGCCATCGACAACAAGAAGGACCTTCAAAATTATATAATTAGCTTCCACGGCAAGGTTCCGGCCAGATCATCAGAAGCAAAATATGAAAGGAACCCGGTATGTGCGGAGTATACAATGTCGAGAGATGCTTGATATTAACATGCACTAGGTGCTTAATCCTCAACAGAATACGTCGACGAGCCAGATGACGCAGTTCCCACAACAAAGACCCCCATCACAAACACAGCGACAAGAGTCTCCTTTACAGACGCAGATGCAACCGCCAGGATCAATGGGCTCCCGAACTGGAGGTTATGATTCAATATCGTCTCCATCGGGGTTTCAAGGGCCGGCTCGAGGTTTTACCCCTCCCGGAATGGCGCCAGGATCGCGACCGTCGTCGGGGCCTGGGCACGAGAGAAGCTTTAGCCACGGTGCAATGCTAAACCAGACCGGTGCGCCGCCGCCCCAGCAATACAACACACGGAATTCAATACAAGCTCCCCCAACCCAGCCACGATTCAACGGAGCACCGCAACTTGGAGCCCTACCTTTCCAGAGCAACCCGGTGAGAGAACAGAGCCCTCAAGGCTTCCAACCCCCGGCGCTTAACGAACAATCCCCCGCGCGTTCGACATCACCTCCTGGTGGTCTCGCACAAAAGACGGATGGGTCAATCCCAAGGGGACCGGTCTTTGGAATATCTCTTGAACGATTATATGAGAATAGCAAGGGACCCGTTCCAATGGTTGTGTATCAGTGCATCCAGGCTGTCGACTTGTATGGTCTTGCCGTTGAGGGTATTTACAGATTGTCCGGATCGACGGCTCACGTGAACAAGTTAAAGCACTTGTTTGATACCAGTTCGTTCCTCCTTGACTCCCATTAAGAAAGACAGAAGCGGCTAACCTATGAAAAAATAGACGAGGACGCACCAATCCTTGACTTCCGCAACCCAGAGAACTTCTTCCACGACGTGAACAGCGTGGCGGGGCTACTGAAGCAGTTCCTCCGGGACCTGCCGGATCCGCTGCTGACGTCCGAGCACTATGGCGGGTTCATCGAGGCGGCGAAGAGCGACGACGACGTCGTGCGCAGGGACAGCCTGCACGCTATCATCAACGCCTTGCCGGATCCGAACTACGCGACCCTACGCGCGCTGACGCTACATCTTCATAGGGTGATCGAGCACAGCACCGTCAATCGGATGAACTCCCAGAACCTCGCTATCGTATTCGGTCCTACGCTCATGGGCACTGCGCCTGGGAGTAATATCCAGGATGCAGGCTGGCAGGTTAGGGTTGTTGATACGATTTTGCAGAATACTTATCAGATCTTTGATGAGGATTAATCTCCTCGGGTGAAGATTGGTGGTGAGAGTGGGATTAAAAGCAAGGAGAGAAGGGCGGGTTTGTATGAGGCTTAAATTGTTGTACAAGTGTATAACACTAGTCTTTGAGCCACTACCACTGCCACGGCTACACTTATTGCTTATTGTTTAAAAGAGTAATTTTTTTCTCATCTAATGGAGTTGGTGGAGGCGATGGCGGATCGGGGGGATGGGGGCTGGGATCGGTGCGGTGCGGTGACTTTTTGAGATTGTGTTGGGTGCGCGCATATACGCTTTTTTTACGTGGTACTCTCCGCTATGGATGGGTGGATGGGTGGATGACTTCGTTGTCGTTGTCGTCGTCGTCGTTGTAGTATACTGCTCTACGAGATTGCGCGTTCTGCTTGGCTTAGGTAGCTTGTTCTATGGTGGATAGTCCTTGATATCCATAGGTGCCGGCGGTTGGCTACGCTCGGGCTGCGCTGGGCTGTTTATAATGACAACTGGAATTTTATGAGATTGGTATTTTTGTTTTCGTGGTGGTGTTGATAAATTGGTCGTGTTTGTGGTTCTATGTGCGGATTATGTACAAGACACGTGTTTCCAAGCATGTTTTGAGGCTCGTCAGTTCTTTTTCATTACTCGTCTCTTATCAACTTGACTACATGGCGTGATTATATATTTCATTAGAATGTTCTTTTGCTCGCCCGCCTGGTTATATACTCATACAATTACAGCATCTTCGGCCATGATGTTTTGGGGTTTTGATATCGCATTATCCTAACTTCCGCTATACTATATATATTATGCGCCGACAGGAGGAACAGGAGCTGCGGCTTCGGTACCTGTGGGAATCTGGCCTGGTGGTTGGGGGAGGAAGAGAGGGAGGTAGGTTACGGCGAGGGCCATTACTATTGTTTACTTTTATGTTAGGACTATTCCTATGTTACAGAATGGGCGGTGTTGGAAGGGGGAAGCAAGGGAAAGGGGGCTTACAGGACATGCCAACGGTGAAATAGCCGGGCGTAGCACTGCCGCTCTTGCTTGCGTCTTCGCCTTCGCCGAGCCAGCTCTGGATGCTGATGACGACCGACGCCCAGCCGATGTATCGGTTGCGCGTGAAGATGGCGGCCATGGGCAGGGTCGATGATAGGGTCGATGAGAACTCGGCGTTGTCACCGGCCTTGGGACCGGGCTCCTGATACGGAACCACTACGGTGTATGTGTTAGTAACGTCGTAATACGGGTCGCCGATGCGGCGCGATGCGCATGAGAACGCCGCTTACCCAAGTCCTGCCGTCGCATGTCTTTCTTGACAGACGCCATTTCCTTCCACAATTACTTATTATCACTCCTCTCTACCGTTCTCAAAATCGGATAAACCGGCGTGGTCGATCGAATATGTTCCGTTACTCGGTGCGACACTACAGTAAGTTTTTTTTCTTCTTTCGATGCCGGGTTTACTTGTTTTGGACCGAGCTTCGGAAAAGGTCGACCGTTCAGTTACCGCAATTACGTGGACGGGGGAGAGAAGATGCGATGTCGTTGCTTCGATCGCGTCCCATGGATGGCCGCTGCAGGGTCGGACGGGGTCCACCCGACGCTAGTCCGGTTCCAGCTTCCAGTGGCTGCTTAGCTTAAGGTACTCCACTCCCCCTTTCCCCACCCTTTGTGCGATAAAGCCACACGGGCGACGGCGATGGGGGCGGGGTCAGCTAGATCTGCGTTTAGTGGCAGCAGAGGGTGGTAGGAGGGAGGTACGAAATACTTCCATCTACCTGAAGATTCGTACTTCCACGTCTTGGGAATGTCACCGGTGCAGCAGCCACTGACTGGCGTAGTTTCTGTTCCAAGGTTTTGCGCATTTTTTACACTTTTTGGGTTCGATTCCTATATCTTCCGCTTCCGTACAATAGACTCATATTGAGCTGATCGAGGTAACCTTCGAGGTCTAGTCTTGTCTCGTCTCGTCTCACTGCTTTCTCACTGCTCCTCATCATCATCTACTTACTAGATATCCGTTTTTTATCATTTTGTACGTGTTACTTCTATTCGATGTTCGTGTCACCCATCGTGCATCGTGCATACGAAAGAACCAAATATCGATGATAGCTGAGAGGCGGGAAAAGGGCGGAGTAGCCTTGCAACTCGGCCGGCACTTTCGATGTCCCTATGTGATGGGTTTTTATTCCCTATCTATATGCTTCTAATATGTAATATAGATAGGAGGTAGGTATCGATATCGGTATCGAGTGGACGTCTTGCTGCGATGTCCTCCACCCCAAGAATCCTCCTCTCAATCTATTAATTTAGCTGTGCGACGTCGAGCGTCGCCTTACGATGGGCACGCCCAGTTTGGCCAAGAGCCCGGTTCACGGACTCCAACAAATCTCATATATGCGGCTTACTTTAGTCTATGTGTCTATGTGTTTCTATGGCACAGATACGACAGATGAGATGCGGTGATAAAGCAGGAATAGCCGTAAGAGGAGAAGGTTCGGAGGATTGCCGTTTTGCTAACCACCTAGGTATTGATTGTGGCATTGTGGCAGATACCTAACGTACGGTATGTAGTCGAGTAAGACATCTGCAAAGATTTGTGTATTTCCGATGATCCCCACGGGTCGTAATTAAGTCAGGATTGGGCGTTCGTGGGATCAACGACCAGCACTAACCCGCGATGGGATAAATATGTCTCTCGTTGCAATAATCCCGAAGCCTACCTACTGCCTCCCTATCTGCCGCCTAGGTAACTTGTGTATTCATTCGTTCGCGTCAATGTAAAATTTGGTGATCCTCGACGGGAAATCGGCCTCAGAAATGCACGAGAACAACGTCATATCTCGCCTATTAGCCTATCCGGGTACTGCCCAACTATTATGCAATGACAAATTGGGTGAGGGCGAGGGCCATTCGCGGTCCGTCGTAATTGGACGAGCTCCCCCATTCCCCTTGCAGGATATCCGACAAACGAAATGGAGTAACAGCAACACGAGTTGGGCAGTTTCAACAGACTGGCAGCTTCTAAATAGGGAAGGACTGTTAGGCTACGTAGGGGCAGGTAGGCAGTAGGTAGGCTGAGCTTCGGTTGCATTATTTATATGTTCAATGTTCCGGGCACCTTTCATCTACTATGGTAGACATGCACATAGAGTAGGATGGATGGATATACATATAGTAGGATAGGAATAGGTGAAATCCGTCGAAAAAGAGATGTTACACGCACGGGGATCGATCCTGCATCTGAGAGAATCCTAGGAGATACAATACCTACCTGGTGCATAGTATGTTGAAGGTTAGTAATATGTACGGATATGTCGACTCGGACACACGACAGCAGCTAGCTTAACTTCACGGCCGAATGGGCGTCAGGCAAAGCTCGATATCCCACTCCTTTTACGGCAATTGGTTGCGGGGGTCTGCCTGCGAAGGGCGGACGAGATTCGGTCAACCATTTGTCAGAGATACAATGGTCGACGCGGGTTATTGATGACCTGCGTCTGGGGCTGGCCTGGTCCGCCGCTGATAGGTGATTTGGTCCAGCGAGTGTCAGTGAGGGAAAGATTGGTAATTTTCGTGATTTTCGACAACCGTCCAATAGGATATCCGAGTCGGGTGTGGAGTTGCTTAGGTCCTTACTCTCTCTCTCGCAGCTGTTGTCAGAACATTCCTACATACATCCTACATCCTCATTATTTTCTTGTCTTTTCATCATCTCCCGAGTTTAATGGTTCGTTGCGCATAATACAATGAAGTCTATTTGGTATTCGATCTCGTGATTTCCTCCTTGCGTCTTGCATCTTGGGTATTGTTGTCAGTTTATCAACGCCTGTTGTTCCTTTTGTTGATGATGTTCTTGTTGGGATGGGGCTATTCGTATGTAGGAACATACCATCATCTCATGATACTCCAGTCCGATCTAGTCTCCGCCCAGCATAGCTACGATATGACGATATGTCCTCAGTCAGGTCCCACGGTATGATTCAGGTGATGATTGTTACTGATTACCGATTACCGATTTCTTATTACATACCTCGATTCTTGTTTGGCGAACTTGTGACCGACTAGCCTTAATACGTTTTAGGCAAACTATATTTACCAAGAGAAAGGATCTCATGGTCTAGCCCGGCCAACCCGGTGAACTTAACAGATTAGGTTGTCCGGGGCCTCGGTTTCGCCCCTTCCTCTCATATCCAACGTTGTTTCGTTTAATGTTCTTTTTCTTTAACTCCGGTTATCGTAAAAAGTTTGAGTGAGTAAGGGAAGTAGATATCCCGCGATATGTAATCCGAAGTTGTAATCCCCGGCCGTTGTTGGGCTGCGTAAGCTTTTCTTTTTTTCCTGCTTAGTTGTCACATACCTAGGTATGTAAGCTTTCGAATCTTTCTAATCTTCCCATCTTACATGACCTTTTTTTCCAAGATTACCGAGCGGACTTAAACCACTTACGGGCTCAGCCGCCGAAGCCCCGAAAGAGGCCCGGATTCTAACTAGCAGTTTAGGGGCTTAGATCACTACGGCGTAGAAGGAAGCCGAGGACCACAGCTGAAACTAGAAGCCCTTGATTGATTACTATACGTGTAACCCGAATTCAAATTCCACGATAGCCGCAGTAACATACTAGCATGCCTAAGACCTATAACAACAGTGCCTTGCAGCCTAAGTGAGGTAAGGTTGTAGGTACCTAGGTAGGGATTATTAGGTCCTATTAAGGATTAAAGAGGCGTCTAACGTTCTCGTTGGACGTTGGACACCTGCGCAATCTCTACTACTAGGACATGTATGTTCAAACTGTTTGATTCAAGCTGAATATAGAAGTAAAATCCCTTGAGTTGTCTGCCAAGTGTCGGTCGTATGTATGTTTTATGTATTAATTGTCCAAAAATGAATATTTTCGTTTCCTATTCAAATGTTGTCATGCTCGGATAGGTTAGATACCAAGATACATTTGGCATTTGTCTTTTTCTAATGTGGTCCGGGATCCACCTCATCTAGCGAATCTGCGCTATTACTGTGTCACGTACCACGGGCTATCACTGCGTATATCCGTATCGAGGTATAAATGGATAATATGCAAGTTATGCATTGTACCTTCTCACGTATTTTAGACGTGCTAATGACGGGCAAGTGTGTGGTAGAGGTACTTAATGTGTAGGAAGAGGGTACGACCAGACAGATAGACAGATTACAGGTAGGGAGGTGCGATGGTGTCAGTTCGCATATTTTCCCGCGGTTCCGATCCCACCCAATCGTGCAGATCATGCCAAACCAGAAGCAGAAGAGAACAACCCAACCAGCCCCAACCTTGCTTGCTGCTACAGTATTCACCCTGTTAACCCTGCTAAGTTTTAACCCTGCTTGCCTGGATCACCCTGATCACCTTAACCTAAGACCCAGAATGCGGTCAATTGCTCCAGTTACTCCAATGGCTCGATTGGTTTTAACGGCTCACTGGTCACTTCCAGTGCTAATTCGATAGTCCTGGGTCTCGACTGGGTTAACGAGGACTTACCTGACTGGTCTCACTACTTCGTACGCACTACGCACTACGCAACAACAACCCAGCAATTCCAGTACCCAGTACCCAGTAGCCCAGTACGCACCACACTACGCACTCTTTACCGCAACCGCAACCCCGATCAACTTTTGCCGCTACCACCGTATTCGCCGCAGCGGATGTGCCCATGTGAGGCGTGAGCGTGAGGCGGAAAGTGTGTGTGTGTAATCATAGAAACACCTCCAGGGCTCTTTTTTAGCTAACAATCAACCACTTTACCACATCACATATCATACTTACCTTACATATTACATACATACCATCTACGCACATGCCAATTTTTCACTATACCCCGAAAATCTTCTTCAAATTTGCTCTTAATCCCCTCTAGCTTGCATTCGCTGAACTTCCTTTTCGCTGTTCCTGCTGCTCTGTATCCGAGTTCGTATTCCGCATTCCGCAATTCACGTAACGTATTGAGCCTCGCGGAATCGCATCCCTAGACTCGAATTCGCTTCGTCGTCCAAATACCTCCAACTCCCTCCTTTACACATAATCCGACTACATGAAGACATGGCGCATCAACAAATCGCTCGCCCGCGATGACCTCTAGGCCCCCCATGGCCGTCCCTCAGCGGCAGCCTCAGAGAACTTTAAGCGGCTCGGGGTTGTCGCAATCCCCTACCCACCAACGCACCCTCTCACAACAATACCTTCCCCAATCCCCTATACGAAAGTCGGACACCTTTAGCGAGCAGGCTTCCGACCTAGGCGATGTTGCACAGAGTCGGTATAATACCCTTCCCAGAAGGGGAGGGTCGAGGCTCAAGCTTGAGCTTGCCAATGATGGCATCGAACATCCCGGCTTCAGCGAATCCCCGCAGAACCTCGATGCTTTATCCGCCGGAAAAGTATTCACTCCGTCGCGAGTGATGTCCATGAACGATCTTTCCGATGCCGGTGATTTGACTCCGCGTACGTCGAGATGTCAGACTGCCGACGATGACTCAGTTCCATTGCCATTGCCTCCTCATCGAACCCGGCTCGTGGTGCTCGCTAAGCGCCCTGAACCCTCGAATACGATGACAAACACGCCTCCAAAAAAGGATGCTCGTCCGAAACCGTTTGTGCTCGAGACGCCATCGATCGCTCCTCGCTACCCGAATTTCGGCAAGCCAGAGCCCGCCGGTAAAACAAGAACCAAGGATACCGCTCGTGCGTCTACTGACCTATGCGTAGGATTCGCTGATTTCTACCCCTGGAACGGACAACATCCCGAAGATCAGTTTACGGATAGCATCATTAGGCATGGCTTCTTTGACAAGGCGCCGGCGCAGTCCACACAGGAACCCGCATCCGCTAAGGCCCCGTTGTTTCCCGCCATGAAACATAAGAACGGTCTTAACACATTATCATCGTTATTTACTGGCATATTGAATCAAAGGCGACATAGTGGACAGATCACATCGGCTTCTACCTTTAAACCCCCGCCTCGTGTAACCCTTACCGACACGAAACGAGAGATTTGGCTTAAAGACCTTGCTAATCCCGCCATATCCCTCAGACGTCTTAGTCGAACCATACCTCACGGCATTCGCGGAAAGGTCTTACTTGAGCAATGTCTGAATAAGAATGTTCCTACTGACCGTGCTGTTTGGCTTGCTAAGTGTGTCGGTGCGAACGAAATTCGCGCCTTCAAGAGAAAAGGAGTCAATGGCACCTTCGTGATGGGCGGAGAGGCCAAGTGGATTAGGGATTGGACCGTATTTGTCGAACAATTCGTCGAATCTGTCACTAATGCGTTTAGTGAGAATGATTGGAAGACGAAGGTTACATATGCGTAAGTAATGATGCTGTTCCGTGCTCTCTCGTGCCGTTCCGCAAGATGATGAGTTTTTGTGCTTACTAGGTACCTACAGCATTCGCCTCGCCACACACCTTTACGCCGAACATCTTCTCGATCGCGACCATTACATGGACTGGTTGGTTTCTGGCTTGGAGAATAGCAACCAAGCTAAATTGCCCATGTGGCTTTTAATAATCCAGATATACTGGAAAGATATCCTCAAACTACGGAGACATGGGCGAAGATTGGTTAACGCTATTCTCTCCCATCATTTCTCTGTACGTCTTCTCAAAGCAGATTTTCAACTTTACTAGCTAACTATTTGAATAGATACATTACCACCCCGATCGCGACATATTACTCCCTCTTGCCACACGCTTACACACTCTAGTAGAGTCTCTGCTTCTTACCAGTCCCGAAAACTTCATATGCCCCGCAACATGGTTGAAATTTCGCGACTCCTTAGCCGATACCCCCAGTGCGAATAATAACGAATCTAGGTCAAAAATGCTTAAAGCCATCGACCTGCGTAATGACTATTTAACGAGCTCCAATGCCAAATCACAACCTGCTCTCCGAAGCATCGTAGTGCAGCTACTCGACAGCATACATCGAACGCCCCTTGACGATGCGATCCCTAAGCAGCTTTGGAAAACGAGCGAAAACAAGTTGTCCATAGTGAGGACTATCTTGGAATGGTGTACTACGCTGTATCGACCTGGGATTGCTAAGGTGTACATTGCCGCGACGCTCCTTCGTTCGTCCACAGACTTCGATATCGACGTCACTAGAGCCGTTCTAGAATTTTTAGACACCGACCCACTACAAGAAAACGCTCGAAAGCATCTCGTCTATCATGTCGTATCAGAGCTTACTCGTTCTGGTCACTTCTTGGTTCCGCAGTATATCCAATGGCTCATAGCTCGTGGTGGCCTCATGAATGCCAGCCAAACGGCGCCCGATGGGCCTTGCGTTTTTAGACTTCTCGTCGAGATTCCCGTCCATTCGTTAAACGAGTCCATGAGAAACCTGAGGGCGACCCTGCTACGAAGGGCATGTTTTTCGGTAGAAGACGAGGCCCAGGATATTGCAATGGCAATAAGTTGCGTCAAGGGCACGCTTTCTATTCCCCTAGACCCTACCGATATCCCGTTACAAAGAAAGCCGATGAGCCTAAAGAAGCTATCGAAGCTAATTGAACTAAGCAGCCGTTCTCTTAAAGCAACTATCTCCTCGTGGCTCTGCAACGACTTCGTTGGCAGCTTTGCTCAAAATTTGCAATCGGGAAAAGGGGGCATGGAACTGCCCAAATCCATGTTTGAGACGGTTCGAACACTGCTCGAAGCCGCGGAGGACTATAGTATGCTGGAAAACGTTTTGAAGCTAGCTGCACCATGTTCTAATGCTGAACTTCTCGCATGTTGCACTGACACCATCAACCTTCATCTGCCGGTATTTACAGCAACCGGAACAGCCAAGCCGCTCTTCCAGATTCTTTACGATCGATTAAAGGTTACCTTGGAACAGCAAGGCGTGGGCGCCCGGCCATTACTTGCTTCTCTTGCTAACCTGGCGCCCCGTTTGACTGGCTTGGAGGACGTGTCGGCGCAATTACACAATGACTTGGTTCGATTGGACCGTAGTAGCGCCGCCGACGCCTCATCTCCACTATCTGATAATATGGCTACACAGCTCCAAGATGTCGAGACAGAATTAAGCGAGCAGATAGAGAAGCTCGCCACTTACTCGAGCGCCGATAAACGGACGATGGAACATCTCTTCTATGCCATCGCGAAAAGGTTACAGGCTTACTGGGGTAAAAAGGACGAGCGCCAACGGCTATGCTGCATCCTTCTTATGAGACTGCGCGTGTTCGATATTCACCACTTTAAGGAACTTATGAGGGATTGGGTCCAGCATATCCGCAGGTTGCCTAACCGGCGACCTATCGCCGAGCTCTTCCCGCCTCTTTTCAGTTCGGGTTGTCTGTCTCTTCCCATCCTGTTCTCAACCGCTACGAGACCTCGTAGTCAAACCACCCAACTTCCAAGAGCCGCCGGGTTTGCTTCTGTTTACATGCAGGAAATATTGCAGATGTTGATGACGCCATTTAGCCCGAGCCCGATTATGACTTCTGAAGACTGTTATCGCTTTCGTATTATCCAGGATCACGCTCGGCGCGACCATGCGAAGGAGTTAATGCCCTTAATCCGCGATGCATTGGCGGAATATTCGGAATCCCGCAATCAGCAAGCAATGATCGAACAACCGCTCGAGGATGAACAAACTAAGGATCGACTCCTCGAGCTCTTCCGAGATTTAGTCCTTGTTGACCCGAGCGCTGCCAGTCGAGTGGTTTCACTAAAAAGTCCCGAGCCGAAATTAGCTGCGCTTATTGAAAGGTGGACGACGAAGCTTTTAGTTCCCAATGGAGGCGGTGGGCAGAAGTCATTCGAACAGGTTTTGGAGCTGGCAAATGAATTCACCTTGCCATTCTGTCAAGTTAAGCTTTCATTAAACCTTGCCCTCGACGAGTCCAGTCTAGAAGCGTCCGAGAGAGTCCACTCCCAGTTTGAGTTGCTGTCAAAAGCCCTTGATAACGCCATTGACGCCAACAATATCATGTGGACAGGCATGCTGCCTTCTCTGGCCCCTGATATTACCCAGCACATGAGAAATCGGGCGGAGTCACGTTTTCTCGATATTATTCCATCGCTCAAGAACCCCCCTGATGAGAGCTCATGCTATAAGGGTATTCACATGGCGGAGAATCTATTAACTGTGATCGACTCAATTTTCCGCGGAGGGTCAGGGTCAAAGGTGTCTCCGCTTTCGAGCGCCTTGGTAGACAAGCTTGCCGATTTATGGGACATCCTAGCCTCGCGGGCCAATGAATACACCTCAATGAGAAATGCCGTGCTCTCTCATTGGCTTCCCCTTCTCTTCTCCTACCTAACCCTTTACACTTCGCCATCCGCAAGCGCAATAGATGCGTCAAAACTACCGTTGCTGGGAGGCGAAATCCGCGGTCGCGCTTTAATCGTCCTTGCCGGTCTTATCCAAGAACTCGACAACTATCCGTCCTCAAACCTCGGGCAACAGGCTTTCGATATCTCTCTCGCACTCGTTGATAGTTTATCTGAGGAGTCGCGCTTATTATGTGTGCGTGCGGTGAAAGATGTCACGGCCGACCCGAGACTTAAATACCTATTTAGCTTCGCACCGAACCCAGCGGAGGATTTCATGCTATCGCACCGCGATAAGCCACCATCGGGGATCCAAGAGAGGAGGGCGATGGCGATGGGTATGAGCATGATACCCGAAAGGTTGACGCCTTTTGTCTTCAGGAGGTGGGAAATCCTCAACGAACCCACCCCGAATGTGGGCGAGAACGATACGAGCTTGAGCTTGACGCTATTCGACGCCCGGAAGATCAAGTAGTGTATCCCGAGAGGATTCTCATACACTTCCCTATTTCTAATATCCCCCGGCATGTATCGATAGGAGGGGGGCTCGAAGCTAGGTATCTAATCGACCGACCCAACGAGAATATCAACTGTACGACTTCAACATCTGGGATTGGAGTTTCTAATTTTATATATATCTATCCATCACTCGGTGCATACGGCCTTCGCTCAAAGAAAGCGGAGAGGCCATAGTGTCAACATCACGTCTTTTTAAGGTCTCCTTTACTATCTTACTCATCATTATCATCATACCATCCTTGGGGCACTCTCACGGCATTAACGACATGACGCACGCATCTGCTGAGCTTTGGGGTTCTTGCTTTTGTCTCGGAGCGCGTGGTAGAACTCGCGCGCGCGCGCATCTTACTACTTTTGCTGATACCTGGGGCGGGAAACGACGCATATTTTTTTTGTTCTTGTTTTTGCTTGATTGTCTGTGTTCGTCTTTTTTTGTGCGCGTATTGTGTGTGTGTGTGCTTTTGGGAGACGGGGTTATGGGGTCTGGGGCTCGGGTCCGGGTTTGGCGGTTGGTTCTTTCGATTTGCGATTGGGCTTTTGTTTTTGTGTGTGATGGGCGGGCGATGTGTATAGAAGGAAGGTGGAGGAGGGTTGTGTAGAGGAATGGGAGGGGTATGGGGTGGAGAGAGGAGAGGAGATGAGAGAGAGAGAAATGCATTTAAGTTACTTCATGTTGCTGTTGTGTGTGCTGTTCTATGTGTTGGCTTGTGATTGTGACTTTGATTGCGAGGTGTCGTTAGTGATATGATGTGTTGGATGTAGGAAATGGTAGGTGAGACTGGCGAGCTATTCGTTATCTCGTGAGCTTGGGACGGGTTGGAAATTTGCATGGGCTTGTTTTCAATTTTTGACTCATGCTGGATAGTAGGTAAGGAAGAGATGCTGTCTTCACAAGACCGGTGTATTGGGCAGATAACTACCTACTGGTAGGTACGTAGACGACGATGATTTATGAGATTCCTACCTAGTGATGAGCTAAGTCTTGATGGTTTGATTATGTAATAGAAAAATAACGCCACACCATCATCATGGAATTACAGTGAGTTCACTTTTGCTTTTGCCTTTCTCTTTTGATTGTTATTCCCTCGTCAGAGTTTGTTTTTGCCTACTAGGTACCAACCTCGTAGTAATGGCTCAGATCACCTTGGCAATACTTTAGCATCTTGAGGACGCAGTTTGTCGATTTGAAAATTTTGCCCGTGGGACTATATTTCCAACATATTATTACTTACTATTCAAAATGGCAGCACTTCAATACGAGCAACAGAAACAGTTGAGTCTATATCATTTTACGCCATTCGAGTTTCCCTAAAAGTGACCTTCAAACCTTGGAATCTTTTCCCACATCTCAACACTTCAACACATCGAGAAACTTCGAGATAGAGGCACCAGGCTAGGTACAGATAGTATGGGAAATATGTTACATGTGAGAAGAGTTTCGCGAAATAAAAACATATCTGATGTTTAATAGAGCAAAGGCTTCTAGGACAGAAATATTCCTTACCTATATTATCAATATCGATCATCCCCTTCTAAGGTTAAAAACATCTAGTAACTCTCACCGATTGAAAGCAGCACCACATCTACCAACTACTTTCCGTCGATTATTGGGACCAGCCAAAGAACAAAAGACCACTCGCTTTTATTCTATTCGATCAAATAAATCTATTGGATTGTCCACAAAATAGATACACAATGTGGAGCCTCAAAGACAAAGTGTAATACATAAGGCTCAACAAGCCACCCTCCAACATCTACGGCCAGAGAGCTTCGAAGATATGAATGAAGGCTTGGTGGTCTAGTGGTATGATTCGCGCTTAGGGAAAACCTACAGCATCGCTTGCGCGAGGTCCCGGGTTCAATCCCCGGCCAAGCCCTTTTCTTTTGGCCATCTGGCCTTCTGCACTTCTGGACTTTCATCGTTGCGTAAAAAGTTCCTTTTTTGCGCCGATTTTGGTACGATGGGGTTGTGGGCGCGGTGGTGGGCGGAGTGGATGTTGGAAAGGGGCTAGGCTCCACTATTGTTAGGTTTTGCACGGAAGAGCCTTTGGACTGGATCGCAATTTGCATCCACTATGTTAATCCACGACTGCCGTGGTTTAGATAGTGTAACTACCTACGTATGTTAAATAAACCCTAGCTAACGAAGATCTAGCAATGAATGAACTCTTTTCTCGATGTCGTCTGAGCGATTTCGTGCTGCTTCGAATGTGGACACAACTACTAATATGTTCCTAGTATGTAGGTATGTATGTATTTCGCTCAAGCAACTCGAGGCTCTCCTAGCGTCCTCGGGGGAATTGGCTTGCATGGAAAATATGATGATGAATATAAAAAAAGGATGTCAGTTTCGGTTCGTATTCTCCAAGATGGATCCTCGAAGTACTGAGGCGCCAGTTGTCGTAGCCCTACACTCTGTAACAACACCCATCTCGGCTTGGGCAGAATAGCGCCGATGTGTCTTAGATTCCGTCGGTCTTTCTGTAGAGGCGTACACATGAACACGTACGGAACTCCCCATCGCCCCTTTGGCCCTCGACACAGAAGGGTCGCATCGCGTCGGGAAAGGTGAGGGATTCGGTGATGACGAGTGGCTTGACGGTTGGTATCAATATGTGTAAGACGGGCTCTTCGCCAACCCGGGGACGGACTTCATTGACGAGAAAGGCGCACAGCTCGTCCAGGTCATCCTTATATCCTATGAATTGAGGGCCGAGCGGGTCCTGGCGCTGGAGGTCTTCGAACTTGGGATGCCACTCATGCCCATGGTGGAAGACGAAGAAGTAATGGGGCACCACATCTTGACTATGCCGTTCGATCATAAGCCGGATGTACGAGTGTACATGCTGGGGGAAGTAGTCGCCTCTCGAGTTCATCGAATATAGGTTCTGGTCGATACCGTTGAGCGATCTGTCGATCCTCTCTGCGCTGTCTGCTAGCCGCTTGATCTCGGCAATGGCGGCCGCTCCCGTCAAGATACCCCCGATATTGGAAATATGGCTCATGACGGATGGCTTGCTGAAAGATTTGATTCCCTCCGCGATGTCCAGTAATGCCTTGTTCGTGCCTTCTACATGGCTCTCCAAACCTCGTAGGGCTTTCAGGATCTGTTTCAGTTGCCCTTTTGATATCTGACCAGACTGAGCTTGAGATTTGGCGGTGCGAATGAGATTGTCAACAATAGATTTCACATCGGTGTGGTTGTTGTTAACTGCATCCAACATTTCTTTCCCCAGCTCGGGACTGCCTTTGAACATAGAATGTACAGACGAAATAATAGTGGTAATGGCGCTAATCATGTTCCAATCCCATTTACCCGAAAAGACTTTAGGTATGTTCGCCGCCATTTTGATTATATGTTCTTTGGGCTCTATTATGGTCTTCCCAGTTAAAGCCCGAGCAATAAAAGAAAAATAGGGAATAAAATTAATAATACTTAGTCAGGAGATTGGAACAAATAAGATACCATGTAGATGGGAGCTGAGAGATGAGAAATGAGATGGGATAAGCTTGAGCTTTTAGAGCAGAAAATTTGCACTTTTCTTAAATGATCTGGCAACCTAGGTCCTACCTATCTCCCTACCTACCTACCTACTTAGGAGTTTCTCATATATGAGAGAACCCAACTTCCCGCCTGTCGATGGCCGACGCTTCGGACCATAGCAGGCCTTCGGAAGGGAAAAGGCATAGGGTCGCGTGGCAGCTGTTGGGACCGGAAATGTCGCATCTTAGACAAATAGCACTAACAGTACGCCCGTCTACTGTCTATCAAGAGGGAGCCTCGTCGCCTTTTCCGATCTACGCGCCGTTCTCAAGTATGCCTTACCCAGCAGGTAGTTAACATAGCTTTCCACACCTCCAACATCGGTTTCGAATTCAATCGCGATATCCAATCGAGCGACTAGAACCTCATATCCATGTAGCTATCTCGCGGCTGGAGGCTTGTTGGGGGTCATTGACTCATCGTATGGATCCTATTACGCCAAAGGATGAAGTCGCAGGGGCATCGACACGTTAGATATACGAGTAGCAGCAGAGCATACGCATAGTCAGATCATTGTATGTTGGTTGTAGGAGTGATGAATTGAACTAGGTACATACTACCTACGTCTATGCTATGTAAAAGTAACATATGGTCCGTGCTCATATGGATCAACCTGTGACATCATAATGTACGAGTGCGTAGCCACATATCTACCCTGCGCACCGCCACGAGGTAATGTTCAATGTTGCACATGGAAGCGCTCTAACTCTTCAAGGTTCACTCTACCTAGAATGTAAAAACTTCGAAACTTCTTGAATGCTACTATAGATAAATACTAAGTACCTAGGTAAGTACCTACCTACCTACACATCCTCAACACACACCCCTCAAGCCGTACAAGCACCACTATAACAATTACCACCAGCGCAATACTCGCTCGAGCTCCCACAAAAGCCCGAAGTCGAACAACACGTCCCGAACTGGGTGCCGGTACACGTCTTATTCCCAGCGAAATTCGGGCCACACTCCCCGTTCGTCGAGGGGCCCCCACTGTCCGGGTCGCAGGCCCCCGAGTAGCAGTTGCCCGGGCCGCAGTAGTCCGTGCCGTTGCCGCAGTACCCGTAGATGCTGCAGCACGTGCCGAACTGCGCCGTGCACGTCGTGCCCCCGTGCTCCGGCCCGCATGTCCCGTCTTGTGTGTCGGTCCCGTTGCTAGCGCTGCCACAGTACTCTGTCCCGGTCCCGCAGAACCCGTATGCGGAGCAGCAGTCCCCGAAGCCGCTGTTCACGCAGGTTACGCCTGCGGAACATGTCCCGTCTGTTGATACGGTTTGTGGCGTTACGGGGGCGACGCAGACGTCGTATTTGAGCCAGAGGTTCAGACAGTCGTCGGTTAGGTACGTGTTCCATGATTGCAGTTGGCTGAAGTTCAGCCCGAACCGCTGGTCTACTGTCCAGCAGCTGTCGCCTGCTATTACTAGGTAGTAGTCCCCGCATTGCTCGATGGTCCCGCTCTGTGTTGGGTAGGCTGGCGTTGCGGCCGTGTAGTATGTCGGCGACCCTGTTGCGCCGGGCGCGGTGATTGTCGCGTTTGGCTTGGGATATGTCCCTCCTGGCGCGCTGTTTCGAGGGGTTAGTGTCAATGATATAACGGATTCTACTCTGAATTTGGGGGCTTGGACTTGCCTCTTACACACGCGCTGGCCTGGGGCGATTCCGGTGCAGCTGCCCTGGATGTTGGTGTTCCAGCTGAGAAATTGCTCCGTGGTGATTTCGTACGTTGAGTTGGAGTACTTCTTGGCGAGATCGTCACTATTTCGAGGATTTAGTACAGATTTTCTGTCTTTTGCATTAGGAGCCAATGTAGTTTCACATACCAACTCGGGCTGTCCCAGACCGTGTCTACTTCACACGGGAGGGGGAAACAGAGTGGTTGGTTGAAATAGCAGGTGTAGTCCCCGGTGACTACTCGAGCATCACCTGTTGATATGTTATACCTGTATGCCCGCATGCAGCTTATTAGTCATCCTCCGGTTATAACATGCATATGTAAGCAGGGAACATCATACGTATCGGAAAGATCATTGCAAGTCAGCCAATTTGCTATCGGCTGTATGGTCTGACCTAGGCAAGTTCCTGTTGCCGTCGGAGCCGAACCTGTTGTCGTCGCCGATGTTCCGCCTCCAGAAGTGGTGGTAGCCGTTGCCGAACCTATATATAATGTCGGCGCCGAAGTGGTGTAAGACAGCGTTGTGGAGCAGTTCTTCTGAACATCGTCGAACTGATCGATCAAGTAATTGGTGAAGTTGCTAACGGGCAGCCAGGGATCAAGCAGCCGTTGCCGAAACACTTCCAGGAAGCATTCGTTACAGTACTAGTACGTCAGGTTAGTCCGCCGCTTATAGAGTTCTGTTACTCAGAAATTCAGGGGGTAAAGGATTTGCGTACCAAGTCGTCACCATATAAGTTAGTCATGGCCGCCATATCGTCAGAGATAGTATCTAAGTCAAAGTCCGGGTCGGCGCACTCTGGTGCTATCGTGCTGTTGTCGTCGCCGTCGCTGAAGCACATGGTCGGGTCATAGCGAATATAGTCGCTTCCTTGCCATGTCTGCGATTCTAAGAAGCACCAATTAGACGCGCTGTCTTGCATACATACGAGCTCGGCGTTGTAGGTGAAAGCCAACGGGAGCGCCTTGGCCTGGACAATCATGCCGGCTTGGATCGTTGTCTCGTCTGTACAGACTGTCTCGACATGGCTTTTCCAGGAACTCAACGACGAGACGCAATCTGAGGTACAGAGGCTGTTTATGTCGCTGGTTGTCCAGTCTTGCACTGGTTAGCTTTACTTCATTGAAAGGCAACATCGGGACGCAACAAGCTCACAATGAATGTCCGCCCCGTTCCCTACCAAATTTATCATAGCTTCATCGCAATGGACAGTGGTGTTTCTGTAGGCGAATGTTAACGCAGGAATATAATCCAGGGGTGCTATCGGAGCCACTTACAACGCTGCAAGGCATGTGCTACTCAGAGCCAGCCCTGCAATCAAGGCGTCTTCATCATATAATTTGTATAGCTCAAAATCAGCCGCAGCGCAAGCTGCCCACCCCACGAGCAAGACAGCATAATGTTTGAAGATGGACATTAGCATGTTCTCGTCGGCCCAGGTCAGCCGGTTCAAGTTCTTGTTCGCGACGAGAAAGCCAACGCTCGAGCAACAATTCCTCGCCGGACGGCCAGAGGTAAGAGGTAAGTATAATTTTTTCCCGTCACATCTGCAGGCGCCGCTTTAAGACGCTAGATTGAAATCGGTCTATATAGTTTCCAACAACATCAGATAATCAGGTTTACCCATGCACATTCACACGTTTTTCCAGAATGCATGTCAGCCTAGCGTAGGAGTGTCGGGCTCAGCTGATATAGTTGTGGCTTATAGGTAAGCAGGACCTAGACCTTTGTGATACCAACCCACTCGACTATTTACTTTCGTCGTATATTAATTCCTATGGTCGATACCGATGCCCCTGTAGATAGTCACCCTACGCGGAGTCACTACTTCGGATCCGACGGTAAGTTGATAAATACCTCAATATTATTCTGTCTTGCGACGCATGTCAGCGTGATATCAGTTAGGGCTTCGTTCGAAAGGCGCATTCTACATATCACGTATTTAAGTGATAAGAACATGTACAAGGGCCTTTCGACACGGAATTAGGCCAGAGCGGCTCATGTCAGTCAGTTTACCACAGATCCAAGTTCCCATGCCGAACTTGGCAATCTCAATGCGAATGCTTCTTTCAACCATTCTCGTCCTCGCAGCTTGCGGGACCTCTCAAGGCCGACTCGGCCTCGAGAAACGCAACAGCTCGCAGGTATGGAAGGAAGTGCCCCAGCTTCCCAGGAACTCGTCGTCTGTGTTAGAGGCTCTGTTCCAGCCTTACTCGAACAAGACGCCTGTGTTTCAAAACAGCGACGTCATTAAAGAGTTGTCTGAGAATCCCGGCGCGAGGCTCAGCCATCTCAACTCCGGCTTTCTATCCAAAAGACAATCGAGCACGCTTCCCGACGGGGCTTGTGCCCCCGGGGTTCCTTGCACGAACGGCGCGTGTTGCAGCAACACGGGCGTATGTTCGTACGCGCCTACGAGCTGCGGCGCCGACGTGTGCATTTCCAACTGCGACGCGAAAGCTCCTTGTGGTGAATACGCGCACCCCGAAAACGCATCATGTCCTCTAAATGTATGCTGTTCGCAGTACGGCTTTTGTAAGTCCTTTTACTTAAATTACCTTTTTAGACCTACCTCTCCTACTCCCTCGGAGCACATACTAACCTGAACACCCATAGGCGGCACCGGTGACTTATTCTGCGGAGACAAATGCCAAGAGGGCTACGGAAGCTGCGGGCCTCCGCCGACCCCCTCATGCGGAGCCGGGTCCATCATATCGCGGCGCATCGGGTACTACGAGAGCTGGGCGACGACACGACCGTGCGATGTATTCGCGCCCGAGGACCTAGACGTGACGGGGATGACGCACCTCAACTTCGCCTTCTCCTTCTTCGACCCGTCGACCTTCCAGATCACGCCCATGGACGCCAACGCGGGATCGCTGTACTCGCGCTTCACGGCGCTGAAGACCAAGCAGCCGGGGCTGCAGACCTGGCTTTCGATCGGTGGCTGGTCGTTCAATGACGCGACGAACACGCCGAACACCCAGAACGCGTTCAGTAATATGGTTGGGTCGGCGGCGAACCGACAGGCTTTCATCAATTCGCTGCGTAACTTCATGCAGACGTATGGTTTTGACGGTGTCGATATCGACTGGGAGTACCCAGTCGCAGACGACCGCGGCGGCGTAGCAGCCGACTTCACCAACTTCCCCGCCTTCCTAGCCGAGCTGCGGAGCTCGTTTGGCAGCGGGTTAGGCATCAGCGCGACGCTGCCGTCGTCGTACTGGTACCTGCAGCACTTCGACCTGCTAGCGATGGAGCCGAGCGTGGACTGGTTCAACTTCATGAGCTACGACATCCACGGCGTATGGGACTCGACGAACAAGTTCACGGGGCCGTACATACGGCCGCACACGAATCTGACGGAGATCGATGACGGGCTGTCCCTGATGTGGCGCGCTGGTGTTAATCCGTCCAAGGTTGTGCTTGGGCTGGGTTGGTACGGGAGGTCTTTCACGCTTACGGACCCGGGTTGTAATACCCCGAATGGCATATGCCAGTTTCTCACCGGCGGCGCGGAGGGCGAGTGCACGAAGTCGTCTGGCACGCTTTCGAATGCTGAGATTAAGCGTATCCTGGCAACTGGCGTCGGCGTCGAGTCGTATGATGAAACTGCGGCGGTCCGCTGGTTGACGTGGAATTCGAACCAGTGGGTTAGTTACGACGATGGCAAAACCATGCAGCAGAAGATGTCGTACGCCAACAAGTTATGCCTAGGAGGGATTATGATCGTAAGAGACCTTGCACTATACTTACCTACATACCTACCTACCTAGCTAACTAATGTTATTTCCCTAGTGGTCTCTAGACCAAGACAACAAGGCTGGCGATAGTATGAACGACTTGCTAGGCATCGGCACAGGCAACGGGGTTTCGGAAGAAGCCGCCGAATCGTTCAGGGAGCAACTAGCCAACGCGACACTACAGAAATCCATAGCATCGAGCTGTTACTGGTCATTATGCGGTGGCGGCTGCACGACAGGCTATTTCGACCAGACCGAGGCGCGCGGTCAAGTCGCAGGCATCCAGCAGAAATCCGTATGCCCCGCCGGCCAATTCCAGACGTTATGCTGTGCGCCGGGCACCACCATGGGAACCTGCCAATGGGAAGGCTTCCGCGGAGTCGGGTTTCCCTGTTCGCCAGCCTGTAGCGACCCGGACGCCACCATCGTAGCGCGGAATAGCAATTCGTACCAGACGAACGAGGACGGCCAGATCGCCGATTTGACCTGCAACGGCGGATATCAGGCTTATTGCTGCAAGGGATTCATCCCCTCGTCGATTACCAATTCAGGGAACCTCAATCTGTACGGTCAAAACGCCACAACCGCTATCAGCAAACGTGATGGTGTCCAGGAACAGGGCCTTTCCGTCCAAAAGCGCGGTGCGCCCCTCCTTCTCGGAGCTTTAGGAGCGCTTTGCCTAGAAGCAGCTATCCCGTTGCTCGCTATAGCACCGATCACCTTCGGCCTTAGCGCCGCGGTCGAGGGGTTAATCTGCGTTGCGGCCGCCGCATCCGCCGTTGCCATCGGTTTTGCCATCATCAGCGGTCTCATTGGTTGGCTATTCGGCTCGTCGCCGTCGAAACCCAACACCGGGGTACATACCACCATCGGAACACGATCAGCCTATGGCCAGTGGCCGCTCCTTGATTTCGGCGGAGGCTCCACGGCAACCAGCTGCGACTGCGCGGTCACGTATACGTGCAAGTATGGCATGGGCTGGGACGAGGTATGCGACAACCAGCGCTGGGCCATCAACAAGATGCTCAACGGACAAACCGTCTTCCACCCATTCTTCTCCGGCAGAGCTACGAGTCGCGCATATTCGCGATGGGCAACGACGAATTCCCAGCAACGCCGCATACCGAACTCTATTGCAGGGCTCGAGGCAACCCGAGGGCGCACGGTGCGATCTCGACGAGTTCCCCATGGGAAACCTTCGTGAATCAGAAAATCTGGGCCCGCAGGCTTGTCGCTTGGTTAACCGCCCGGCGAATCAGGCGCAGGGTCGAGATTACAGCGCGTGGAAGGCGGCGCAGTGGTGGCCGTGTGCGAGGTACCGAACATCCGTGTGTAGTATCAGTGACAATGGGCCACCAGCTACCTGGTAAGTCATCCGAGAGAAAGCAGGAGTACCTACTATCTATGCTCGCATCTGACCTTGTTGTAGGAAATTCGGACCGCTAGCCGGGGGTCGCGGCTCTGGAAGTGGCAAACACTTCATAGATGCCTATGGCTTTGATTCGCAGACGCCCAACTCACTTTGTTTTGCCTCGTTTACCTACACTCAGGCGGTGGGAGTTCGTGCAGACACAATGATCGTTGACCATGGCTTCCGTGCTCTTGATGATGACCCGTATGTACCCCTCCCCGATTTCTAACAAGGAAGTAAATTTTGAGCTGATGGAATTGCATTTTTAAGCATGTTTGGAGCTGCTTATGGCTGGCCTCGACAGTCCTACCGCTTAGATCCAGCCCCATTAGCGAGCGCCGGAATCCGGCCAACCAATCTCCAACCGGGGATATTCCAAAGAGGGATGTTGATAGCCGGCAACAGTACCGAAAACGGCACGAGCTCATCGGCCGACATGGACAACCCCGCCGTGGTCTGCCACGTCGATCTCGGATCGGGATATAACGACGTCCCGCATGTTAATGCTAACCTTGACTATGACAAGCTCCTCTTCGTTGACATGGACGGTGAGGTAGTTGACGGACGGACATGCGGTGTCATATATGATGAAAACAAGCCAGACTTCCAGGTACATATCGTGATTGACGAGGACGGCAACCCGGTAGACATGTATATGGGCGATGACACCGGTCTCTGGCCAAGCAATGATGTGCACGAGAGTCCTGTTACAGCCACTGCCGAACCAGCCGTCATCACCGCGACAACGGAGGCCGCGCGTCCGGCGAGCGACGAGATTTCGCCTGCTTTGCCCGTAAGTACGACGGCAACGGTGACGAGATCGGGAAGTGTTGTCACGCCGGCGCCATTTTAGTTTGGTCGCCGCTTGGGAGTAGGTAAAATATGGGCGGAACGTCGGATGATTTCTTTGCGTGATTTGAACACAACTGTGGAAATTATAAAGTTAGCTAGGTACCTAGTATCATCTCATAATTTATATTATTGGGGACTGTAAGATAAAACCGGAATATAAAAATCTTTTCACTTACTGCGTTCATCTTCTCAAACCGTAGTCTAAGCCAGTAACTCAACCTCCCAAAACTCCCATGGTTCTTATGTGGTTTGATGGTAGATTCGTTACAAATCAACCCTGAGAATAGATGACGAGGATCTCTGACCCATATTCAGGGTTAAAGGAATTTGATATGAAAGACAATAGAGCTGGTAGTGGCATTATGACTACCTACCTAGCTCTTCGGTTGTTCAGTTGACAGGAAATAGAAAAATAAATGGTAGAAATAAATCCCAAAATTTCCCAAGAAAAGTAATTCGGAAAATAGAATCGTGAGTTAGGCGGGTTAGTCAGTCATTCGATCGGCGTATACCATCACCAGCACCGCATCTCAGCCAAAGGCATCAAGCGCGAAACGACCGTCTACCAAGTCGGCGAAATAACATAATCCCTCCACCGCGCCGCCCCATCCGCCTCTCTAAACCTCTCAACCTCCCCCTCAACGCCGCGGGGCCCAACATCCCAGACACCCCGAACAACCAGCCCACACCAGTGATCGAGCAGGCGTTCCAGGCGTTGAGGACGGTAGTAATCGCCACCGAAAGGCTTATACCCATGCTGAAACAGCTCCGTCGCCGAGCCCGCACTAACACCCGACCCATCGCTTTTCCGCGCGGAATCGCCGTGCAACCCGTACGGGAGGAGAAGCCGGAACCCCTCCTCGGCGGTGTCGAGGACGCTTCGGTCGACGGACTCGGTGTACACCCCGGCCGGGACCCGGGATGGAGCGGGGGGCTCGCGGAAGGCTTCGTGGAAGGGGTTTAGCCAGCCTGTTACATCGGCCTGGAGATCGCTGTTTGCGGCGGGGAAGATGCAGACTGGGGGGACGACCTGTGGGGGATGTGGGAGATGGGTGAAGGGCTGGGATGCGGTGAATGAGGCTGCGGAGGCGGGTGGGAGGAGCAGGCCGGGGGCGATGGAGCGGAAGTGCGGGCGGCGGGCGCGGGATAGGAAGGCCCGCGCGAAACTGGGTGAGGGGATTGATGCTGCGTCTAGGGCCGGAGGTGCGAGTAGGGGTTCGGGTTCGGGTTCGGGTGGATTTGCGGGGGTGCTGGGTGATGGCGGCATACGTGACTCGATGGCATTACATAGCCGGTCCCATGCATGGACACAAGAATTGACTTGAGCCTCGCTGTAGGGGTGCCATTCCCAGGGCCCGATCTTCTCGCCGACGAACAGGGGGGCCGCTTCCCTGGGCGAGGCCGTGATCTTGCCGAGACGGATAAGCTCGATCCAGTTGGAGAGCACGGTCTCGAGGGGATGCCAGAGCTCCAGGTGCGCTTGGACGGGGAGCGCGAAGTCGTGGTCGTCCATGTGCATGAAGACGGCGGCGCGGTGGATGCCTTGGTGGTAGAATAGGCCGCCGCCGGATGAGCCGCCCTGGCCGATGTTGGTAGAGTATAAGCATACCAGACTGTCTGCCGGTTCGTCGAATAAGTCCGCCTCCGGTTCCGCGAAAAACTCGCCCGGGCTCGTGAATTCGTTGGCCCAGAAGAAAAAGGGTGCGCGCTCAAGGCCGTCTGGAGGTAGCCTGGCGTCGTCGAGGAAGGCAGCTAGTGAGGGGTGAAGCCGTGGACGGAGAGCTTCAGCGGCGCCACCGTGAGTGGTGAAGTAGGTGTTGATGTTGTTGCCATGCAGAGCAGCTGGTGGGCGGCCTTCGGAAATCCAGGCATTGTGAATGAGGTAGTTGTGGAGAGCTGCACAGCGTGCATGATCCATCCCAATCCCTAATAAGTCAGCCCGGGCTGGGTTGTCCGCTGTCACCAGCAGGCCATCCACATTAGGGAGCTGTGGGATAGCCATGATTTACTTAGACTAGCGCCGTTACCCGACTGCCCGAGTGTCTAAGTTTTACAGAGGACCCGGGCTGTTCGGTTCCTGGACGGCTCCGTTTGCAAGGGTGGAGAAGAAGGAAGACGGGTGCTTGCAGGACGGCACGACGGAGACGGGAAGGTGGGGAAGTCCGCACAACGCCACGTGAGTCAGTCAGCAAGTACTAAGTACAAGAGCCGCGCCGCATACATCATTACATGCACCTTAAATCCTTTTGGTGCAAGAACACTTAATGTGGCGCATTTCTTCATCTACTGGACAACATTGGAAATGCAGCACTTGGAAACTCCTTTTCGTAAAGAGGAGCGTTCTTACAGCATAGGAAGTTCGAAATACCCATCTCAAGAAGGTACACCCTAATGAAGCAAGCACAATACGAGATAATTCATCAGAAGGAAGAGAAGTACATAAATTGAAGGCTTGTAAGTGCCTACAGAAAACACTGTTTTCCACCTCGTGAAGCGAGCAAAAATAACTTCGCCGAGCATCTCAGCCGTAAATCTAGACCACAAGCGGCTATCAAAACCACCAAATCGCAATAAAAATCTGCAAGCCGCAAGCACTCCAATCTCAAACCCCAAACAATTCAGCACCAGGCAGGATTACCTGCCTAATAAGAGCAACCTCCAAACACGACGACCGCCATTCCCAATACGAACTCACCGCTTTCCACCACACCTAGTAGGAATCCCGAATTCCTACTCGGCTCCTCGGCAAGCTAGCGCCAAGCGAAGCCGTAAGCGTACCTTGCACATAACAGACAACAAATGACATACATAACTTCTGCATGCGGAAGTATGTAAGCTAGGTACGTCGCATAAAACAGGGGAGCCGCAAGACAGGGGTCCGAGACAGCCCCGGGACTTCTGGAACGAGGCAACGGCTCGCCGCCGCGAAATCGACGGTTTGAGATTCCGCTGGGCGAAAAAATTGGTAAGCTAGGTTTCTTTTCTTTTTTTCCTTACCCACGGTTCGCAGCTTATCTCGCTTGCAACACGAGGGGGCACCCAAGATTTGCTGTCCGTGTGTTCCCGTCCCCTCCCCAGTGGAATCTAAAGATCTTGGTTTGCGCCATTTCAGCTGTTCCCAAGATCTCGAGGCGCGAAAGATCAGTCAAGTCAGCTAGCTGTTTAAGTTCGAAATTCACAAGTCAGATGAGGCCACCACAAATCACGTTGTAAAGAGAATCGATGCAAGATTCACAGAAGACACTAAATATTAGTTTCTGATATATGTGCTTCCCATTCCCTTCTAGCTATTTAAGACTACCCACTCCATATCACTTCGATGAAAAAAAGAAAATAGTTATAAGGGAAAAAAACCAAAGCCTCATCAAAAAATGTACACAGTCGGAGCTTTGGTATCATTAAAAGGTATTGTCGTAGCGCCCGACCGCCCCGGGACTCTCTAATTCTGCCACACACAGCGTGACATTACATTACACATCGGCCATGAACGTCCGCGGCGAAACAGAGAGCCATGCGAATCAAAAAACAAACAAGTTAGTACCGTCACCCGGCAGAAAACTCTGCCGGGATGCCGTTTCAAATGCCTTCCCCCTCCCCAGATCACAACTATGCTGCGGCTGCGCAGGCTTTTTGTTGCGCTTGGCAGTCGGAAAGTTTGAAGCTAGCACCAGCATTTGCTGCGTCGCTACAAGCGTTGTTTTGGATCTATAGGATGGTCAGAATGAAGTCGAAAAACATAAGGGAATTCGAATATACTCACATCGCAGGCCCTCTGCTTAGCAGCCGCCTGGTTCACAAACGTGTTCCTAAATAGAAGAAGTTAGATACTATTCGTAGAAAGTGAATGATTTATACTAACCCGTTGACAGCAAACGGCCGACTAGCATCCCCAGAGTTTGTTACTGCTGGAGCTGCACCGCCAAGGTTTTTAGTCTGTTGGGTTCCGGCGTTAGCATTACCGCCAGTGTTTGTATTTGTGTTCGAATTATTACTTTGGCCTTTGCCAGTTTGTCCCTTTCCTGCGGCCGCGCCGCCATTGGCCTTGCCAGCGTTCGCATTGTTACCCGCGTTAGCGTTGTTTCCAGCGTTCGCATTGTTTCCACCGTTGGCGTTGTTGTTGTTACCAGCGTTGGCATTGTTGTTGTTACCGGCGTTGGCATTGTTACCATTGCCACCAACTAATTCCAGTTAGCTTCTGTATCTCCTTGACTACAGCATGGCGCATAAACTTACCAGTGAACTTGTTGCAGTCATCCTGAGCACCACGTTGAGCAACAGGCATGAGCACAGGCTGGTGGTTAGCCGAAGAGAACATGGTGCAAACACGGTAGTTTCCAGCGGGAAGACCACCGGTGACGGTAGCTGATAGAAGACCCTTTCCGTTGCCCGCGTCGTTGATACCCTTGAAGAAGACGAACTGCTTAGCGTCAAGCGGTTGAGTAGGGTTCAAAGATTTGCCCATGTCCTGGACCGTAACGTGAGTGTGACCGATGATGTTTCCTTGGCCGTTGAGGTTCTGGGGCGCAGAGTAGTAAGTGTTGTCAGCGTTAGTGAAGGTACCGGCCTGGAAGTTGGCGACTTGGACCTGAATGTTGAAGTCCTTGTTCGCTGCGATGTTGTCGTTGTGCTGAGGGTTAATCAGAACACTGGAGACCATGTTGGCCTGCGCAGGAATTTTACCCATCACTATAATTATTAATCACAATATTCGGGTAAGAAAGATCAATATGAGTACTTACCAATACCGTTGCAAGAGCCCTGCTTCTGTTGAAGACCGTTTGTCAGAGTCTGACCGGAACAGAAGTTGATGAAGTTAGCGTTGTCGGTAGCAGACGCTGACTCTCCCGAGGCGGCATCCGGGTTACCGTTTGACTGCGAGCCAGTCTGAACGGCTTTGGCATCCAACGTTAACGAGGCTGCGTTATTGTTGCCGCCATTCTGGGCATTGTTGTTTCCGTTATTGTTGTTGTTATTGCCGGCGTTGGCATTGTTGTTACCAGCGTTGGCGTTGTTGTTGCCAGCGTTTCCCTTCTGACCAGCGTTTTGACCTGCATTCTGACCATTGTTCTGACCATTGTTCTGACCTTGACCCTGTCCCTGGCCTCCCCTGCCACCACCAAATTGTCGAGTGTTGAGAGCTCGGGTGGCCCTTCGGTTCATTATCTGGTCATACGGGCGGCTGATGGCGGTGGCCTCAGTGATGGCCGTGACGCCGAGAAGGGCGACGATAATACTCTTGGCGTGCATGATGAATAGGATTTACCCTTAAACTAATCGAGCGAGGGAACTAATTCTCGTTTCCTTGGTTAAGAATGGAAATGGTAAGATCCAAAAATGGTTCCAGACCGTTTTCGAATTAGCTGAAAGGAGTGGTCACAGACAACACTGAAGTGAAATGGAGCGGGCAAATCCCAAATGCTGTCGAAAGAAGAGAACGAATGTAAAAAGACACACTACCAGCGCATTCTAAAATGGAAAGAGAAAGGAATGAAACTCGATAGAGAATCCGAAATAAAGAATTAAAGCTGATGAAGAGGATGGGACAGAAGACATAAATGGTTCGAGGGCCAAGACTTTCCTTATTATATACTCCACCGATGGGAGACAGGCGTCTCGGACGGATTGTGCCAGAGTGCTAATGGAATCAATAGCATCCGCAACGAACACTACATCATCTTCCCTTGCAGGTTCCATTCACAGGAGCTGTATCCACAGTCTCAAAACGCGGACGGGGATGGGAGGGAAGAGACGATGTCGAGAATAATGAGAGGGGACCTGAGCAGGGTATGCAGGGTCCTGAGTGTGGTAGCAGGGGTACGGGATGGCCATCTGAGGCTTGAGTCCTTGGCTAACCAATAACCCTTGTCGAATACCGCTGCAGAACGAAGAGAATATTTGCATGGGGGAGAAGCTTAAACGATCCTCGTCGAATACCGGTGTACATAGGCCTTGTATCATATGTGCCCGTATACCTCTGTGCCTGCGTATCTTGCCTTATGGGTTTCCCCGGGATCCTTTCTCACTTCTTCGGAGCGGCTCAAATCCATGGTAGGAGTTGAGGCTAGATTGAGTGAAGGATCTACGACTGATACTGTAGTGTTATCCTAGCTGTTCTAGCTGACTTTGACTAAGGACATAAGAGGTAATCTTGACGTCTACTAGGTAGCTACTAGGTAGGTACCTCGTATACCTATTGTCAACCTCTTTGAATAATCTAGCGTGGGGATCATAGAAGACAAGAATGTCAAAATGTAGCTTGACATGAAGATCCGATGTGACATTCGTCTCTTGAACTTTGGCCGGTCCTATGAGTTAGACCTGTCAAACTTGAGATGACACCTTCAAGAGAGTTGAGCATAGACGACTGCGCCTCTTCAGGACGATGATCAACCAATCGATTATAGATTGGGATGTAGAACCGCTTGGACTGTAGGTCGTCGTCGCGTGCCAGAGCATATTGAAAGCGGTTGATGTAGCAACAATAGGTGTATTGCAATGTGTATTACAATCGCAGTTGTGTGTAATTCCGGGGAAAAATCCATTAAGGTTGTAGTGGAAGAAGTTGAACAAGGGGGCGCTAAGGCTTCGGCCAGCTAAGGACCGAAGAAGCTGAAAGGGGTCGGGCCAAGCGGCCATTTAGCTTTGCGGCTCGATACGTCGCAGGTTCCCCATCTTTTCAAGGATTCGACCAATGAGGACCCTCCTTCCTGCAGAAGATCAAGCACGCTTAGTTTCGTCCCCCTGAACGCATTCTGAAGCAAAACATCCCGATAAAAAATTTAAGCGCGGATCTGTGCGGCATACTATCTAGCGCTAACGAGATACCTAGGTACCTACTTTTACCTCCTGTAAATGATTTTCGGCCAATCATATGTGTTCTATATTATGATCAGTGAGCTATTACTTGGGACGAGAGGCGAAAGAATATCTGAGTCTGAGAGGGTTACAGTGATCACTTATCGATTAAGTACAGATAGCCGATCCTTTGGAATCATCTACCTGCACATAACCCGTCAAACTCATCCATTGTTTTGACATTGGATACGAAACGAACAACTTAGCTCCTCTAAGATCTGGGTTACCTATCTAGGTAGGTGAGTGGTTGTAGGTAAGTACTAGGTGGTAGGCATGGTTAGTGTTCATGATTTCGCTAGATAGATATGTGCTATCATGAGAGTGAGAATAGCACTATAGTAGTATAGTGAGATGGCCCATATCTATTTTCTTCCGTATACAGTATATGATATAATTGCTTCTAAGGAATAAGCCTAGCAATACGCCCAACCGCCACTCAACCACTAAAGCTCATGCATAAGTAAAATACATACGTACCTGCATTGGATGATATAACGAACAGACTCTGTCTATCACCGTCGTCCAAACATGAGATCTACTTTCCCTGATCTATCCGGACCCGCTGTGGATGATGTAAAAACAAGCTTAATTGAATAGGTGCCCATTATCAAGATGACCTCTCAAATTTGTCACCTATTGTTGGCCTAGGCAGCTAGGGACGCATAGAATCCTTGTTCCCCTTAACCAACCCCTTGTCAGCGAGCGAGCCGTGTTGGAGTCGAGGTTGAGACATTGTGAAGAAACGTCAATGCAAAAAGAATCTGATCTAGATGTTGATCTCTTGCCAAGACCGGATAGAGTAACCACTTTAACGATATGTTCCTCATAAGTGCCGCGACACCGCTTATCCATACCCAAAAAATTGAATTGAGGCTTTTTGATCGACTGAGAATAAAAAAACATTCATCTTGGCATCTTGGTTCATGTTTTTATTTCCGGTGTCACGAGAATCCAATCTCCATTGACCGTGCGATAAAGAGCTTAAATTTGTTAGATGCATAGTTTATTACAAATCTATCTTGTAGATGCATAGCGGAGTTTAGTTACTGGGGGAATGTGTTTAACGGAACTCGGCACGCTTTTGTTGAGCTACCAACCCCGAAACTTTCTAAACCTTTCGGAATTGGAGAACTTTGATTCAAGGCTGATGAGGGGGATCGCAAATCTTCGTGGTACCGACTCGTTATTATTCTACCCAGCCCTAAAGCTATGGTAATAAAGTCCCCTGAAACCGTTGGAAGCTTCTCTACCTCCTTGATATCGCCGTCTTCTTAACCTCCTAACTGTCTGGGTAACTAGCCGACCACTTGGTCGGTAATCTCATCCGAGAATCTTAAATGAAAGATTTGAGGGATTCCCTCATTGGGTCGTGACCCAGATCGCTTAAGCAAGTGGCTGCATCTAACAGGACGCAATAGGTAAAGCGTCCTGGAGACAAAAATCCTACCTAAAGGACAAGGCAAAACCACCCCTGTTAGCCCTAGCTCCTTATATGCCCCCTGATAATTCTAGAAATTTCTCGGTATCGCGATTTCCATTGGTCGGCTTAAGCCTGTTACACCAGAGCTCCGGTCTCACGGGGCAATACTACGGGGCACAGTCATTAAGGTTGAAAACAGGAGAAGAAACATTCACGAAGGCCGGAGTTGGGATGAAAATGACGTCTTAACTCTAAGCGGTTTGACGTGAGTCGGATCGAAACAACAGCTTTAGGAGAATCATGATAATACCTCGCGTTTACTTGGCACAGTTGACGTGGAAGATCTTTTCGCTGTTGGTATTGAGGATCCATTTAGCGAAAGAGCCTCAAACTCCCTCTATCTGATCTACGACCGGATTGAAGAGATCCAAGGTGATGACCGCGCGGCTGCCTGTGCGACAAAAAAGATCGAATGGTATTGCGTATGCTTACTCTTCAGACGAGATTGATCTTCTCCAACTATGCGTTTCCATCCGTAGTTGGTAGGTTCGGCGTGCCGTGTTCTCGTGAGTCGGAGCCAGATGAACAACCGGTTCTGGACGCCTCAAGCGCCGATTTACTCGGTTTAATCGCGTTTGACTAATCTAAGATACCAATGAGGGTAAGGGTCGACGGCCGGAGCTGTAAGGCCCTGAGTAACCCGAGTTTGAGGCATGTCCCATAATGCCCTGATGAAACCCGGCAAGACCCCTGATTCACGATCAAGGTTGTCACGTGTAAGCTGCTCTGCAGTGCTTCGCAGGAGATTTTCACTAGTCTGCGACCGAGATCGTAAGAAACGCCAAGACCCGGTGCCGACCAGGAGACGGCACATCGAAAAGTCGAATCGTCCATTTCGAGAATGCGATGGCTGTCGCCCGCGTTAGCCAAGACTTTTCCGAGCCCTATCTTATGTTGCTCGATCTTGGCTTTAAGCTCGAAACCAAACGTGGGTGCTTTCCTAATCAGTTCTTATATAGCGGCCGTAAGCCCTACGCTGTCGAATTTCACATCACTATCTCTGCCAAGGAGTCTGAGAAGGTTTTGTATGCCATACGCCCTGGTCATTAGAGAAACCAACCCTAACAGAATCAGAAGGCTTAGAAGTCAGCTGGAACGTCTTCCAAGACATTGGAGGATTTTCGCGGGCCGCACTCAAGACTCGGCTAATATCCTTCGCCGCCTAGGTGTATTACTTCAAGTACTATCTAAGGTGAGCTCAATCCAGAATTCTCTTAAAACGTGAGTGAAATCGAAGTTTCCGAAGTCCATTCCTCATTCCTAATTCCCGCAGACATTTATGATATCTCTACAAATAACGGGTTCTAGCATAGTGATATTCCAAAAGGAATTTGTCTCACAGTTCGTCGACGACCGCTTCAGATAGTTTGTCGGCTATGAGATCTAACCAAGTGGCGAGACGGTACCCTGCCTTAGCTACTTGGATTTCGATCACAGGGGCAGCCTTTTCGTAGTAATCTCCCGCGAGCTCCTGGCCGACAATCGCCTTAGGGCCTTCTGGAAACACTACAGAAGATATGTTAGCTGGGCATTCTGTTCCAAATCGAAACTCAAAATGGACAGGGGTTGAATTACCATGTGTGCAAACAACAGCGTTGGACTCATTGGCCCAACCCATCGCCGTGTTGATAGGGTTATCGAGACTGATGCCGTCGGCCCAGGATTGACTAACCGACTCATACTTGCCGGTCTTAATTTGCTCGGTTAGATTAGCCGCCCATGCGTATCCTGCCACATAAGGCTTTCTATGAATCCCGCCCAACATCTTCTCGGCAATACTCGAGTCCCAAACATGGTGGAGGTTCAACTCAGACGATTCCCATTTCACGTGGATTCCGTTGCCTCCCATAGCAACATTTTCCACATGCAGGGGCTGATGGATGTCGCCGACGAAGTGAATCACGAATTTGGCCGCCTGGCTCCTGCGCCATGGAAATAACTCTGCATCTAGCAGTTGGGAGGTGTAGTTCTGAATCGAGCTCACGACACAGCCATCCTCCTTGCAATCCCTCTCGAAGTCAACGCCACAGTAGTCGGGCGGGGTGTCCTTCGCATCTATGAAATGGAAATTCTTGCTGAAACGCCCCCATTTCGTGTATCTGATGCTGTCGGCCCAAGTGGCAACACCGGCAAGATAATGCTCGGTGTTGTTCTGTAAGATACCTTGGAAGTAAGTAGTGGTGCTGTCCTTTACGAAGTTTGATGCGATGTAGGCGACAGTGATGTGACCCAAACCTGAAAGATGAATTAGCTCTTAGGTGATCACATAATAGTTTTAAGGTTACTACTGTTACTCACTTCCCCAAGCCGCCGCACCTGGTAAGAAGAGCGTGCCTAAGGCCAAAGTAGATTGACTTAGTCTCATGATGGCTGAGACAGTTTCGATAACGATGAATAATATTTAGTATTTCGAATATAAATAGATGATCTTATTTTTCCATATGATTTAGATATTAAATGAATTACAAATATGAAGATAACTCATCGTCAATCATGATACTTTAGCAACGCGCGTCTATTGAGTCGTGAGTTTTCGTGGCATGTGCACGAATTTGGTTGTCGAGGGAACACGCATGATCATCGCACCTGATTTGCTGCGTACGACTGGCCGCCTCGTGAGCGACCAGCTGCAGGCGTTTAACATCCCAATCAAACTCCAACTAAGGCTCAGATAAGGTTACTACCGTCCGGAGGCTTTTAATCGGAACTTTTGGGTTTCGACTTGAGACTAATTTAGACATATATAGTACAGATATTTGTTACATATTCGAGATAAATGATAAATCGATTCATTCCGAAGAGGATATCTGAATTTGATGTTTGTCATAGCTTCGATCAGCGGTAATACGATAGTGGAGTTACGGGGCTATGGGGTGTTCCGGAGTGACACAAAAACACTATTATGCAATGCACAATAGTTGAATAGATCGAGCGAATGGGGAATAGAGCAATTAGCCAACTGCGTCATTGGTTAGTCACCTACTAGTTGCGGGTCAGCCCTCTATTCCCCCAGAACCCTTGGCTCGCCTTGGGGCTGCAAAGCGGGCGCAGGCACGAACTGAGGTTACTGTAGGTTACTGCACAGTCCGCGCAGCTCCTACTTTGGCACTAAACCTTATTGGTCACGCACTATGGCTCATATGCAGTCCTTATCTTTGTGCGACGCTACACAGCTATGTACATACGGTACTGTATGTACAAAGTTCCAAGGATGCGAACTAAAGATCGGAGGCACCTGAGATAAGGGAAAAGGGAAAACTCGAAGCCACCACCAACTCGATTGAAACAGACTTCCAGCTGACTCCGACTCTGACCACCTTTCTAGTTAGCCTATGGATGTACCACCTGATCAAAGCTGACTTCGATGTTCTTCTCTTTAACCTTAATCTCGAAGTCTCAACTGCCCGACAGTTTCTCATCTCTTCAATTACTATTTCTTTCATTCTAACCTATCCCGACCATGGAGGCGAACATCCTCGACATGACGTTCACAAATAACCTTTCCACCCACGAAATTCTATCAGGGATCTTCGGCAGCATCAGTTTGACAGCATGGATCTGCTTACTCGTAAATCTTACCATAATCCCAGAGTTTGGAACTTAATCGCATCCACTAACTCTACGATGCGATAGCTTCCTCAACTTATCACCAACTACCGAGCCCAGAGCGCTGAGGGGCTGTCTATGATATTTCTAGCAGTCTGGCTTTTCGGAGACATCTCAAACCTGTCAGGTAGGTCTTTCCCCGGACTTTAGGAGTTTCAATGCATGCAATTGTGACCTGTCGCTAACCGCTGTCTCTTATCTCCAGGTGCTCTCGTGACCGGACTCGCGCCCACAGCAACAGCACTGGCAGGTTACTTCTGCATTTCCGACGTCATCCTCATCACCCAATCCCTCTATTACAACGTCCTTAACGCCCGCAAGTCCCGCAAGGCCCGCGAGCGAACCCGGTCGACCCAATCTGAGGCCTCGGAGGACGAGCCCTTGCTGCAACCGCGCCGCAGATCGTCAAGCGGCCTCCCGGGCTCGCACCGCCGTCACTCGATCCACCGCACGGAGTCCGGCTTCGCCCCTATCAAGAGGATCGTCACGGGCGAGGATGAGACTCCCGACAGCAACCCTTGGTTCCACAACGCCCTAAGCGTTGCAGCCATCTGGATCGTTGGTGCCGCTGGCTGGTTTGTGTCGTACAGGATGGGTGCTTGGGATAAGGGAGACACTCCTGAGGAACCCAGTGCCGAAACGCCGGTAGCTATACTGGGACTAGTTCTAGGATATGCAAGTGCCATATGCTACCTATGGTATGTTCTATCTATTGGTCGCGTGATCTATTGTATGTACTAACTCGAGGAAAGTGCCCGTATCCCCCAGATCATCAAAAACTACCGAGAGAAGTCTTGCGAGGGCCTTGCCCTCCTTTTCTTCCTACTATCTCTAACCGGCAACCTTACCTATGGCCTAAGCGTCTTCACCTACTCACCCGACCCGGCCTACATCATCAAGGCCATCCCATGGCTCCTCGGGTCCTTGGGCACCATCGTCGAGGATTGCGTCATCTTTTACCAGTTTAGAATCTACTCGGGAAATGCGGCAGCGAAGAGGAATGCTACTGAGGAAACGGCATAGGAGCGGCGATTTGGTAGGCAGCCTTACGAGTTGGCGTATCGATTGGAGGATTTATACATGTATTGAGGTCACCATGGCGGTTGCATTTACGGCGTTTTTGCATCGGAGTTTTACACTGCATCCAGTTAGTATCTCCGACTAGGGATACTTACATCTGGGCTTCATATCGTTGGGATGGATACTAGTGCATCAAAAGTCAACACGTTCGGCCGTCTTCTTCTCATCTCAAAGAAGTCTTTGGGTTTGTGTTCTGTGGCGGACTGTTACACGCCTTAGAGGTCTATTCGCATGGGCATAGTTGTTTCCTATACAGAGGAATGCTCATAAGACGGCTAGAGGCTATCATCCATAGACTCATAATAGAAAGATCGAGAATATGTGGATTGAGATAGGTCCTTCTCTATGAATAAAAGATGATATAATTACATAATTGTTCAAGCTTTAAATGGATTCAACTCGTATGAGTTCATATGGGTTCGGGTATTCAGTATGAGAGGTACAAAGGTACTTGTGTCATTCAAACCCCTGTATGCCGGTTCCCCTTTTTGATTGCGCCTACCCCTGCACGAAACATCCAATTTCAGCGGGAGGAGCGACTTCGACTTCGACTTGATCTTTCTCCTGTTTTCTTATTATCATCGTCACAATCACCATCAACTAAACTCGTCATTCCCTTTTGCTTTTTTTCGCTGGTCAAGTCGAGCTTTCATTCTTTCGCATCGGCTCCAGCATTTCACTCTTTTTTGATCGTTAATTGCTACCCTTTTTTGCGGAACGTGCATACGATAGAAGTGATACCCACCGAAGAAAATCTTAACGCGTCTTGAAGGATAAATACAGTTGAAAGAGACCGAAGGAAAGAAAGATCGATCACGATGCGCTTCACCTCTATCCTCTCGGCTGCTGCCGTCACCGGCCCTATCGTGGCTTCTGCCGCTGGCCAGCTCGGCTTCGCTCTCGGCAACAAGAAGTCGGACGGAACGTGCAAGGCGGCTAGCGATTACACGGCTGATTTCGCTGCCTTGACTAAGGAGACCGGCACCAAGGTCGTTCGCATCTACGCTGCTTCCGACTGCGATGTCGCGAAGCTGATCTTGCCTGCTGCCAAGACCGCGGGTTTCCAGGTTATTCTGGGTATCTGGTATGTCACTTGATACTACTTTCGTTACCGCACCTTCTCCTATATGTTATATATAGGGGTCAATTATACCTATCAGTATAAAAACCACCTGAACAACAAACGCTAACACCTAAACTAACAGGCCCGACACCGACGAGTCCTTCCAAGCAGACAAAGCCGCCATCGTCGCCAACGCACCCAAATACAAGGACCAAGTCTACGCCATCACCGTCGGTTCCGAGTCCCTCTACCGCGGAAACTTCACAGGTCCCGAGCTCCTCAAGAAGATCCAAGACGTGAAGTCCGCCACCGGCGGCGCATTCAAGATGGGCACAGCGGACTCCTGGAACAAATACGCGGACGGCACGGCCGACGCGGTCGTCAGCTCCGGCGACGTCGACATCCTTCTCACGAACGCGTTCTCGTACTGGCAAGGCCAGGTGCTCGCGAACGCAACCGGCTCCTTCTACGACGACATCTTCCAGGCCTTCGGACACATCCAGGAGAAGGCCGGCGGCACGGACAAGATCGAGCTCTGGGTCGGCGAGACGGGCTGGCCGACCGCCGGCGACAAGTACCAGAACGCGCAGCCGGGCACCAAGCAGGCTTCGACGTTCTACAGCCAGGCCGTGTGCGGTATGGTGGACTGGGGCTTCAATGTCTTTTTCTTCGAGGCTTTCGATGAGAGCTGGAAGCCCAAGGCTATTGGTGAGGATGGAAGCGTTGCTGATGAGACTTCGTGGGGCGCGATGACGGCTGATCGTACGGCTAAGTACTCGCTTAAGTGCTAAGTCGGTTGGTCGATCGGACTGTTAGTTGGGTTTCCTGCCTGTTGCGGCTGGGTGGTCTGAGGTCTTGGGGGTGGGGTAGTGTGGTGCAGGGTGGAAGTACAGAGGGAAGACGGCGGAGGAAGGGGAGGAGGGTCTTAGACTAGGCGCGCGCTGCAATGTTTCTCTCGGTTATAATTTATATCCTGTCATATACCACCGATTACGTACGTCGTAGGAGGGAGATAGTAGACGTGATACCATATACACTTGCTCTATAAACTTGATCTTACGAATTTGTTTGTTTTTGGTGTTCTGGTGTTTCGGGTTTTAAATGTACATGTTGTGAAACTTGGGGGCCTTACACATTGTACATTCATAGTGCAGACACATGTCACGGGCATTTAGATGGGTATAATTACGGAAAACGCTGGTGTGATCTATCAGTCCGCAGCCAAGTGCGTCGTCTAGATTTCTGCTCATGTAGATAGGGATGATATAAACAAGAAACGAAGGCTGAATTCTCCCTCCTCGGTAACCTAGGTAGCGACGTAGAAACAATAACCCACAACCCAACCCAAACGAACACATGCCCTTCCTGCCAGTGGTCTCGTCAACCGTCTCTTTGGGTATTAGCGGTGTTGGCGGCATTCGATGGACGGGAGGCGGTTGATGAGACCAAAGGCTACAAGTCCCCTCCTCTTCGTCGAGGCCTTTCATTCAATTACCCAGGCCCAATACAGCGATACCGATGCTCTCTCCTTCGTTTCGCCCCGAGCGGAATTAGTGATCGAACATGACCAAGCATATCCATCAGCCGCTCATCGTGCATCGTTTCATTGACTCTCACTCCTCCCATCTAGTCTCATGGTTCGCGAATATTTCATTATTTATCAAGATCGACGGATCATGAGCGAAGCGGGCCACAGCCGAACGGCGTCGACTTGCCGAAGAAGCAGTCGCCAGCTAGAGTGTCGACGAGCTGGTTCTGGTGGATAGGCGTGATGACGACGCCGGCGCTGGCGAAGGTGGCGCATAGGGCGGCCACGAGAGTAGTTGCGATCGCTGAGGTCTTCATCTTGGCTTTTATTTTTTACGGTTTAGAGAATTACGGGTGTTATGAGTTCGCTCGTGGAAATCGATCGGCCGTAAACTTGCGTGTTCGGAAGCAAGACCAGCTAGCTTTTTTCTTTTCGTTTCTCGTTTGAATGAGTGGCGGTAGTAGTTGTGATTATCTCGCTTGGTTAAAACGGGCGCTACGGTACGGTGTGCGGATTTGTTTTCGAGGGAAAAGACAGGATACGATGACCAGATCGCAGGATAATAGGGATTACTTGTTTTCTCGAAGATCAAACGTAGTAAGCAAAAGAACTGAATTATGGGAAGGGGAAACTAAACTTCAACGACGACACAAGGAGGAGTAGGAAGAGAGGATGCGGGAATCCCATCATATGATCTAGATTCCTGTTTGGGCGCCCTGACCACTGACAAGCCACTTACTCGACCTGGCAATACAGTGTCGCTCTTACGGTACGGTCTTACCAAGTTTTTACTTGGCGAAGCGCTCAGGTACAGGCTAATTCAAGGGGGTTGGGGTTAGGAGTTTAGCTCACAGGACAGTGTATTGATCTGAGGGAACCGAGAAGGCACTGTACGCACGCCCCACACTCGCATCCGGGGCTGCGACGAAGATAGTCTGACGTCGGAGATGAATTGGTTTCAACAGGGTCAACCGAAACCCTGCGATGCTACGAAATAGTCTAAGGGGTGACGTCTAAAGAAGACTTGCGGCTGATGATAACCTCTATTTTCTTGCCTTTTCAACGAGAACACGAACAAGAATAATTTAGTCTGCCAAGATAAAATGTCCATTTCTTCAATCTTGGCAACAGGTAAATACTCTCCACCTAGTCTCTGGTCTTTAAAGGTAGTGGTGTAATTTTGAAGCGTTCAAATCGCAAGTGTCTATAGATTATTCGAAGCGCTTTCGCCGTTATCTGTCGTGTTCATGCGGCCCTGGGTGAAACCAAAAACATCGCTGGCGCAGAGAGGGGGAAGCATCGTAAGACGGTTAGCCCCTCTATGGTACGACGTGGGACTACATCATCAGTGAAAGGACGCGTGTGCGACTTAGGACCCAAAAAGATGCTCATTCTGATCGAGGATGGCGTAATATATGAAGTAGAATATAAAAAGATATAGGATGAAGCTTGTTTAGTAACTCTTGGTGATATATGACATACAGACACATTCGACATACCAGTATACGAGACATACTTCTACGGATTCCAGGACCAATATTACTCGACAATGTTATCAGATGCATATGGACAGTGAAAGAAGAAAAAATGAAGTTGGAATGAAGACAGCGGCTAGTGTGGTACTCTCGGATGCAGTGGATGGAGGCTAGGAATTTATCGCCAGAATAGAAAAATGATTCGACGTTTATTCCTTTCCAGTGGGGTGCCAGCAGGACCCAAAATACCGACAGCAAGGACGACAATGAGTTTTCAATGTGCGGCCTACTCTCCCAAGTCTTCCCGAATATTGCGCTGTGCTATATTGATTGAGTTACTCGACACCGGAGAGTTTTGATCAAAGTAGAAGGAGTGATTATCTTCGAATTAACGCTTACTCGGGTATCGAATATGGTTATCGGAATTGCGAACTCGGCTTCAACATAAGCGCTTTGTGACATCCGATGTGTGCTGACCCGAACAATGCCTTTCTATGTTATACCAAGCCGGATTTCGTGTTCTCTAGGGAGGACCTATGTCATTGAGGAGACACCAAGAATAAGATGAGTTCACAGGTCAGTTCACAATTCCTCGGAAAGGTTCGTGGAGCGAGTGAATCGAGTTACATAGGTCTGGCTCGAACCATCTCTTCTACCCATTAGTTGTTACATCTTCCTATGTCTTACAGGCACGTCATATTCAGGAGCGGGGAAACTAAGGGAAATTCCCGCTGTCAAATTTAATGATATCTTAGATGTGCGTATGTTAATTACACTCGTGGGAAAATCATTGGTTCCAGAGGTTTTGCCTAGGTAGGTAGTAGGCCTCGTTCATAATGTATCTGAATCGAATTATGTGAATATAATTATACACAAAAACACGGGATACATCCAATTGCGCTCAAGTGACACCTTTGTATGAATGATGGTGTTTGGTGCTGGCTTGGGTGCTCAGTGAAAACCGCTATTCTCGGACTCGAGCTAACAGTAGATATTGATGTTGATATAATAACCTCGTTATAATGGCAAACCAGTCTTCGTATACCTTTCCAATTGAACTATGATATATACGCTACTAATGAAAGCGGGCTATTGTTTCCTTAAACCTACCTATATAGGTAGATAACAGATGTCTTAACTGAAAACAGTTCTCTGGATGGAACTACAGTTTAACTCTGCTATGATGTGACGGCAGCATCTTCCGGCAAGGTTTATTGATCTTAGGTAGGTAGATATTAGAGGTTGCTAGTCATCTACTTGAAATGCTTCGTTATGAAAATAGGATATATGTAGCTGCTTGAGTGTATCATCAAAAAGTAGCTAAACTGTGGTCTACAAGAGGGTCGAGAGTGAGGGTGTACGTATCATGATATTCTTTTGCTTATACGAAGTAGTAACGTAAGAAAAAAAATCTCGTGTCGTCTATACGAACAGAAGTTCTCACTTCACGACAAATCATAGTTATCATCACAATCTCCAAGTCACAGCATTCATCATCAAACAAGGTGTCGAAAAGCTAAAAAGCCTCATCAAGATTGAACTATTCCCACAACTATCGCAAGATCGTCATGTTCTAAGGAGAGGGGCCGTGTACGCCTACACCGCAGGGCACGAGCAGCCTCCTCTCCCAGGTATCATTTTTTAATTCCTCCCAAATTGCCAGCCCGGGCACCGGTCAGCGGTGGTGGCGGTAATGTACATTAGCTTTAGGAGGTTAAGTTTCCTGATCATTCTGCGCGGTCCACCGATCAAAAGTCTGACAAGACGTTCCCATCCGTTTTCTTGAACTACTAGGAATGATATTCCCAAACCAAACCAACTCCGTAAGGCGCATCGCGTTCGGTCATATCTTCGGAACAGGCCTCCATATGTCAACGAATAGGCTGAGCTTGCGTGGGGGTTACAGTTCATTCCGCCTCCGATGCAGAAAACATAAGGAAATTACAAAAACAAGGGTGTCATGAAGGTTAAAGAGAACGCCAGTAGGTAAACCCACGAGCCAGGATGATAATAAGGCTCCAAGGAGGATGTTGTCCCAAGATTGTGTATAAGGACATGGTCGAATCGAAAGGATGGAATCATAAGTAATTGGGTATGCGTTAATACATCGGTGCCGTTACAGGAATCACACGCAGAATGTACAAATGTTTTGTTGGAGGAAAATGACAACGATGGGGAATCTGTTTACGTCCCGAGTAATCACGAGGCATGATTACTCTTGGCCGTACCTATCTTTTCGTTCTCTTCCGTGTCGAGTCGTTTCCTCCAGTCAGCTAGACTCTCGCTAAGGCCAAGTCCGACTCCGTCGTCTTCCCTTTTGGTGCCTATTCCTTCGAAGTCGAAGGTATTCGAGAGTCTATAATTCTTGTTCGTCGTTTCCCAGTGTGTTCGTAGGAATTCAAGTTCATTAGCTAGATTGTCAAGGGCTGTGCTGTTTCTAGCATTGTCAAAGCCGCCGTATGTACTTTCCGCTTCAGAACTTTCTTGTCTGATGTGGCCCAAGCCGCCGCCATTTGCACTCGGAGTGTTGATGCTAGTGTTGGTGGCGGTGATCATCTGATCTGTGCTCATGCGACTGCGTCTTCGGTAGTTATCGACCGAGGTCTCTACCTGGTCTAACAATAAACTGACCTTCTGTTCGGCTTCCTGTACTCGTTTCTCAAGTAGGGCATTCTCTTGTTGCATCTGCTCCAGTTCCTTTTCTCTCGTCGTTAATCGTTCCGCAGCATCGTTGCGGGACTTGAGTGTGTTGTCTCGTTCTTGCTGAGTAGCATCCAGCTTACTCCGTAACTCTACTAACTGTCGCTCAAGCTGTCCAGAGGTATGCTTCACATGTTCCTGAAGGCTCTCGATCTTCTTCTCTAGGGAAGAGCGCTCGGCTTCCCAATCAGCAGGCGCGGTATTGTCATGAGAAATAGAGCGTTCTTCGAGCTCAAGATTTTCGTTCTTTAAGCGGCCGTTCTCGCTTTGAGCTTGCGCAAGTTCCTGCTTCATCTTCTTCAGCATCTTCTCCGTGCCCTTAACATAATGAACAGCTGATTGATAATCATTCTCCAACTGGACTATTCTGTTACGATAAGCAGCCTCGGATTCCTGGAACTGTGTAGTGAAAGTCTGTTTGGTCTCTTCGTGGGCAGCAACCGCCTGTGCAAGTTGCCGTTCAAGCTCGCCAGCTCTTGATGGATCAGGAGAGTTGGTCCTGGAACCCATGCCTCGAACTCGAGCGAGACTAGTGGGGCTAATGCCCCTTTCAGCTAATATGTCCTTGAGGGTGTTGTGCTGGACGGTAATGGCGTTGGCCTCAAGTTGCTGGTTTGCTAGCTGATTCCTGAGGTCTGTGTTCAAGGCTTGAAGCGACTGCGTGTCTCTCAGGGCAGATTGTAGTTGTCGTCGGATCGATACACCTTCCCTACTTGACTGTTCTTGGTATGCCTCAAGTCCGGCGATTCGCTCTTCAGCACTTCGAAGTTTATCTGAAGCAATATCGGCTTCCTGTCGATACTTCTTAACGAGTAGATTTGCCGCTTCGATTTGGCCCTGAAGGATTACAATCCGGTCTGAATTAGCCTGACTAGCCTTACTTGGGTCTCTAGTGATCTTTTCTAATCCAGAAATTAGCGCCTGCCGATGAGTATTTGCTTCTGCTGCATGTCGCTCAGCGAGTTCTTCGGCATCCCGTAGTCGCTGGGTGGTCGATTCTAATTCTGTAGCATGTGCTTCATGTTCAGCTTTGAGCTTGTTAAACTTGGATTCAATTGTCGTTCGCTGGGATCGTTCCTCGTCAAGCTTGCGCTCTAGGTGGGCGCGCATGTCCGCTGATGATACTACGGCCTCTCGAAGAGATTCTAAAGTCTCATTATGTTCTTTGGAACTGCCGACAGCCTCGTTGTATTTACTCTCGAAGTCATCCTTCTCGACGCGTAGAAGTTGTAAGGACGCGAGTGCCTCAGCGCTAGCAACTGATTGTTCTCTTGCTTCGCGCTGAACCATATGCAATTCGGCCCGTAGTTGTTCGATCTCCGAAGACGTCCGCTGCTTGTACAACTCCAATTCAGCTATCCGCTTGTGGGTGGCGCTCAGGGTTTCATCTGCTAATTGCCTGGTTCGTTTCTCAGCCTCGAGTTCTGATACCGCTCGAGCGAGGCTATTTTGCAAATCTCTCTGTACATTAAGTGCAGTCGCAAGCTTCTTATTGAGATTAGCAGAACGATCACCGTTGTCTATGTCCCTCTCCCCGTCTAGCTGTGGAGTGCTAGCGGCACTTCCAGTCTGTGCTGCCATCTTGGCTTTAGCATAGACGGCTTCACGGACTGCAGCGTCACGCTGTCGCTCTACCTCGGCGATCTGCTTTGCTGCTAGGATTGCTTGCTTATCAACGGCGCTTTGTACATTAGCCAACTCTTGTTTCATAGCCAATAGCGATTCGATTAGCCGCTTGTCATCATCGTCGAATGTCTCTGCTGCCCGAGACTCTAGAGTCGGACTGAGGGTTGCATTAGACATATACCCGGCTTTGCGAGCCAACTCTAGCTCTGAAGCATACCATGCATTCCGGTTTCGGGAGGCATCGAGTTCCTTCAAGAGGGCAACAGTCTGCGAATTTCTATTCGAACCTTTCCTTGATAAAGGATTACTGGGCTGCCTTGTCGGTGGAGGTGGAGAGGATGGGCGGACTGCTATGTTCTTGAGGGTTGGCTCCGTATTGCTGTCGACAGAACCCTGGCCGCGGGTTTGGCGCGACTGCTTGGGTTTGGGCTCATCCCTTGCTAGATTCTCAGATCTAGAAGCACTTCTAGCGGTTTGTTGATTAGGCGTTCGCCTTCCGTTCGTGGCCGGAACCTCTTCTTTAATCGGTTCCCGCGATATCGGGGACTGGTTTTGGCTGTTGATGCCAGATGATGCAGCACCAACAGCTTCCCTCTCTATCCGCTCGATAGATGTATTTCTTGTGCGACGGCTAGCCGCATTTGTATCGATATTAGGCTTGGGAAGCTGGCCTTGCGGTGGAGGTCCTGAGGGAGTAGAGGTTCCCGCAGCTCTTGGAAGTTTCGACATTCCATTGCTGATTGGAGGGGGGCCATTGATGTCTATACCCATAATACCTTTACCGGTACTGTTTGTTGGACTATTAGGGCTAGCCACGCGTTTCGGATCCGGTCCAGCAGAGCCCTCACGGGATGGAGCTTGTCTACCGCCGATAGCAGGGACTTCACCGCCACTCGGCCGCCTTGCCTGCTGTACTTTCTGAGTATTTGACTGGATCTGTGCATCGTTGGGATATCGAATCTTGGTGGTGTCCAAAACATAGACGATCCCCAAATCATTCACCTGGTTGGTGGTCGAACTAGGCTCCCCTCCAACAACGACGACTGATTTTCCCACGGATGTCATACTATGGCCAGACCGCGGAGAAGGAGACGGACCCATGTTCTGGAAGGTATACCAACGGCGAGAGGGGATCCGGAACGCGGCCAAATCACCCAAGTCAGCCCCTTCTTCGGTACGACCACCAAAAACATACATAACGTCGTCTACAAGCGAAGCAGCATGACCTTCTCTCGGAACGGGAATGTATCCGATAGAATCTAATTGGGACCATTTGTTGACTGCCGGTTCGTAACACCATACATCATTAAACCATTGGAAGCCGTTGGTGCCGCCAAATCTGCGATGGTGAGCTTTTGAAACATGTGATGACAGTGTGATTTTTCTTCTTTAACTTACAGGTACATCTTATCATTGAAGGTAACCATAGAATGGTTGGTCCTAGCAGGCGGTACTTTACCTTGCATTGCTCCTCCGGGTTCAATGTTCTCGCTGAGGATTTCCCATCTGTTATTGGGCATTTGCAACTGATTGAGATCAAAAGCGGCCAGGTCGTTCATAAAATACCCTTCCACCTGACCACCAAAGATGTAAATCTTCGACCCGATAATGTTCAAAGAGTGCCCATAGCGACCTGACGGCCTTGGACCGGCCGGCAGAGCTCTTGACCATTGCCGCGTGGCTGAAACGCCTGATTAGCCAATGCTGACAAGAATAGGATGTGGCGGGTCACGATGTCTTACAAGTATTGAGGAGGTACAAAGTTTCGTCTAGAACATCAGTCTCGTCGATTTTGGTATCACCACCATATACGATGAACGCATTGCCTACTAGGAGAGAGGAATGTCCAACTCTTGGTCCGGGGCCTTCAGAAACAGTGACGAGTGGATAGCACGACATATTTCCTCCGGCCTCGATCATCCATAGATCACCCTTGACAGTTGAACTATTGATTAAACCACCCATGACGTAGATATCTCCCTCCTTAGAAGAAACAGAGTTGACGGCTGCTCCATATCTAGGGAAAGGGCTGGGCGTGCCCGTGTTCAGTATTAAGCGTCGCTGCGACCAAGGATATAGCGAAGCATTCACGTTTTGTTGCGGAGGTTGTGCAGGAGCATTGCGAAACTTTTTGAATTATGATTATTAGCTTAATTTCTAGAATATAGTTCAATTGTCCTGTGTGCTGGCAGTGTGCTTGGTGCTGGGTATTGAACGTTGGACGTGGTCTAAGAGGCACAGAAGGGTAAATTAAATAGATTAAATAAAAGAACTTACGGGCAAGTCGCTCACTTGTTGCGGTTGTTGCGGCTGTTGACCCTGTGATGGATCCTGGGCACGACGAACAGCATACTTCTCGGCATCTGGACTTGGAGTACCTTCGTCGAATGAATTCAAACTTCCTGTTGGAGTTGATCGGGAGCCTTTCTCTTCTCTAGCGATGCGCCCAGCTGCGCCTTGCACTTGGGGTGACGATCCAGGGGGTCCCTCTCTACTGTTAACGTTCCTCTCCTGATTCTTCTTAGATTTGAATAAAAAAGCCATGACGAGTTATAGCCAGGCACCCTCGTAAGGAGTGCTTAGACTATACTGTCGACCGTCGCCGCTGCGACAAACTGCTAGAAATCGTAGATGTCGATGCCGCGTTCGGATAGATTGTATGTGGATTATATGCGTGATGTGCGACAGATCAGTGTGGTCGGTAGGGTCGGTAGGCGGGAGGTCTTGATGCAAATGCAACGAAATCGGGGATTATGCGATGGACAGAGGTATGAAAGGTTCGTCGTGGTAAGAATCGACGTTCGGGATGGCTGGGGTTGAAAGCATGAGGTTGGAAATATCGTTGATGGGTCCTCAATCGAAATTGCGCCGATTGCTTGTAACTTGCGCAGCCCCTCGACTTTTTTTTATTACCCCCTTCTAAGCCTCCGTATTCCTTTTTTTACTCTACCTAACAAGGTAGTAGTTGTAACTTGGGGATACCAAGTTGAGGACAGGTACACACTTGAATAGGAAAAATGCACTGAAATAGAACTACCGTGCTGTTGCACTTGTAAATTGGAACGATAGATAAAAAATGAAGGGTTAACGGATCGAATGTTGCGACGGGTTTATTCGTTTGTTAGGCGCTTATGGTGGGTATCCCCTCAAAATCATCCAGGGTGGTTTAAAAAAAAAAGTTATTGTACAATACGCAGACAAATAAAGGAGGACTAGAACATTAGTAATTTATCGCCTTACTAAATATTATTCGATCCCAAAAGCCTGCAGCGACGAAGCAACTGGCTATTGGAACGGCGTCGTGAAGAAAGGGTGATGAAAATGAGCGGCAAAGGAAAAAAACGAATTGGGATGATGAATTGAGGAAGAACGATGTCGACTTCCTTAATGTTCAAATTCAGTTCAAGTTCAGTTCAGGGACGACGCATGCACCAAATTTCCAGAAAAAAAAAAGTCGAAAAGTCCCCCCAGGACCCCAAGATGCTCAGGGCAGTCACCACCAAGCATCATCAAGCACCAGGGCACCTGCAGGGTCGGCTTATGAGGGGCCGTGCTATGCTAGGTAATTCCTGATTAGTACTGGCGTTCACTTATGCAGCACCTTAACTGCAGGTTACAATTGGATAAGAGGAGCCTAATTTGGGGGGATATCCATTTCTCCAAGGGGGTTAGCGGCACGATTAAAATAAATGCCTTCTATTGGATTGTACCAATACATCCATCGTAGCTATTGGGTGGGAAAGACTAGGGAATATCAGGGAGTTAGCTCCTGAATATTACCCAGGTAACTGCTAATATCATAATAACAATCACACTACGTACTAGGTAACACTGAGAAGATACGATGTGCTAGCTTAGACTTTTGTTATTATTATTGACTTCTAGAATAAATATTTGCTGATTTCGAGTCTTCGACTATTCCTCCAGGAGCAACGCGTACAGACGTACATACATAAAAGGCATCCTGGACATTATCAAAGGACACACTAGGTAATCAGCCTAACCAACTTAGGTAATTATTTGTTTCCCTAGATTTGATGCAAGTGTTTGTTGTTGAAACAAGTTAGAACAAGCTAGCCTAACTCTAATAAATCTAATAGATGACAACAGTGGGATGGTGCTGACTGGCTGGCCGAGATCTTTCTTGATTTGATTCTGCGTGCGCATTACCCGGTACTCTTCTATGTCCACGTGGATGACATACTATAAATAGGGGAAGGCCTGAGTGATGCTATTCAATGTTCTGTTAAGTACCTACCGCCTACCTTCGTAATTATCGTCTGTAAGTCTAATTACAGAACTGTAGAAATCTTCCAATCTTCCATATCACCTACCTAAAAGACCTACTTAGGTGGGTAGATAATTCAGGGGGGGCCACATGTTCGTTCGATCTAATAGGCTCCGTCGTCGAAAATGCCTTAAGTATCACATCGGGAGATATGGCTATCACACATCGGAAGAAATATAACGCCTAGGTAGGTAGTAAGGCATGATACTCCCTAATAGCATTACAGATTCTCGACCTCAGTTGTCTCAATACATTGTAAATCTTGCATCGTGGTTGGTGTGGTAGTTACGACATAAGCCAGACTTACTATGCAGCAACGTGACAGCATGAAGAATATCCACACATCTTTAAATTTTCTTAATGTGTTATCTAAAGCATCGCGATGAGCTTGCGGCGCGAAATTTATAGTGTGGTGAGACACCCCCTTTTCTTATGGATACTTGTCTTTGCATCTCTCTTGAATCTTTAGGTAATTAATAGGTTAGGTCAACTTAGTGAACATTGAATGATTGAATGCGCATGTTCCTAATGTATGTACAGTACATGCGTACGCCTCCCTGACTTCGGGAGAACGATAATCGATTAGATAGTAGTTACATATCATCTAAACTTCAAATGGATGGATCCCCGGGCAAGGCTGGCAGGCTGGCAATGGTGAGGAGGGCTAAGTGGGCACGAAATGTATTTGGGGATGTGTCGATCACTTAGCGAAACGGGCAACCTGAAACACAACCAATTATCCAGCACGTGAAGGATACAGCGCATCAGTAGCACGGCTGGATGGTAGAACTCTGTCTAGCCATATAAAATACCTATCACACCCCCACCATCTAGCGTATCGTGGTATCGATGTCCAACAGTTCTGCCGTATTCTTACGTACTTAACAGCTTAGGTGATGGTGCGAGTGTGACGAAGCATTTCCAATTTACCGATAGGTATCTGGCTTTTCCCGACTTACACAGGTATGTATGCTGTATGGTGCAGCCTTCGTTGATCCCATATCCAGTCTCTCCGAGTTTATCCGAGAGGAAGCAGACCAAGCAGACGTCGAATTATCGTGGACAAGCAGACAGGATGCGGCTGATAGGTCGTGGCTGAGAATATGTATTGTGGCAGTCCTCAGAAGTTTTCAGAACGACCTCTTGGCTTGCTTGGTATTGGAACGGAACAAATGCCGTGCATTCAGCAGCCGAGGCTTATCTTGACTTGGTGCTTGTTTCTCTCTGCCTAGTATTACCTAGGACCTATTACTTGAGTACAGACTAGAGTTTGCTCAACGAACCAGCTATGCTTGAGAGGACAAGGAATTTATTATTGCTTCTTACCTAAGTGCATAGCGATGTTGGGATGGATATTGCAGTAATGTTGTGGAGCACCTAGTCTGGAGCCTCACTACAATCCATAGCAGGCAGATATTGATATTAATGGTTTGTTGTTAGCAAACATCCACAATTATTTTTTTGAAAACAAAAAAAGTCTAGAATTTTTCGAGATTTGCAGGACGGAAAACGAGGAGAATTGTATTCTTTGCGACTGCGACGGATGAAAATAGCTCATAGCTGGCGTTAGTAGGTTGCAGCAAGGCGAATGGTGATAAAAAGGGGCAATTTTTTGGGGATTGAGTGCAGTGCCAATTGAGGTGTGCCGAAATATACAAAGGTACATAGTACGTACCGTAGCTGTCAGGACAGCGTCAATTGGGAACATGGCAGCGTGGAAACTGCAACATTGAATTTATTTCGTCACTGACCAGCAGACTGACCTCGGGTTGTACATGCTTTTTTAGCTTTAGAGTACTTAGGTACCTTTTCCCACCGCCTTTCCGCCGCTTGCCCGCTTGTACCTACCAACCAGAGTAGACCTGATTAGACCGTAAGCTTTCGTTCGCAAACGTTAAACCCGGAGATAGGTAGCTTCCAGCTGGAGAAAGCCAGGATTTAGCGACTTACATAGCGACTTAGCGTCTAGCGCTCATCGCATATCCACGCTATCCACGCATCCAAACCGTCGAATAATCAACTTCTCCGATTTCTAAGCCTCACCACCAAACCACGCCAAACCACCCAATCTCAACCCCACCGAACCGGTTGTTCCATTTCTGCTTCGTCAGAACTTTACAACCGTGTTTCCTGTGTGTGTTGGAGCGCCTAAACTTGAACTTGACGTGCATCAAAAATGTGCTACAAACATCATGACTGCCGTCACGTTCTCTTCCCGTAGCGCGTACACTTCTGGGCAGCGTTCGACCCATCAGATCCCGACCATTTCGTCGCCGCATCCTCGTCATAATCTTCTAACAACCGATCCTAACTCTAATTCCCTCCGCGACTATTCAAACTCGTCGGCGACTAACCCTCCCATGACTAATGGTGCTTCTACAAACATGCCTTCACGACTAGGCACAGGCGGCCCAATTTATGCGGCACGAGATCCCGAGCTGGCAAATGGCCGGCCACGCACGGCGACGGAAGAGAGAGAGACGGTGGACCTCGACCGACGTCCATTAACTGCTCCCGGAAATAAGCATAATATTTCCCTTGCGATACCCCCAGATGATTCCGATCACGATAAACCTGGTAGAAGACTAATTTCCAAGCCGCCGTTGCTAAGATCGAAGAGCGAGCACATAGTAAAACGCGAAGATGGAGATCAGGCAGACGAGGAAGTTCATGAATGGGGTGCGCGACATGGGTTTGAAGACCATTATCAGTCTGAGGATATTATATCCCAACTGGCAAATGTGAGTGGAACCTCGGCTCTTACGATACTTGCCATTCAATCCGAACGCGCGTATATTTGTGTTGCGCCGTCGTTGCTAGGCAACCTCAAGTAAGAGGTAGACTAACTCAATTATATAGAATTGGTACATGTACTATACGGAGAAACGACACGAGACTACGGGACAACCCGAATCACCCAACTATGCGATCGAAGATTGGCGTATGCGGGATCGCTTAAAAACAGTTTCAGCTGCTCTTGCGGTTTGCCTTAACATAGGTGTTGAGCCCCCGGATCAGCTGAAAACGAACCCCGGAGCGAAGCTTGAGGCGTGGCAGGACCCCTTCGTACCTCCCGCAGCAAAAGCACTCGAGCAGATTGGGAAGTCTCTGCAAGCTCAGTATGAGAACATATCATTGCGGACGAGGTATAAGCAGTACTTGGACCCCTCGGTTGAAGAGACCAAGAGGTTCTGTCAGTCTTTACGAAGAAACGCAAAAGATGAACGTGTTCTCCTTCACTACAACGGCCATGGAGTTCCAAAACCAACGGCGTCGGGAGAGATTTGGGTTTTTAACAAAACTTTCACCCAATACATTCCGATCTCTTTGTACGACCTCCAGCACTGGCTTCAGGCGCCTACCATCTTCGTCTGGGACTGTTCCGAAGCTGGAAATATCCTGAACAACTACCACCGATTTGTAGAGAAACACGAGGAAGAGGAGGATGCGGCTGCTGCTGCTGACCCGAACTATGAGAAGACTAAATATCGATCATACCTTCATCTCGCAGCATGTGCCGTCAAGGAAAACCTCCCAACCAACCCGCGTCTCCCGGCTGATCTGTTCACGGCATGTCTGACAACACCGATAGAGATGGCGTTGTGGTTTTTCGTCTTGCAGAACCCGCTCAAGACCAGTATATCGCCGGAGCGGGCCAAGAAACTCCCAGGTAGACTGCAGGAAAGGAGGACGCCACTTGGAGAACTGAATTGGATCTTCACGGCAATCACCGATACTATTGCCTGGACCTCTCTACCTCGAAAGTTGTTCCGCAAATTTTTTAGGCAGGATCTCATGGTGGCTGCTCTCTTCCGTAACTTTATCCTCGCTCAGAGAATCATGATGGTGTATGGATGTCATCCACAGTCGTACCCGGAATTACCCGACACTCACCAACATCCTCTATGGGAGAGCTGGGATTTAGCCGTCGATTTGGCATTGGCGCAACTCCCTATGATGGAACGAAAAGAGAACGAGGGGATCGAGTACGAATACCAGAGTTCGTCATTCTTCGCAGAGCAGTTAACCGCTTTTGAGGTGTACCTTGCACGAGGAGATGCTATGCAACAGAAGCCACCTGAGCAGCTTCCTGTTGTGCTCCAGGTCTTGCTTAGCCAGCAGCATCGTGTCCGAGCTCTCATCTTGCTGGGCAAATTCTTAGACTTAGGTCCCTGGGCTGTTCATCTAGCACTAAGCATCGGTATCTTCCCGTATGTGCTAAAGCTCCTGCAGTCTGCTGCCGCCGAGTTGAAGCCTGTCATGGTTTTTATCTGGACCCGGGTTCTCGCCGTTGATGTCTCCTGCCAGCCTGATCTGATCAAGGATAGTGGCTACAACTACTTCTCCTCGATCTTAAATCCATCCGAGGTCCTTGCTGTCGTTGACAGCGACATGCATAAGGCAATGTGTGCATTTGTGCTCTCAATGCTATGTAAGGGTTACCGACCTGGCCAAGCTGTTTGCAATCAGTCCCCTATCATGACGTTTTGCTTGGCACACCTTAGGAATCAAGACAATGTACTACTTCGCCAATGGGCGTGTCTTTGCATCAGCCAATTATGGCAAGATCTCCCAGAGGCGAAATGGAGGGGTATTAGAGAGAATGCGCCCATGAAGCTGTCAAGTTTGACCAAGGACCACGCTTGCGAAGTACGAGCGGCAGTCATTCATGCCATGACAACATTCCTAGGAATTCCAGATCTTACGGATGAAGTAGCCAGAATTGAAGAGTCCATAGCGTGGACTTTGTTGGATATGGCTAATGATGGTAGCCCGCTTGTTCGCAAAGAACTACTCGTCTTCATTTCCCACTTTGTTCTTCGGTACGAGAATAAGTTTATTGTTGCCGCCTATGAACAACTTGTCGAAGAGAAGGAGTACCTACTTTTCCCTCCTACGGATGACGGTCTAGAGCATAAGATGGGATTGCACTATGCGCGACCCGATAATCGTAATCCAGATGGAACGATCAGGGCAGCTGCCCAGGGGTTGTCTTCCAACACGGTCTTTGCAGCTTGTTGGAAGCATATACTGGTCCTAAATGTTGACCCCCATCCCGAGGTCCAGCGCGATGCGACAATCGTCGTTGATTACGTACACAACGCACTCCTGTCTTCGTCAGCTGGCTTCCAGGCTCAAAATCTAATGGATGAGATTCAAAGGCGTGCGCGACGATCTCGTGGCCACAAGAAACAGCCGTCTACTTCACGAAATGGCCTTAAGACATCCACATCCGAAATTACACCCCCAGAACCTTCTCCTGGTCTTCTTAAGCGGACTGCTAGCTTGCTATTCCAGCTACCCAGTATGTGGGCTGGCGACTCGACCAATTCTTCACCATTGCCCTCCCCGGGACTTGTGAGGAATTTGTCTCAACGGAATAGACTTACTCTGGATTGGGCTACTCCCCCTGAGCAGATCGACCAAGCTAACGCCCCTGCAAATTATAACACCGCTGATGAACCTGTATCAGGAAAGTTCAAAGAACGGCAACTTGATCAGGCACCCACCTTACCTCTTCCAAGTACGTTCTTAGACTGGTCCATTGAATACTTCCGGGAACCACAAATGCATCCTAGCGAAGCCGAGGAACCGGGAAGTACCGAATACAACGAACGGCTATGGAGAAGAGCTCGAAACGAGAACATACTCAGAGAGACTCAGCCACAGAAGCAGCATGCAGGCAGTCACAGGTGGAATAACCAATTATGCATCATGAACAACGGTGCTCAACCGGCAAAAATGACATTCCATCAATATGAGGACCATCTTGCAGTCGCCGATGATGGCAACACGGTTTATATCTGGGACTGGAAGAAGCAGGCTAGATTGAACCGATTCTCGAATGGGAATCCGGATGGATCAAAGATTAGTGACATGACATTCATCAATGAGGATGATACGGCATTTTTAATGACCGGCTCTTCGGATGGTGTGCTTCGGGTTTATCGAAACTACGATTCTCCCAAAAAGACCGAGTTAGCTTCGGCATGGCGAGCACTAACTCATATGGTTCCTAGCAACGTCAACTCGGGGATGGTGTTTGACTGGCAACAGGTGACTGGCAATGTGCTTGTTGCAGGAGATGTTCGCGTTATTCGGGTCTGGGCTGCCGCACATGAGACATGTATTATGGACATTCCCGCACGGTCAGGGTCATGTGTCACATCACTGACGTCAGACCAAATGACTGGTAACATCTTTGTGGCTGGGTTCGGCGATGGTGCGGTCCGGGTGTTTGATACCCGTCTCCGACCACAAGAGTCTATGGTAAAGAAGTGGAAAGATGATTCCGATCGACAATGGATTAGAAACGTTCATATGCAGCGTGGGGGTCAGCGTGAGTTACTTTCTGCGAGCCGAAACGGCAAAGTTAAGCTTTGGGACATCCGCATGGATTCGCCGCTCCGTGTTATTCAAGCAACACGTGACACCCTCCGAACAGCGAGTACTCATGAACATCTACCGGTTTTCTCTGTGTAAGTTTGAGCTAGCATCAATCACGTTCCCCCTATCTTTTACTAACAGAGTTTCAGTGGAACATCTGCACACACTGTCAAGGTTTTCAACTTTGATGGCCGTGAGCTCTCTCGGATGGAGCCATACTCTAGCTTCCTACAGCAAAACCGTGGCGCACCCATCTCAGCCACGGCATTCCACCCCCACCGCATGATTCTAGGCTGTGCAGCACGCGGTGACCAGCACATCAACCTCTTCACGTGCGCCAATCAAAAACCGGAAGGCAGTCTCGACTCGTTGTAAAACGCCACCTCGCTCATCACATACAACCGAAAAGACACGGATATAATGCACCGGGAGCAGTAATGACCAAAGACCCTTTTTAATGTTACGAACTGACTAGATGCAATCCCACTTTGCTCGCACATACAACAGCGAAGAAGGGGGCGTAGACGACGAGGACTTGGTATTTGCTTTATTTGAATTTATGTTTTTGTTAATGGGAGGGACTGGTAGGCATGCATAAGACGACATATGCATGCGAGGACGGCGTCGGGTCGTCTTTGGGCGGGCAGGCTTTTGCATTGTTGGGTTAGTTTCACTGCGCGCACGGGAGGGGGTAAAGGGAGGAGGGAACTCGTTAGATCATACATCTACATCTGCCGGGCGAGGCGTACCTACTACTACTACTCTTAATAATACACCAATGGATGGTTTTCACGATGACTGTTGCTGTTTTCTGGTTTTTTGCGGGGGCACTGGATTGTTTTAGTGGATTGGTGACGTGATGATTTATGTGCGACCCCTTGTGTAATGCGCCCCTATTTCTTTCAACTTATGGATGCCCCTATGAAGGTTTGTCGATATCACGTGTCCGTTATAACCCCTATCAACTGTCACCGGAAGGCAGTTAATACGGTCTAATATGAATGAAAAGTGACTATTCGCCGTATTTCTTAAACTATGACTACAATGGATAGCTTGAGTATCACATCTCAGAAATCACGCAGAACACAATGTCTCAACGCCACAGTATCACCGAATTCGGCTAAATCCGTCTTCTACGATAGCTTCAATTCCGCGGATCGATAAAAACATTTCAGCCACTAAACACAAAAAAATTAATTGGCCAGTAGAGGAATCGAACCCCCTGACCTAGCATTAAAGTTGCAGATAGTCCAGCATTTACTAACGCGTTCCAAACACGCTCCGCTAGGCCACTCCAGTTCGGCCCTCTCGTGCGTATAGAGATACTCATTGGTTGATGGACAAAGTTCAATTTTAGTCTATATGGGCCTTGTCGTGGCGATGTCGTTTTGTTTGGCGGTTGGTAAAACAGCTTGGTCGTCGACTCGCGGTGGAGTTTGGGGTTTGCTGGGGAAATGTGGAGGTGGTGGAAAAGGGGGGAGGGGGGCGAAAAGGGGTTAATGTGAATTAAAGTGAGCTCCCTGGAAGCTGAAGCGCGTAAACCGCGGCACATAGACGGGACATGGGACGTTTTAAGTGTTAACAAGCCGTCAATTTATACCGATTGCTCCCTGATGTCAGGCAAGAACTTCATGGCGTAGTGGAAGCGCACCAGGTTTTCGGCTCCGAATGCCTAGAAGTCCTCTGATCAAAACAGAGTGAAGCTATTTTTTTCTATTTTTCAAATTATTATTTTACGCCTCCTCCTTTCATGCTCACGACCAAGTTCGATATTCATACAAAGAGTACCTACCTAGGTAAATATGTCGCTTTTGAACAATAAACTACCTCCTAGAGTACATTGAATGCGCTATTAATTTGATAATCGCCTTTCTCTTCCAACTTCAGAACATCAATTGGTCCTCTCATAATATCTTCAGTCCATGATATCCAGATTAGCTATTGCGTGAACCGATTGTATCCAGGCTCAGCCCTTGCCCAAAATCGCTGACCCATTCACGTACCGGTAGAGAGGTATCTATTGATACACACTAAGTATTACTCAAAAACCTCAAATGGAGGAATTATTAGTACTTACGCAATACGGAATAAGAATAATATGGCGCGAAACGCAAGAGATGCTGAATCGTCGAGTTGTGTCTAGTTGAACTACCTTGGAGGAAATGGTCTCCTCATCATAAACGGAAATGGGTGGGTGGGACTCGTGGATACGGAATCCCTAGGCAAGGGACGAGAGGGCGAAGGGCCCGGAGTATTTTGCGATTCTCGAGCTGCCGCAGCCGTTGTAGAGTTTCCCGAGGCTGGCCTTGCTGGTCCTCTTGGCTCTCTACTTTCTTGTTGCCGTGCTTCTGCGTCTAGTTGTGCCTGTCTTATGGCATTTGCTCCACGCTCCCTGTGTCGGCGAATACGTTCTCGGTGTGACATATTTGGGTCGAGAAGCCTAGGAGGGCTTTGCCGCCGAGAAAAAAACGGATTCTGTATTCTGGTAGTAACCCTCAGTTCATCCATCAGTCGATGTAGGAGTGAAGGTTGCTCAATTGGTGGTGGCTCAGGTCTACTCCAAAGTCCAGACCCTTCTCTGGGATTATTGCGCCGAGAGGTGCTTCCAGAGCCAGTCGACCTAGGTATCTCACGGGCATTTAGTGGATTGGGTATCGGAGGAGTGGGGGGTGCCATATAAGAAGAACGTCCTCGCAATGGGTTTTCGTGATTATCGTCAAAAGGTATGGGTGGGAACCGATCAACTGGGGCTGAAGAGCTGCCCCGTTCTGGGGGTTGAATAGGGTGTCGAGTTGGAGTTAATGGGTGCATATGTCGTTGAGCTCGCCAGTTAGGTGGAATGTTCTCCTGGGCTCGCTCAAATATCTCTTGGCCCTCCTCCCACTCGTCTTCGTCATCATCTATACCAAAAGCTTGCATATACTCTCCCTCCGTTAAGTCATCATGACCTATCTGACAAGTGCAGGCAGTCCACGACTTGCCACAAAGGTAACAGAAGTGCCCACCGCACTGACACCTAAACAATTCAGAAGGTTCTAGTCAGTAATTGTATCCATAAACAGCAGAATAGGGTTGATTCCAGATAGCTGTCGTTTTTTTAAGTAAGACCAGATGTAAGCTCACCTTATATGTGGGCATCCATGCATCCGAGAAATCATTCGGCGACAGTGGGGGCATCGCTTCCATTCTTGTTGCTCAGCCAATTCTCTCAACCCCGGATCTAGGTCTGGCTCTTCACACTCCGTATCGGCAGGGCCGTGTGCCGGCTGCTTGCATTTCTTGCAAGTTGATGTACCGCATTTAACACAAGTCACGATTCTGCTCTCTTCTTCTGCCTGTTCATTGCTCAATAGAGCGCTGCATTGGGGTCTGGAACAATAGAGAGGATTCCGCACGCTACTCTCCTCTTCCGCATCTTGAAATGCCTGTTGGAGGTCCTCGTCGTCCAGCCAGAGTACGTCCGCCACTCCAACGTTGATCCCACAGCATTGCGGCGGCCAACGTACCCGGTCGCCAATGTTGAATAAGAAAAAATTGAGTAAGCAATCTCTGCAGTAAATGCACCCGCATGGGAGCATTCGCGCATTGTCGGATTGGTCACCACAGGCTACGCAGGTGAATTCGGGCCGGTTGGGGTCCGCCATCTTGTAAGTAGTTGTATCCTCTCGTGTCTAGTAGGTATTATAGCTGGCCCCAATGTTGATTTTGGACATCTATCTTCTGCTGAAGGGTATTCTCTGACTAGATTCGGTATCGACAGCTTGTCTTAGGTCAATGATACATAAAAGAGTGACAGGAATAGAGAACGCTAAGTTAGTATATACGATATAATTTATACATATGAATGTCGAGAAATGTCCAGGTGTGCCGATAATGGTTGGCATAAATAGTAACTAGGTACAAAATAAATAGAAGTTGAAAGATTCTACAGCTTGAAGTTCATCGGTCATAAGATACACGCGACGTACGCCCCGTCGCAAGAGGATAGGACGATCAGCAACGCGCCTTCTATTTGATTTTCTAGTAGTATTCCTGTTGACATCATCCAGAAATTTACCTATAAGGCTCGACCCCTTCTGTATTTAGTATTGAATAAAGTTTAACAATATATTGCACCTTCCCGGGCATAATAAGTGGTTGCGGAAAGGGCTAACAAGATTATGACCAATCAGACTCAAGTATAGTTTCAAACGTTGCACAGAAATGGCTCTTCTCATTGGTCAGGATCAGGACCCGTTTCCTAAAACGGCAGTAGCTCAAATCTAGGACCTGAAAGATACAGGAAATACCTACTTGATGAGCAGCACGTTGCTTCTAGATATGCTAAATCTTTCAGAGTATATCTAAATACTTACATTGTATGTCTTATTGTTATAAAGCGGTTGCGTATTAGTCCACTGGTCGATATGGGGGATTTCATGACCTGGACGGACCAACCCCGCATAGATTTGATAGGGGTACCTATTCATCAAAGGCTAAGATATTCTTATAATCTAACGCAAGTACCTAGGCCTCTTGTGGTTCTACATTGCAAGAATACCTACTAGGTAGGTGTATCAGAGAAATGGTACCATGAAGATAACCTTTGAGTAAAGCGCAAGGTGAGTCTAGACCGTCACTCATCTATTTCGGGAAAGGCTAGATTGCTCCGCTACCAATTTAGCTGCAGCTCAACCATCCAGACTGTCTATGAGGCGATGGCTAGACCATGATTATAGTGCTCGTGATGAATCCCGACACGATGGAAGCGCGGCAGCCCCCGGAAAGAGTAGATAGATCCGAGCTGAAAGCTGAACACTTCCAAGTTGCTGTATTCTACCTATATAAGATGCCTACTTAACTGTGCCGTTCGCTCTCTAAAAGATTCATAAAAAATATTCTAAAAATTGCATTTAAAAAATATTACCAATCGAGTTCGTCATTATGGGTGCTGCGATTTCAGCAGTGTATGCTAGCATCTCCGATGTTGATGAACAGGAGAGACAGCGAGCAAGACAAGACCTCGAGGTTCTCCAAAGAGCTGTAGAGTACAAATTGGATCAATTCGACTCGAAGATAACCGAGTAAGGAATCTAATACATACTGTGCTGTTCATTAAAGCTAATAGAGTTCGATTTCCAGGATGTTCCTCAATCCAGAAGCGATGTCAAGGACTCAGGTGCCTGGACTTCGTGCACTACGCAAGTCGAGATATACGAGTGTTGGTGTTAAAGGGACTGTAAGTAGGACAATGATAACCGCATTAGGAGAGTTACTTACCAAGGTACCATAGCGGGAAATATGGTAGCCCAAAAATGATTGGAAATGCAAAACAATCATTGGAAACCGCAAAACAATCATTGGAAACCTAAAAATAATCATTGTAAATTAGTTGAAATCATTGGAAAGGTTAAATAATCATTGGAAAAGTCAGACAATCATTGGAGGGGTTTAACAATCATTGGAAAACCTTAGATTTAGATCAGGTGCCCAAGTGACCCATGCGGCAACAAGGTTGGCGATACTACACAACACCTTTTTGCCCCCCAAAAAACTTAAAGATTTTTTTTCTTCGAATTTTGTCCTTATCCTGCATCTCCCACACACATATTTTTATTTTTATTTCTTTCCTTTACATCTTTTTTTTTATCACACCACCACTAATACCACCACCACCACCACATCACAATAATAATAATACTTATTTATACTTTAGTATAGATTTAGCCTTAGATAGATCAAATTTTCGATCAATAAACAGGTCCTTAGATAGATCAGATAAAACTCTAGATAGAACAATATTTCGATCAATAAACAGGTCGTTAGATAGATCAGATAGATCAGATAGATCAGATGGATCAGATGGACCAGATGGATCAGATGGACCAGAATCGATCAAATGGATCAGAATCAATCAGAAGGATCAGAATCAATCAGAAGGATCAGAAAGATCAGAAAGATAGACCTATATACAGCTTGGTGGGCAGGAAGGTAGGTGGCGAAAAGCCTACCTCGTCACCCACCTCGTCGCCTACCTCTTTATTTAAGGCTACAAATACTTAGGTTTTTAAGGTTTCCAATGAATGTTTAAGGTTTCCAATGAATGTTTGAACTTTCCAATGATTGTTTGACCTTTCCAATGATTGTCTAACCCCTCTAATGATTGTATTTTATACAATAGCTGTGCTGGGAAATCTTGATTCTTATAATGGGCCATTATTGTTTTCGAAAATAATCATTGTTAGCTGTTGGCAGGTCCCGGTACGGTACTTTTGTAGCCTATTGAGAATGTGTCGAAAGCGATCGACGATTACCTTAGCCTAGGGAGCGCTAGGCCTGGCACTGAACAGGACATCAAAGATGGCTTTAAGGTAGACCATCCATCAGCACTGATATCATTAACTACCTACCTGCCTAGGTGCCTAACGTTCTATCTTTGCAGAAAATTGTCTCCAGCGCACTGGAGGGTATCCTGTCAACTACGAGCGCCGGGGAGCACGAAGAGCAGAGATTTTTCGTTTACGTGCAGTATAACGCTATCATACGCCTAGATGTTATGGTATGTGAGAGAAAAATGATATCCTGTCGGTAACAATCATTGAATGGGTATAACTTAATAACTTCCATAGCTTTGGCGCTGGAATTTCACTGGAAAAGGTTTCAGCGACAAATACGAGAATGCTTTTGGTTGTGAGTCAATAGCTAATACCCGAATACCGAAGTGGATATTGAAGAGACTAAATTTTTATACAGATTTAATATGTACTTCCGTCGTAGACGTTAGTGCACTGAAGACGGCCGAATTTGTATATTTGATAAGCGAATACGCAGGTAGGTCTACAGCATTCTCCTCAGCGTATTACGGGAACTAATTACATGTAGGCGATTCAGATGAAGAGGTGGTCAAATATGTCAAAGCAATGGAAGACATTTACAATCGTAGTCGGAAGTTGAAACAAAGCCAGCAGCGCCTATCCCAATTAGAAGATTATCAATATTAAGATCTTCTTGTGTGTGAGTCTTGCAGAGCACCATGATACTTTCAGACTCGAAGCCGGATAATTGATACTACGAAGTATTTAGTTCACTACCTAATTACATAAAATAAACTCATAAAGTTATAGTATGCATATATTGTAGCTAAAAATTTGCTGTTATCGTGAAATTATTGGGGGAGAAATCTGATGTGGCCTAGCAAGAGAAAATCCAGCCTGCTATTCTGTCGTCTGTCTAGCTTCCTACGCTGATAACTTTTGCTGGATTGCCACGAGCTTCAGCGTATGCCGGGATATTGTCGAGTACCACCGCTCCCGCTGAGATTATTGCCCCCTCTCCAATAGTGACGCCGGGTCCAATTACTGCAGAGGGACCAATCCAAACACCGTCACCAACAGTGACTGGTTTGCCCATAACCTCAAGACGTCCTCTAGCCAGGCTATCAATATCCATTCTTATAGGAGGGGCAGCGGAAACAATAGAAACATTTGGCCCTATGCTGACGTATTTTCCAATTTTAATGTCGGCAACAGGCGTATCAACGATCTTGCAGTCACGACCGATAGACGCAGTCTCGTGTATGAATACACGCAGACCATAATCCATATAAAAGGGGGTCTGGATTTTCGTCGGTGCTACGTGATGTAGCGCACTTCGTGAAAGGATATTCTTAAACTTGTTGCCTCTTTCTAGAGAGCTAGCATTTTCATTGATGGTGTTATACTCGGCACAAGCCTTGGAGCATCTTGTACGTACTTGTCGTAACTCATCGTCGTTTGGGTTAAAGGCCATGGTGATCTTGCTTGGATGACCATGTTATAACTGAGAACTAATAATTATCGAAGACATGATGCTCCTTATCTAAGATTCCAATGGATCTCAACCTTTAGAATACTAAATAAATCAAGACAAAGGAAAGAAGAATTAGTTAGGTAGATACGAGGAATCTTTGTTCTCACTCCAATGACGAATAGGCCCGATGTGTCAAGGAGCAATCAAGACGCATAATTACGTTAACACCATGCATTTTCTAACAATGGCAAATCACTTTAAGAACAGACGAGACCTATCTAGATTAACTATAGTATGCTTAGATAAGATTCTCTAGGTACCATTCTGGCATTTAATTCTTCAGATGTAGGATAGCAAGAGGTACATATATACTTAGATATACATATTACCGTGCTACCGCCTAGTCTATGAAGTTGCTCTTTCCTTGGAAAACTTAAGTGACAAGCACAAGCCGTCTACCCCTAATACTATGGTACGACTACAAGCCCCATAGGGGTCAGGTGAGTCAATTTATGAGCTGAATACATTCGACATTGACCCAAGTTCATCTTATATAGCCCAGTAAAGTTCAAAGTTCCAACATCTACAGAATAGACCATTAAAGCCTGTATGAAGTAGTGGTTAACTTACCGGACTCCGACCTTAATGCCAGAGCCAGCCGGGAACCCGGGTTCGATCCCCGGTGCAGGTGAATATCTTTTTTTTGATTTCTCTCTTATTTATATCATTTTTTGCAATTCTACTATCTATGTGAGATTATTTACATCGTCTCCATATACTTATTTTATTTGTGTATTTTGCGATTTTTTCCCATGCAATGACAATCGCCGGGTCTACTTCCATTAGGGAGTAACAATAGCTATCAAGCACAAGCTTTATTTTGTTTTTCTCCTATTGCATGTAGGGAATGAATAATGATTCGAATACGATGTTGGCTAGATAGATTCAATCCATTACCGATAGCTAACTTCTAAAGAGGCCTGTTCCCTCTGCGTAGGTAATAATTACCAGGTACCTTAGGTACCTACATAAATGTTATGGAATGGTTCCTAGCCTAGAATAATTGAGTGCTATGTCGTTTCTATAATAATTATTGAAGAAATAATAGCGATCGTAGCGATTGCCGAGGTTCGTCGCATCTTAGAGGGCGAAAGGGGCAATTTGCCCTGAACGCCCCTATATTCTCACAGGAACAATAATCACTAACTATCTGTCAATATAAACGTAATTGTAGAGACCTAAAAATAAGCTTAAACCTATCAAATATATGGCAAGCTGAATGCGAAGCTATTGCTTTTGGTATGATTGCTGATTACCTACAATAGCTTACGTCAGTCTTCTTTGCACATCCATGGGCCGTATTCAGAGTGATATTGCGATATATGCTGCTATGATCATTGGAAATCGATCATTGCGTAGATCTTGACATTAAAAGGTATCTTGGTATTGTACTCTATATTGCGTGCTGAAATCCAATTGGAGGCAACAGTCCACCTGAATTCTTCAAGGTACCTAATCCCTAACCTAACCCAGGACCTTTCAGTGTACCACGCATCTAATATAAATACACATCGGATTCTCTCTTCCTTTCCTAGAAAGAAACGACGAAAACTACGACAGAAACACCAATCTTGTTAACCAATTTAAACAAGATGTTATCGCAACACTTATTTATCAGTATCCTTTCGCTTCTTTCGGTCCAGCCGGTCTACAGCGACCCGATTCCAGCAAAACATGTTTCTCGAAAGACACCACTCCTTGTTGACTTCAGCGCTGCACGCGGCGACGACCCCAAAGTTCTCGGCGGCCTCAACCTAGAGAAGGCTAAGGGCGACAAACCTAAGGCTAACACTCCCGATCTATACATCAAGTTAGACAAGGACCCTAAGGGAGTTGCAGCTGCGCACTTCCACCACAAAGCTGGAGATCGAAGGTTCGTAAATCATACCTAAGCACTGCAATCTTCCTTTCGCTTGCGACTAATACCATATCTAGGGCCGAATACCACGCTTTGAGTGGAAAGACTAAGTCGGGCACTACATATTTTATCTCCTATCAGTTTCAACTTGAGGTAAAGCTTCAATACCCCTTTACCATTTCAATAAGAACGGGGCGCAAGCTGACGTACGACCTTAGGAATTACCCAACGGTCTCTTGATCTTCCAATGGAAGGAGTACAAGGCCAACAACGACAGAGAAGGGGGCGCCAACATCCCTCTAGCCCTTGAGATCAAGAAGAACCAGCTCGCATTCTCGCATACCTTCAAGTGGAAGGAGGGCCGCAAGGTGCAGTGGTCGCAAGATATCCAGGCGAAGAAGACGTACAAGATCGGTATGGAAATCCTGGCCAAGGCCGATGGCGGTCACGCTAAGCTCTGGCTCGACGGCAAGCCTGTGACTTTCGATACTTCTAAGTCCACGACCTTGACTGGCAACATGTTTCCGGGTGAGAGCGACCCTAAGTTCGGGATATACGGCGGCGAGACTGTGGTGGTCGATAGCTACGTGTACCAAGTGCAGATTGGTACGAACAAGGCCGACCTCGACCAGAGTTATTTCGGCGGCAAATAAGAGATGCACTGGAGGAAAGTCGTATACTTGATAGATATTAACACCGGACCATCTCGCTTCTCTGTCCTGCGGGTTAGTGAAGAATAGAGCGAATTGTACATATCAACCTACATAGAGAAGAAACGAGGACAATCCACATCTCGACCCCTCCGAGAAAAGAAACCCCCTCTATCCAGATTTCGTACCTATAGAATGTTTCCATTCAGAGAAAAGGGGCACTTACGACGCATAATGTGCTCGAATGCAGTCATCAACAAGTCGGTGAATATATATCCCTCATACAATGCTGTTATCCTCCGAGTATAATAATCAGCGGCGGCTCCTATATTAACCCGCACCTCTCCAAAGACCAGAAACGCCGGTAGGCATCGGACTTTGACCCCTTGCACATCGCGGGTTCCTCCATTTTCGATACGGCGGGGAGCAGTTTACCGTAGATCCAGCTATGGATCCATGCAGCGTTTAGACACTAATCCGGCTAGAGCTACCCGTATTACTCAACTCGATTCCCCGATGCCGACGCCGGATGACGATGCCTCGCATCATCCACGCCTATGCCAAATGTGAAGTTCCCCAGAACATCGCGCCGGATAGCTCGGTTTCGAGGTATATATATCAATGCCGGCTTATATAACTATTGCATCTTTATTCGTGTATATAACACCATCGCCTGCCTCTCGTCCATCCTACCTTCTTAGCCCATCAAACGACCTACCACCGCAACATCCGTACTTACCTTGAAACACTACCTACCACCAACCATGTCAGCCTCACCCCCACCAACCCGGTTCGCAGTAGCCCTGTACCCCGGGTTCCAAGCCCTCGACGTCTTCGGGCCCCTGGACATCCTGAACCTGCTCTCCAAGCGAACCCCACTCTCCCTCGCCATCCTCGCCCCAACCCTGGCCCCGGTATCAACACGCACCCCCGTGTCCGGACACACCGCGTCACAGTCCGTGGTCCCGACGCACACGTACGCGGACAGCCCATCGGACATCGAGGTCCTCCTCATACCGGGCGGGCCAGGCACCCGCGACCCGAAGTACGTGGGCGAGGTCGAGGACTACGTGCGCAAGGCGTTCCCAAACTTGAGGTACCTGCTCACGGTGTGCACGGGCAGCGCGATTGCCGCGCACGCGGGCGTGCTGGATGGGAGGCGGGCTACGTCGAATAAACGCGCTTGGGACTGGGTGCGTTGACTGATTCCTTGCTCTTGACATCTTACTTACCTCCCTTTGCTTACCCACTACCTACGTACATTTACCCACCCCTTTTGAGGGGCGGACTGTTACGATTACTAATAGGAAGGTAAAGGCAACATCCCAAGGCCCGCACGTAAACTGGGTCCCGCGCGCGCGCTGGGTAGCCGACGGGAACATCTGGACGTCGTCCGGGATTTCGGCGGGCATCGACATGATGTACGCCTTTGTCGCGGAGCACTTCGGCGAGGAGGTCGCGGGGGATCTGGCGGATGTGGCGGAGTATGTGCGGAACACGGACCCGGATAACGATCCGTTTGCTAAGACCGATGTGAAGGAGAAGAATGGGGTTGCGAAGTAGGATGGGGGATGTGAGGTTGAGTTTTGGGATAGGAGGAGGAGGGAGGTAGGCAAATTGGAAAGATGGGAGGGAAAAGGGTTGGTTTGGTACGACGTTAGAAGAGTAGTGAGAGTACTTGTGTGATGATTACCTACCGTTAAACCTACTAAAGTAGATCGATTATAAATAGGTACCTACCTTTATATCATCATGAGTATTCTTGACTAGTAGACTTCTTATATCAAGAGTATGATCTGTGTTCGATATGGTATGGAATTGCGGTATTAATCCACTTGACGTTACCCCAGCTATTGGGACTTGACCGGGGGAAGGAATCCGGGGATTAAGGGGGCTGACGAGATATGCAGATGTGATACTCATACAAGCAGATTGGCTGATACGTCGGCGGAAGCAATAACGAGGGATTACTCAGCTCTATTTCTGCGTACCTCCTAAACAGCGCGAGACTACGACGGAAATTTATGGATATCATGATGCAAGTAGGGTAGTGCAGAGGCTGAGAATCGGATATCGCCCTTGGAGCATTCGAAGCTTACGAGGATCTCGGACCTGGGATGAAAATGAAAGTGATGGATTCGAGATAGATAGGTCAAATCACAGCACCTTACGATTCAAAAACAAGGCGCTAGAAACTGAGACATCTTGTGGCTGCGCTTGTTCCCATTTCGCACTTACTGGCGCGATAATCTTTTGCCGGAGTGATAGGCCGCCACGGTTATTACGCGTCGTTGCATTGCATGCTGCATCGAAGCCTCTCGGGATGCGATGGATGAGACTTGATAGGGAACTGATTATAGCTCGATGTAAGATTTAAGATATCTACTAGTAGGCAATTAATCTAATACGCTGTGCGGAATGGTGGTTAATAGGATGGCGTTCGGACGCGTACTACGCTATGGTGTGGCGTTTGGGGTATTGACCGACCGAGAAAAAGGGGCTACATCGATGCTAACATCTTTCGCCGTCTGCTATAACTTCGGCCGACTAAAGCCTCTTTAATTATTAAACCCCTTTGAAGTTCATCTAGTGCGGGCGGTGGCCTAGGATATCTAGATTTTTCATGATTAGAATATTGTATCATACCTATGAATAGGTTGCTTGTATACACAACGAATTAAGCCGCGGGCATTAGTAGCATTGCAGCCGTTCTGCTCGGTGCCTTCCACTACATGTGTCACAGTTAGATTGTTCCGAAGCCATAGGGCTTGAGCGTCAATAAAACTACAAGATCTAATTGGTTAGAGACCGGTGTGCGTCTGCGGCGGGCGCTGACATATCGCAGGGTGGTCATTTCGGATCTCGGGTCCGTACTAGGAATCCGAACACGACACAGCAAACATGGATGCATCTTGCTAGCTGCTAAGGCTGGCATGAATTTCCGTTGTCGTGATAACTTTGAGGATTGTATCAACTCGGACGACTGGGGGCAAGTTCGGTCAATAGGTAGGTATTCGGAGGACTACTTCTTTACCATTGGAAAGATAGCCCATGTAAATGTCGATCTGATGGAACCCGGGTCTTCTAGATAAGGCTGGAAACCCCCAGTCGAAAAAGCAGGTTTTGTAACCCCTGCGAATGCAGCCGTTTCCTGCCAATTGCCACGATAGCTCGTCTTGGCGCGTATTCTAAGATGTAGCTTGGGTTTGACTTGAACAGGTGTATTGTGTAACAGAGCTGCTATTTTCAAATAGTTGAGGATTGACAGACAAACAAATGGATGATGGGTTGGTTGTCGGATGCCCACGTGAGAGCTCATCTCAATTTTGAGATTTGCTTCTTTGGCGATCCGAAGAAGTTTTGGTTGGGTTAAACGGAATACCACGCTAAAAAGATTGGTGGCTTCGTGAGGCTCTGACGGACATAGAAAGCTGTTCCAGGTTTCCTCTAGGGTTGCCTGTGGTGGCTTGGGTGAGCATATTGTCAGGGAGAAACTAGGTAATAGACGTTTTCTACGACGAGGTCCGATTCCCCTTAAGAAATAAGAATATTCTGGTGTTTGAAATTATAAACGAGGTGTATGTAAAAGACTCATGATCGGATAAGTTTTGATCAAGCCGGATGTTGTTCACTGGTAGGTATCTATTAATTAGTTGTGACGTTTCCGGGACTGAAATCGAACAGCGGTATAGCACCGTGGAGGTTTTTAGTATTCTGATGGCCTTCCCCTGAAATTAAATTCGAGGTTGGCTTAAGTAGATCTCGCAACTCGGGTATATGAAAGCATGATTGGGTCGGAGTATTTCTCCCGTACATTACATCGAGAGAAGCTGTTAAATATTGACAGCGGTGCATTGGTTATTGACCTGGCCGTTAGACGGGCCGAGTTTTCCTGAATGAAGGATGACGTCGATTGGTGAATTGGCGACTGGGTATTATATTCTCATGTTTCTCATGTTTCTCTGTAGCTGACCGCTTGACTTCGGCACTCGAATTGTTGAAAAGCCATTCAATTGTGCGAGATACGCGAAATACGTCTGATCTTTAATATTGTATCATGGCCTGAGAAGTAAGGGTACCTAGATAGATCCCTTGCCGTAGCGACGTGGCCGAGATGCTTTTTTGGGCTTGTCTGTATGCGGCCTGCTGCAGCATAGCTAAGGTAGCCATCGGATAGTCACCGGCATTGTGGTACACCTAGGATCATCATGGCTGAAACCTCTGGACCTGTTCAGAGTTTTAACACCTGTGGATTATACCTAGGTACTAGACATGTTTCAATTTTTGTTGGAGTGGGAAGAATTGAAAATACGGAGTTGAATAGGTCGAAGTTAAATGTCTAAAGTTCTAATGTTCAATGAGCAGGGCAGGTGGGATCTTGGAGGGGAAGTAATCATATGGTCCGTGTGTAAATCGCGATTTCTCAGTCGCGTGGAATTGTTACTGGGTGTTACTGCAGTGGTATCCTGCCAAGGCACATGTCCTTATTTTTTCCCAGGTCGAGCAGCAAGACCCGGAGCTACAGTGGGTCCTGATAGCCTAAGTATCTAATTATAACTCCATCAGTTGTCTTTCATTAAGAAATCTGCAGGTCCTGCTCGTGACTAAGGGACGTATATACTAACATGCATGAGGACATATAGTGGTTCCTAAAGCCGTGTAACAAGGAACACTACGTGATGCCATGAACCTATTGCCTTGGATAGATAGACATTTACCTTGGACGAGATCTTAAGAATGAATGTCGGTATTTTAGCGCGAATGTATACGTCATCGTCAAATAGATAGTGCTAGGTGGTTTGTGCGGGTTCCAATAGTCAGGGAAACTTTAAAATCGTACCTGGGCAGTTTCGGCCGACCTTTTAGTTAAGATACGGCTAGTCTCAAATCGGGTTAATCAGAGATCGTTTTACAAATGAAGAAGGGCAACCGCGGTATCATTATCAAACTGTCGAAGTACCTAACCAGCTAACTTAGTTCATACATATCGTTACTTCACCAGCTCAATTCATATGTTCTTGGAATCACGGCTTAAGTGGAAGAGAAATCCAGATGTTGAGTTCTTTCATAAAGCGACTTAAGAGATCTCTTGATTTCAAATGGAGGTGGACAATGATGCTAACAATCCCGTATTTTAATTTCGCCTTTCAAGTTTTCGATATCTGGCCATCCTTGCTTACACATGAGATGCGCCTCTCAGCCACTCCAAGGAACCACCCCTTGCTAATACCTAGCTGGTAAGGTATTCATCTAACAGCATGCAATTAATTTATACCGTTGATTACACATTTCGATTGTGCACTTCTTGCATAAGGATTAAGAGATTTATATGTACATCCGGCTACTTGAACATTAATTGTATTGTACATAGACTTCAAAAATATCTATTGAAGTTTTCAACGTTGAACCTCGGTTGATCTGATGTTTCTTCTAACGATGTAATAGCATCTAGCATCTACACATGAATCTATGGAAGTCTAGACAATGAATCCTTAAGGTCTTTTAGGGTCCATAAGTAAGAAATTTTCATCGAGATTACGATGAATGGATCGGATCGTACGGATTGACAACTTCTGCATGTGAGAACATTAAAATTCGGATGAACCCGCGTTTTGACCACATGTACCTGCTGTACAGTGAATCTATCGTGTCCTTCTACCAATCATAGCCTATTCTAAAATTTCATTCCTTTTTCTGTTTTGCTCAGAACCCTTTGTTACCTTGTTAGTAATGAGCTGATGAAAAATACATACTGATATACTCGACATTTAGGTAGGTACTTGAATTATTTACTCAAGTAGGTACCTAGCACATGTAATAGCGAGCTGAACATAGGTACATACTACCTACTGCGTAATACATGCTACTTATTAGTGAACAGGTACCCATTATTATACTAGGGGAATTGCTCCGAACGAGATCTTCGATTGAATGTTTAGACTCTAGCTGTCTACTATGTAGTTGACAATGAGTCGCGAAAAAAATAAACAAGTACCTGCGCAACTATAGCTCGGCATATAAAAAAGCCTGTGTCTCGCTTGTTATGCGCGTTGCGTTTCGTTGGGATCACAAAAGTTGCCTTTGAAATTTCAAGCTCTACTAAGCTTAGCTTGAGAGCTATGCTTGTGCGCCGTCGTGTCGATATAGTGTAGGTATATATAGCTCCGCCAGTGGTAACTGAATACGAAGACCAACAGACTGGAAACCAACAAACCATCTGCGGTAAAAAGGAGAACTCCATACAACTACGTAGATGTATTGCGCGGTATCGCCGGAAGATACGTATTTAAGATCACGAAAATACGTGTCTTATACGAACCCCTTTGTAAACTGTACAGTATGAACAAGAAAAGGGCGCTAATTAACTGCACAGCCTCATCGTCCCATGCATTTTGGGCTTGTCCCGGCCATACCAGCAATCCTCGATTCTGCTATCGGATGAACTGATTTACTGGAATTATCCACGTTGCCATGCGGTAGCTTTGGAGATTTGGGCAAATCCTCATTCTAGAATGACGGCACACGCAGCGATCACAACACCCCTTACCCTTTTCGTGAGGTCTGATTACCAGTGACGCATCGACGTGTGGAGTTTTCGACTTATCAAGCAAACAGTATGCAATTCAAGTCAACAATTCCAGCAATACTTGGCCTAGGGTTTAGGTAGGTAAGCAGCTAACTATAGTACTGGGCAACTTTCCATATTGGGTAATATAACAAACTTATCAGATTTATTCTGTATGTACATGTACATGGCTTTTCGATATGAGTTGCTCGTTAATTATTATTGTTGTTGTTTCTTTTTGCCAACGTTGGAATTATGTGTAGATTACAAACTATAAAGATAATTTTTGAATCTCGTTGAATCTAACCAACTCAATTCGAAGTGCTTCAAGTTGAGTTAGAAATAGCCAAGCATATCCTAGACTCCTAACCCTCCAGGGCTGTCAACTCCCTTGGTAACTCCACTGTTGTCGCTGAAGAAAGAGCATCTAAACTGCGACGCGGCACAGCATTGGAATTTGATGTGGCAGGCGTGTTTGTACATACATGCCATGATACCAAGCAGCCAAGTACATCCATAGGCGTGTTCATGTCGCACATACTTGTCTATGGCAGGAACATTCAAAGGAATTGCCCTAATAAGTACAGTGTAAAAGCAAAATGACATTTTATGATTGGTCATTTTAACTATACGTATATATATACTGTATTGACATATGCACGTACCTACTAGGTATGTTTAATGTTAACCGGAAGACCGAAACAAAGTCCGTCTTCAATCAGCGTTCCTTTTCCGCGCCGACCTCCATCTGGCCTTCCCGCACCTTTCAGTTGTCAATTGTCAATGTTTAATGTTTTTTATTCTCTCTTCCAACCTTTAACCTGATGACATGTTTCCTTCAGGCTCCAGGTTTCGATTAGGTCCATCACAGAACAAAAAAGGGGACGAGTTACTGTATTTGATCTGATTAAGCACCGTCTTCTATTTCACTTGTTTCTAATCTCTATTGCTTCATTGATTGGAATTGAAATCCGAAATTGGTATCATTGGTGGCATTGGCATTCGCATTGGTCCGGGCTTGTTTGACCTGTCAGAATTTGGAAGTTGATTTTTATTTTCTGTACGCTGTACTCCTCTGTACTCCTCCTCAAGGTGGGTAAGAAAGTCCTTTTCTTGGAAACGGAAATCCCATCCCTGGGATCGTCTGGGTTAACCAGCCTGTTCCGCTTCTCTTTAGCTGTTCAAATGTTCCACACAAGCATAGCACCGACCCAACTGCCCAACTGTTTCCTGTGACCTGCCTCCGTCTGTTCCATTACTTACATGCCTATGCCTTTATTCGTTACAATACCTACACCCAGTACATTCAGTACACCCTAATACACCCAGTCCATACATGCGCAACGCCACTGTCAACCAACCCACCCACACTTACATATACCCTGGTCAGTAGTGGATTGGTACTTACATCTACCAGCAGTTAGCAGTTTAGATACATAGCCGACCAGCCTGGCTTAGCCCAGTCTTGACGTACCTCCCATACATACCATACAACGCTACTTACGCCGCCTGGCCGCTACTACGCCCCTCCCGTAACCCATACAGCGCAGTACCGACCCCCGACCTACTACCTATGTGTGCTAGTTAGGCAACCAGTTTCCTGCTTTTTTCTCTCCTCTCATCACTAAAGCCGGTCCGTCTACGTTCTACGCTCTACGCTATCTTTGCGCCTGTCTTATTGTTCTTCTGGTCTCGCACCGTCGTCCGTCGCCGCTCCGTCCAACCATCGTTCGACTATCCAGGTAGACCCAACATCTCTCCACAGGACCCGCCAAGAGTCGTCGCGTTCGTTCGTTAATTTTTCTTCCCTCTTTTTAATGGTTTCGAGAATTAAACCTCCATAATCTTCCCCCGCTAGTCCTACGTTTGACCGTCTATTCCGAGCCGCTCACCCAACTTGCTCCCTATCTTGTTCGTCCGCACGTCCTGTTTCCAGGTCGTTACGCTCGTTACTTTTATTTCGAAATTGGTTTTTCTTGGGCATCTCATCGTTGTGGATCGGTATCTCTGGAAAGAAAAAAAGGACGTTAGGTTGACATAGGTAATCCTGCAAGCCCAGCGTTAGGTGAAGACTAGGGTTAAATTAGACGCTATCGAATCGTTCCCTCTACCTATTCTAGCGGCCGCATCGAATAGGCCTGTAGAATCGACAAACGACAAGCCCGATCTGCGCCAATACATCCTCTTCCCGCCGCCATTTCCTCAGCTGCGTTACCGAAAAGGCAAAGGTAATATCGTGAATTGGAAGCGGAAAAAGAAATAGTCGGTTCCCAGGGACGTGAGACAACCACTGCGAGCCGTCGCACCCTCGTCGTGTCTGTGGGCTCGTCGCCGTTGTACAGGGCTACCTTGGCTCATTCCGACGCCGTCGTGAGTACGCCCGCACGATACACAGGCGCGGATACACAGGAATTTTTCAACGGTGGCCTAACTCGCCTAGTTTACGCCTGGTCTCCATTATGGCACCGATAGCGCCTCGTCTGAGAATCCTCTCAGGTTCGTTGATTTCCCAATCCTTATCACCTGCATTCTCAATTTGACTTCACACTGCCTCTTGAGCAAGTCGTTTTTTATTCCCCTCCATACCGCCGCCGTCTTCGGAAGAGACGGTAGGCTCTGTTCCAGCTGAAGCTTGTCTTTCATTTCCTCGATTTCATACAACACACTCGTTTCCATATCGTTTCGAGAGCACGACGTGCTGGCATATGCCTTGAGCCAACCTAGCCATGGAGGAAAGTGAGCTAATGAGAGTTTGTGTAGTGGGTGGAAATGCCGTTTCTGCGTTCCTGTCCTGGAGGCTTCAAGCCACAAATGCCTGCGATGTAACTCTCGTATGGAAGTCGGGTTTCGAGTCTGTCTACCAGTATGGTATTTCTTTCAAATCTGACGCATTTGGCAACGAGCGATTCAAACCTCGGCGCGGTAAGTCCTATTCTCTAATCTTTCAGCGACTAGGTAACTTTGCTAATCTGCCATTGGTTTAGTCGTTCGGACACCTGAAGATGCCGCAAATAACAAAGAAGGCCCATTAGACTACGTAATCCTTTGCATTAAAGCCCTCCCAGACGTTTATGATCTCGCATCTGTAATTGACGCCGTCGTTACTCCTCAACACACCTGTATTCTCGTCAATACGACACATACCCTGGGGGTGGAAGCTGCTCTCGAAGAAAGATTTCCAACGAACGTCGTTCTGTCACTCGTTTCGAATGCCGAATTAAACCAGTTGGGATCGAGCGAATTTGAGCATAGTGGTTCAACTGAGATCTGGGTTGGTCCGGCAAATAAGAGTAACAACATCCCCGCGGCAATACAGGAGGATATGGCTCAGGCGCTCGCCATGACCCTAAGCACAGGCCGCGTTGATTGTAAAGTTTCCAGCAACATAAGACAGCAGCAGTTTGAGCGAGTTATTGGGTAGGTCACTATCTCTTTAAGGCTTGTCTGGGATGATATTTACTGACCTTATAGTCCTATTGCCTTCCATCCGGCGAGCGTCATTTTCGAAACACCTTCTCATTCGGCTTTATTAGAAAAAACTGGTGTTAGGCAACTAATTACAGATGTAATTGACGAACTTATTCAACTTGCTACCGCGCAAGGATGTACGCTCGATCCTAAATTGAAGGAGAACACTATTAAGGAACAGTGCGAGTCTTCGGATACCCCAAGTATTATGTGGCAGGATTACGTGGCTAGAAGGCCAATGGAAGTCGAAACTTTTCTTGGTTCGCCCATTAAGTTAGCCCAAAGCTCGGGTATCAAGCTACCGCGAATCGAGACGCTCTACGCTATCTTCCACAACCTGAATACTGTCAACCAGTCCAGGCCTAAGGAGATTAATGGACTGCCGGCTGCTTCTGGTTCGCCAACGGCGTCCTCGCCGATGCCCCGTATGTCAACTGCAGGCCCACCGCGCCCTGTGATGAACGGCCATGCCAACGGAAACGGCATGCCGATGCGTGGCCCTAGACCTAGAAATTCGTCCAACTTCAGCGGCCCGCCTCCCGGTATGCGTCGGGGACCTCCTCCCATGAACGGTGGCCCTCCCAATGGATATAGACCTTCCATGAACGGCGCGCCGAACGGACACCCTCAGTCGCGACAACCCTCAAGACGCGGCTCTTTTGATGAGACTGATCTCGGGGAATTTAGTCATTTGGTCGTATACGAGGACTCGGCGGACGCTGAAGGCGGATATAATGCTGACACTTCAGATATCGCTCTTCGCGAAAGAGAGTTCCAATTACGACAGCGCGAGCTAGCGATAAAGGAGCAGGAGATGCGCATGCGACGCGGCCCACCTGGACCCGGACCCGGCCCTGGCCCCATGCCTAACGGTAGGAGACGCGCCCCTCCGGTACGTAGCGGAGGTGGCGTGTACGACGACGAAGATGAAGAGGATGACTACTTTGATCCGAATTCGGGTCCAATTACCCCCATGATCGACCCGGATAACTTCGACATGATGAGTGTTACATCTAGGAAAAATCGTAGCAAGCCTGCGCAAAACCAGAGCGAGTTGCGAATGAACCCAGAGGGACCTCCCGGCCCGGGGATGCCTTCTCGTGGTAGTAGATGGCGACCGGGATTTGGCAGAAATCGTTCTAGTCAGGTCATAAATGCCACGGCCGGTCTCCACGACAATATTCTCGACGATCCACTAATGAGCTTCACGTCCAACCGGTATGGTAACGTCGATCGAGGACATATGCAGGCGGGATCTAGGGCGAATTCACTGACTGCGGCTCACATGCATGATCTGCCAGGCGGACCAAACGGGATGAACGGGGGACCATATCCCAGACGTGTTAGTCAGTCACCGGGAAATCCGTATAGTCCTTCAATTCGAGGAGGAAATGGGCGACCTTCTCCACCTAACGGCTTCGGAGGACCTGGACCCAATGGACGACCGTCTCCCCCAGACGCTGTTCGCCAGCCGGTTCCTAGGTATCCTCCCGGCCAGGGAAACATGGTCGCGCCACAGCAAGTTGAACAACGTGTCGGGGTGAGCAATCTCCAACCACCAAACGCGAAGACAGCAAGAAGTCTGACGGGTAGTGCGAGCGCCAGCGCGGGGAGTGGTGATTCGACGAACCTAGGTTCGGAACCCTCCGCTCACAGCAGCCAAAGTAGTCTCGGTCCTCGACCTCCGATCGGAGTCCGCTAAACGCCTCGAGCGCGACGAAGCGCAAGTGAAGTTAGTAGGCGGATTATCTGTGTCTCGGTAATACGAGCACGTACTTTGTCTTTTTGGTCGGGTTAATTTACGGTGTCTTGCCCGACGGTTTTTTTGTAGGTAGGTCGTCACCGCATCGGCGGCAATATGGGTTGTCGAACTTGTCTTATTCGGATCACGGCGCATTCGATACGGTTAGATGGAATGGTTTGGATTACAACATAACGACGCACACATAATTCTATTCGTCTCGGAAGGGGAAAAACTACGTACATAAGCATCTTTGGAAGGTTGAAGCAGTGACTATTCGTCTTCGGTAATATTGCATTGGGATGCGGGGTCTGTCGCCTTTCCTCGGAACTCATATTCTTGTCCATTTTCCCGCTCTACGCTCTACGCAACGACTTTCTCATCTTGATCAACTGGCTCGGCGCCACCAACGCGGTTTTCTTTTTCCTGGTCGTCCCATTCGAAGCTGTTCTGGCAATGTCAACATTTTGAGGATATCCAATGAAGCTTGACTCAAGTGTATGATGTGGACTATCCACTGGCTAGGAAACATACGGATCGGGATGTTCATTAAACTCCCATGCTGCTTGGTTTCGTTGTATATTGCGAACTTGGGTAGCCCGGCTCTTAATTCACCATCGAACGCGCACGCTTCGTCTGGCGATTAAGACTAGCCTCATATTAAAACGAGGTTGACCGGGCCGTTTACGATAGCAAGAGTCTGCCAGATATAGGGGATGGAGATGTGCATGGCACGGGACTTGAAAGGAAGACATTATTGGTATTACGATATAACACCACACGGAGGACTTGTCCTTTCTCTTGTTTTATTTGTCGGTTTCTGTCTGGATTTTAATATTGTAAAAGGCTGACACAAAACGTGGGCTCGGAGGTGCGAGATAGTCCGCGAGGCGTGGTCAGTAAACATGAGAAAGTGTGAAGTCAAGGTGGTCGTGTCAAGAACTAGGGGAGAGGCCATCGTAAGACGACTCTCGAGAGCTAGGTTTAATTAACAGGGACCGATTATTCGCGACAAATGCAAATACGAGAAGCCCGCTAATCGCCAAAGGCGCTTTTGTGTATGTGTGAGATGATGATACCGTCTTTTCTATGGACTAGAGGTTATAATACTGTAATTTGAAGCATGTGAATTAATTTGGTGCAGCAACTTTTAGTTAGCTGCTTACCCGAGTTATTTGAAGTCTGTTATATCGGATCGTGCCGTCTGCTCGTCAACTTAGCGTCGTCCGTAAAAGTCTTGCTCCGGATACATCCACACTGACGTTTCCATCAACGTCTTTCCCGCGAAGTCTAACGGGAGTCTATCTTATATGTATTAGGCTATTGCGATCTCGAGTTTTTCAGATGGTTTCCAATGCCGATTATCGATGACGCTACCTAAGCGGGTCTGAGTTGATGTTACAGTCGTACCCGATGGTGGGTAGCCCGCCTGCTAGCTAGCTTCCCTTGATAGGTGATGTGCAGTCCATACTTTGTTGTTTTTTCACGGGACCCGGGGGCCTTGGTTTGGGGGTTTTGAGGAAGGTTCCGCTAGGAAGGGGACGCTGGGAGCTTGGACCACTGGCGCGGGTTTGGGAATTGGTGCTCGGGTAGCGCACCCCGCACTAGTGAGGCGGGCTAGGTGGGTGGTGCTAGGTACAATACAGGTAGGGAAGCACGCGTCACCGCGTTGGCTGGGCGTGGGGAAGGAGGGAAGGAAGGGGATTTGGGAAAGTTTGTTTGTGGATTGTGGTTGCGAGTTTGTGGTTGTGCGACGGATGTTGGACACCTTCTTTCTCAGCATTTTTTTCGATTGCTGTGGTGTTCATCATAACATTGCTTGAGCGGTTTCTGATTGGAATTATTTGAGCGGCGATAACTTATGCCCTGAAGAGGCGACTTAGCGGGGTTTCGGATTATCAGTGGAAACGAGACGATATTTCCCAACTTGCAACAACAGAACTTACGACACCCGAGTTCAATTAGAAGCTAGGCAACCGTTTCGTAAATTGATTAGGAATTGAGCGTGTCTTGAGCACTAGATCTCGTCGTTTCGCGCGTCCATACTACTCGAAAATCCACGCTGCGCTGCGTGCGCGTCGAGCGAACGAGTTTCGGAACGAAGGCAGACACCGATGTCCGGGGGACAATTTGACGGCCCAGCTCAGAGGAATCAAATATAAGATAAGGCAGGATTGGCATGGCTTCCAGAGGAGACCGCACAACCGCGATGCAGAGCTCCACGAGACCCTCGATGGCGCCCCAGGGCTCGACATCTTCTGGAGGAGCGGTTAAGTCGAGGCAATTGGTGAGTTGAGATTATGGGTCTGGGATGGATGAGATTAGGAAATATGGTGGACAGCTATGCTAACGGAAGCATGAGAATAGACACACCTCCACTCCCAGCTCGCGCAACTCTCGGCGAATCTGGCGGACACGGAGAACCTCCTGCGCATGACGAGCGTTCAGGCTGAGGCCATGAGGGGCCTAGGGAGTTGGCATGGCGGACTGTGAGTTTTCCAACCTTCATACCTTTTATTTGTTTCATTTTGAGTGAGAACGTGTTCTGATGCATTGGCACCAATAGATTCATGGCGGCGAGTAAAGTACTAGGTGAAGAGTCGGTGAAGGAACAGTCGCAGACGTCGCAACGAAAGAGTTGATGGGCGGGTATTAGAGAATATGGGTTATCGAGTGCGGAAACCACTGTTGATTGCTTCTAGGACGAGGTACGTCAGTAACCTATTATGAGTCTAACTGCATCACAACTCATAAGATCAGGATGATCACCAGAATCGTAACTGACTAAGAGACCAGTAGCTGAACCGAGTAGAACTGAGCTACGCAGCAACATTACCTCAATTACTAGAGACGTGTGACGACAAGGAATTTTAATACAGGTTACCTGAAATGGTGCCATGAAATTACCTATCTGAGACTTGCTCCTTTATTTGATGATGCATATAATCCGATTACTAATGTACCTAGTAGGTATATATGATGACAATACGCTAATACCAATATCTCTAGGTAGATAGACAAGGCTGGCAGGTAACAGCTGCTTTCAAATTCACGGAGCTTCTCATCGCTAAGCTACCCACTCAAGCTACTAACAAAGTACTATAACTCTCCTAATTGGGATCTATCGAGGGCGCACGATTTGTCATCGCGGACAGTTCTCGCGCCACTCGGAGCAATAGGCTTGTGATATCACCAACCTTACCGATATTACAAATGCACACTCGCACGCTCATCGGATGCTTCAATCTATCATCTCTCAAAGTCACACATACCAAAGCCTAAATTAATTCACTATGGCACCAAAAATCATCCTCATCTCAGGCGCCGCACGAGGCCTAGGCAAGGGGCTCGTAGAGCGATATCTTGCGCAACCTAACCACCTCGTCATCGCCGCAAATAGAAACCCAGGCTCCCCGGCCTCACAAACGCTCTCGCAGCTCCCCGTCGCCGAAGGTAGCCGATTGGTCGTCGTTAAGCTCGATGCGACAGTCGATACGGACGCCGCGGACGCCGTTAAGGAACTCAGAGAAAAGCATGTGATCGAGCATTTGGATGTGGTGATTGCGAATGCGGGGATCTCGTCCGTGTGGCCCGCGGTCAAGGACGTGAGGATCGAGGATTTGGATGCTCATATGAGAGTTAATGTGTACGGCGTGGTCACGCTATACCAGGCAACGAGGGAGATGCTGCGCAAGGCAAAAGGGGAACCGGTTTTTGCGCCGATGGGATCGAGTGCTGGGTTTATTACGTAGGTGTATATCTATATTTTACGAAGGCCAAGTATCGGTTTGCTGACACTGTAACGCGTATAGGGGACAACTACCGATCACGAACGCTGCATACGGCCCGTCTAAGGCGGCGTTGCATTGGTTCGTCGTCCGCATTAATGCTGAGGATGAATGGCTCAATGCGTTTGCCTTGAGTCCTGGTTGGGTCCAGACGGAGCTAGGGAATAACGGCGCCCGCGGTCTCGGGTTAGAAATGGCCCCGGTAGGCCTCGAGGAGTCAGTTGATGGTATGGTAAAGATGCTTTCTAGAACCAGCAAAGAGAAACATGGTGGGAAGACGGTCGCATACGATGGCGATGTTTCGAATCTCAAATAAAGCATTGGGTTGTATCGAAGACGGAGCTGTAACTTGGTAGGGTAGTATAACCATTCTCGCTGCTTACCGAGGTGCTGGATAGGCAGTATAATTATATATAGTCCGGAGACTTATGACGTTGGATTGTTTCCAACGTACCGGTATCGAACGGGACATCCCGCATTCGTTTCAGGGTCCGGCATATGAATTAGCATGGCGTTAGGCGATTAGGTAACGTGGCAGTGACAGCGACAGCGATCGCATCCCCTGAAACTTCCTATAGAATCTACCCCACGTCGATGTTGGGGCTGACTGGTAGGCATGACCCCTTTTTCAGCTTCTATGATACACATGGGCAACATTCGGCCGAAATATGTAGGTAAGTTGAAGACACGGAGTTTAATCCCATCTCCGTGTCCTATCCGGTTGACCCGGCGCTGGTGGTTGGCGTACTAATAAGAAATAGTAGCAAGAAAATAGCCTTTACGCGTCTAAGGAAAGATGCGATTGGCTGGATCATTCCGCATTTGGTAGCATTGCCCGCGCTATAGCGCACGACAAAATTGCACCTCCCACCTTATAATACATTATATTATCTCTCCCAACTTGTGCGGCTGAGACATACGCAAACACAAACCCAGAAAGAATCATACGAGCGGTCCACGGAGAACAAAATTCACCCGACTATTTCAATATCGAAACGAAATTCTTCGTGGTAAGAGATGTAACCTTGACTGATATTGTGATGCGGATGCATACTTATCCGAATCCTTTTAGGTATGTGGATTATTCATCACTATCATGGTGATGTTAGAAATTGAGTAGTTAGTTACTAACAGAAATCAACTTGTAGACGAGTATTGACGTGTTGGATGTGAGGGCTCTCGTTGACATCTGAAACATTTCTCGGATCATCAACTTCGCCGTCGGAGGATGGATCTCTCCCCAAACCCAGTAGAGTGGTAGTATCGAAACATAAGTTAATCTTGCCTACCGAGGTCAAACCCAAAGATTCGGATCCGACTTACCTAATTGGTATTGGTATATCGGTTTCTGATCGATGTGAGTGCCGCCCCTGCATAACTTAGATCTATCCGTTAGACACCGACCCAGGTGATGCCATTGGACTCGATATCCGGATCTCCGGGCGTTGGAATTTAGAACTACAACCACCAGAAACACGCCGTACGAGAGCTATCTTGCCGGATCGTTCTCCGGCGGTCCGTCCCATGACGGCTGAGGCAGTACCACACTGGAAAATTCCGTCATCCACCACACTTTCTATTTCAGTATTGTATATACCAACTTGCTATAGGTACATACCTGGGTTCTTTGGTGCCTAGGTAGGTATCATTCGTATTATAAAGATCTCATCGTCTCTCTATGTCATCGTAATATGGTTAAACCCGATTAATCAACCTATTTTCGACGGTTTTCAGAGTCTTCAACATCAAAATTGTGAGGGAATTCAGATCGTGATGGAGAGAATAGGCCGTCGTTCTCATCGAAAATCTCGCGCGGGATGTTCCGAGTGTAAGGCTCGACATATCAAGGTAGGTGCCTTAGCCGATTGTCATGAAGAAATCTGAGTGCAGAACTAAACCAATATGAAAATAGTGTGATGAAGGTCGGCCGGCTTGCGGCAACTGCACGATCAGCTCTCGATACTGCTCATTTCTAGCATCACACTCACGTCTTCCGGCCGCGGGCGAAGGTTCAACGTCGTCTTTAAGTCCAGTCTTTCTCTCTCGTCAACCAGACGCATCTCCATCGCCTCAACGGTATTCTCCCACGAGCTCCAGTCAGGAATTCCCATTGCCGAACATTGAAGTCGTCAACTTGACGCATATGGAGCTCTTTCATCACTTTATGCACAGCAACTTATTCAATCTACCATTCCCATACGACGATTCGGAGAAATGGACAGCATCAGTTCTGATCATCGAATCCGCACTATCTTACCCATTCCTGATGAACGAAGTCTTAGCCTTCTCAGCACTTCATCTATCCCATATCCAACCTTCAAACGCCTGTTTATATAGGCACTACGCCATCGGTTTACAGACCCACGCTCTCGGGATCTTCAACGGCGAGATGATAAAAGTCAACCGCGAAAATTGCATGGCAATCTTAATATTTACCTGGCTGTTGACTTTACATACACTCGTCGAGACGGTGGAATCAGCTGAATCGGCAGATACCCGCTCTTTACTAGACCCGTTTGTTCACTGCATGCAACTGCACCTTGGAGTGCGGGCTGTTAAAGAGGAGGCTTGGCACATGATGCTTGAATCCAACATGGGATTCATGTTGGAGGCTGTCACGGGTCTGCTAGAATGTGTAGACCCAGGGTCACATACCGCCGACCTGAAAGATTACATCCAAAACTCGAGGACGTTGAACAACGACGAAAAGTTGACCTGCATCGGAGCCTTAGATAATATCCAATGGTTTCTGAGCTTAGTTGACGGGACAGGGAAACAGGGCCCACCATTAGCGACGCCGTTTTTATCGCTGATTTCGTGGCCGGCCAGGATCAACGCCGAATTCCACCGGCTCATATCTGAACGAACACCGGAAGCCTTACTTGTTCTTGCATATTACGCCATACCACTGCACCTGTGCAGAAATATATGGATCGTGGGGAATGCCGGTCAACTTCTGTTCCAAAGTATTCGATTACACTTACCCGGAGAGTGGCATCGGTGGCTGGAGTGGCCGGAAGAGATCATGGAAAGGATACCCGTAAGCGCTTGATGGCTTGGTGATTTGGTACCTATCCCGCCACGCGGCTTGCTGCAGGTCGTCACTAATGCGATCTGCCTACGCCACCACGGTTCAGACCCCGAGTATCAGAACAATAGGTACCTACATACTAAGGTACCTAGTGTACTGTACATCACCCCTAAGGCTAAGTCCCGGATGCCCTTTCGCCTTTGGTTCACCAATGATCCCTTAAAATCAGAATCACGGGCTCAATCAAGTCATAGTCAGTGAGAGAGCATTTCTGCCAATAGACAAAGAATCAATCCAACAAAGCCCGACGCACTGCCTACCGTTGTCGTACAACATTAGGTGGTGGATAACGGGATTTCGATACCGCTGTCCTGTACCGGCACCTGTATCCCACACCACAGCCGCCATATTAATTAAGTTATTGCAGTCATGGTCCTTCTCTATTGGTTTCCTGCCTCCCAAGGTTACTAAACCCGACGGCCACTCCTTTGGTAAGGCGGAAATTATAAGATGTAGGGTGTGATAACGCTACGCCACGGACAGATATGCCTACCTAGTACCTAGTTGGTCAAGCCGCATCTAGATTGGCAATCCTTGTTGAGGCTACGGAAAAAGGTAACAACCTTGGAAGATATTGCCTTGAGAGAATGAGTCATGGGAATACCATACTCTCTTCGGGAACTTTCGGATTCGTTGATCCATCCAATTCGCCAGGGGAAATGCATCTTGAGGCTATAATGGTGGCTAGGGGGAACCTCTTCGATTGTCTACTCGACACGTCGTCGATCGGATATATCAAATTCACACAGCCTAGCGGCTATACATTGACTTGACTGTAATATATGAGGTTGTTACCAGCTAATAAGCGGCTCTAATTGGTTCAAATGTGTTATTATTTTGCATGATGATCTCTCCTACATAAATACAGCCTGCTTTTATTTAGGGCTCTGGCATACTGAGATTCCCAAATATCAGATGTTCACATTTTCTCCTAAAAGTATTTTACATGCTACTGCGAGATGGGCCTCGTTTCTGCCTTACCTATATGCACTACTTTGGTGACCGTGACCATCACGTTAATGGGAATGCCAGACACCTAAGCTAGCGTGATGCTGTAAAACCTCACTGGCATAGGCATCTAGTATGTATTGGTTGGAAGTAATGCCTCCGTACTTGAGCTTAACGCTTGATCCAATCATTCATACTGCCACCGCATATACCTAGGTACTTACTCATGCCAACTACCCCAAATTGGCTTGTAAAGAGGAGAGAAGATGGTATACATCTCGGTCTTCAAGACGGATATTCGGGCTCGTGTCCTACCTCCTCGGACGTGGCGTTTAGTTTGAGCGAATTTAGAGGCTACCTATCAACGCCCGAAAATCATATAAGACCCTTGCATCCCATTTCTCTTACACCTGCAATTCAGCTATTCATAGGTAATATCTAAAGTTGCCTGAAATTCGCACTTATCATTATCAAATTTACTAGTATATTTTCAGATTTTGCAGCCTCACGTCGCCTCGAACGCGATGACGTCGATAGGTGACGTGATCGCACTCTGTGGGGTTGTACTCAAAACTATCGAAGCCTACAAGACTGCACGCGGGTGGACAAAGGAGAAAACGGAGATTTATGATCGCTTACAAATCTTGCAGTCTCTTTTGGTCAGGGCAAATTCTGTCGTCGCCTCCCTCACCAATGCTTCAGATATAGAGTTCATAATTATGCGACTGAAGGTGTCCCTGGATGACCTAAATGGGAAACTTACGGGGAACGAGAAGCATGGTAAACTCATGGGTCATATTTCGTGGCCAATGTTGAGAGAGGCAGCCAAAGACAAGGAGACGGGGATTCGCCACTTGACTGAACAGCTTCATCTGGCGATATCACTGCAATTAACGATTGGAGACGAGGCGACTCGACGACGTAAGTACGGTTTTCAAGCATCTAACCTCATTGTGCCTCATAAGTCTTGTGTTGAAAGAAACTTGAGGACAATTTCCACTGCAACTACGACCAAGAGATTTGCATCTGTTTATTCTATTTACCTACCTATTCACTGGTTGGCTTAATTTGCGTTTGGTGGCTGATATGGAATTCACAGGGTCCTTGTTGGACGAAATGAAGAAGTTTTTTAACAAATTTCCCGCTCTCGACGACACACCGTATGTAGCCCAAAAAATCACTGAGGGAACACTTGAATGGTTCCGGAAGGAAGATGTTGTTTGTCAGTGGATGTCCTCGGACAATGCGTTGCTATGCATTCATGGAGCTCGTAAGTCATAACAATGCTCTGAGATACCTACCTCTATACATATGAAAATTAATTATTAATAATATTGCAGCCGGCGTTGGTAAGACAGCGCTTATGTAGGGCTCTCTATAATACAACTGGGAAAGCCACGCTAACATATGAACAGTGGTCATATCTGTGACAAACTACTTCCGGAAGATAATAATCCATCCGGATCATATCATCGTATCTACTGCAATGCCGAAACATTGAAAACTCTCCAAGACTCCATGGATGTCTTTATGACCTTCTGGGCACACATTATTGGCAGCTATACAGGGTCCCGGGATATCAACTTGAGTTACACGACTCTCCAAACCTGGTATGAACGTCTAATCCTGGATCCTTCTCCATCTCATGTGAAGAGAAACGAGGTGAAATTCGAGATGTTCCGCGAAACACTAGCACAGGTAGGAAAAACGACCCTAATCCTGGACGGATTTGACGAAGTGCACAAGGATTACCGGGAAGAGCTGTTGCGTAACCTAAAATGCCTTCAGGAATCACAAAGCCAATGTCGCATTTTGATTACCACCCGGCCTTACCGCGAAATCATGCCTATGTTCAGTGACAGCATGAAACTAGAATATTCACCAAGGCCGAGTGATATAGAGCTATATATCCAAAAACGAATGTGTCCAGAACGCTATGTGGTCTCGAGCGCCAAGACGAGGGATTACATCCTCAAAATTGTCCAACCGAAGAGCCAAGGCAGTTTCCTGCTTACCATGTTGTATATGGACGAGATACTGCGTGAGACTAACGACCGTAGCCGCAGAGAAGTTGCCAAGAACCTACCAGCGAGCGCAGCAGGTATTTATGACCGGCAGCTGAAGAGACTAGGAAAAGTGCCTGATGAATTGTCGGGTCGAATTCCGTGCCAAGCGATCCAAGTCCTGTTCTGGGTTGTCTATTCGGAGGCCCCAATGGCCGATTCCGAACTGAAACAGGCCTTGGCTGTGCACATTGGAGATAAGAACTACGACAGAAGTGGAATGCCTGACTTCGTCGACATCGAACTTGCATGTAATGGGCTCGTCAAGCCGGATCCTACAACAAAAAATCTTACCCCGACTCATCGGGCATTCACCGATTTTTTACGACTTGATGAAACTCGCAACCAATGGTTCCCAAGCATTAAAGAGCACATTCCTATGGTTCTACTAACCTATCTATCTTTCAAATGCATGAAAAAGCCATTGGAAGATGACCGATCAAGAACCAAATTTCAGAAGAGTCACCCACTGATCCCATATGCATTGAAATATTGGGGGCAAGGCCTAGACCGGATTCTCAACCAAGGCAGCGATCTGTGGAAGCTGACAGAGAAGTTTCTGAAGACTTCATTCGAGAATTGGAATGGTTTTATTACAGAGGAGGTCATCGTAGTGATGGCCTGCAATGTCGTAGGATGGCCACTAGAGTACGATGGGTTGAGACGGGGCACAATCACTGGCATGCATTGGGTGGCGAGATTTGGGCTCTCAGACTTCGTCCCGATCATATACAGCCATGAGAGGCTCTCGCCGGTGACTAAACCGGTCTCTATGACACCTCTTGGGTTGGCAGCTGCTCACGATCAACTTGACGTCGCACAGAGGTTGATCGATGAGGGGGTTAATGTGAACGATGTAGGTGTCCGTGGCCGGCCCTTACGACCACCACTATTCGACGCTATCTTTCACCGCAATCGCAAGGTCGCCACGATGCTTCTCAAAGGCGGAGCAGACATGACTCTGAGGCGCATCGATAATGATGAGTCGCCAGTTGACCTTGTGTATTTGATCAACCGATACGCGCTAGCTGAGATCCTGGCAAAATCAATTTCTGGCAGGCTTCCCACGCGAGCGCAAGAATTACAGCTCCTTATTCGTGGGGCCTTTGCGACTGAGCTGAAGAGAGCCATCGACGAGGGGTTGGATGTTAATCATCCCTGCGAGAATGGGAAACTCGCACTGGACTACGCAAACGAACTGGGCTCTCGCGAAATCATTGAAATATTGACTGCCAAGATGGCAAAGATGAAGCAGGCCCAGCCCACTTTCACTCTCGACTCGCCTCCATACCCTCAACCCATTCTTGAGCCCCATCCCCCCGGCTATTTCATCATGTCGGAAAAGTTATGGGGCAAAGACGATCGTCTTATTTTACGTTATTCGGACGGCTATAGGGGCGCTCCACCCAAGAGAGAGGTGAAGACCAATGGTAAGACACGTTTCAAAGCTGTTGATTCCAACGTCGGTTCTAATTTAGACTTAGCTTCGACTTCCGATTCAAGCCTAGACACAGAAAAGTCTAATTCCAAGCCTGATTTCAAGCCAGATTCTGAGACAGATTCCGAGACAGATTCCGAGACAGATTCCGAGTCCGATTCTGAGTCCGATTCTGAGTCCGATTCTAAGCTTGATTTTGAGTCCGATTCTAAGCTTGATTTTGGGTCCTATCCCGAGACCCGTGATGATCAAGGCTCCGAGCGTGGCCAGGAGTCGGATGATGAGCTGGATGATATTCACGGTACTGAGTCTGAATTCCACAAGGAAAGAATGTCAGAGATGATAAAGCTCTGTTTCATGCAGCCGGATTTTGAGTCCAACTTCGTCTCAGAGGCTGGCACAGAGACAGATTCGGATGAGATTCGGAACAAATTGAATGGGATCTTGTCTAGATTTATTTCTAGCCTTCCCACTGAGGCACTCTTGTTGGAAATTCCCTTGAATGAAAAGATCAAGCTTCCAGTTCAGACAATAGTCTTCCAGACAATTTCGTGTGATCAAGGATGGAGTGATCATATTAAGAAAAAAACATACCTTGGCTCTACACGAAGCTGGTTTGATGTACGTGCCAGTCACGTTGATGGTGAATCGAAGACTTTCAAAGTACAGCACAATGTGCACGCGTCATCGCAATTCAGGCTTCATACCAACGTCTGGAATCTTAGTGATTTCAAGGACACGTCTCCAAGGGCACGATTTATGCGGAGACTCCGACATGGCAGTACGCTGAAGTTCTCTGCTCATGCATCGGGAGGAAATGGATGGGCGAACAACATTGCATACGCACGGGTGTATATTTATGGATCAACCGGTGAAAATGGGACGTCGTAGCTTGGTTTAATAAGCTGAGGAGTGTTATGGAATGACCAAACTGAATGGCGCAAGGAACTATATCATGCGCAAAGGCGTTGAAGGCTCGTTGGCAAGCCTCTAAGTTTGGAACCAGGTCGCCAAGTTTTCGATCGCACGGGTTATCGTGGAGCGTTTCTATTTGATGTGATGGAGGTCACATGGCCCCCTTTCGCGATATTTCTTTCCTCTAGTGCCTACAGGACGGCCGGGTAGGTACCTTTCAATCTCTATAACCGCACATGCTAGATATCTACTAGGTAGGTACTAGGTAGATACACTCTTTTGAATTGAGTTGATTTATCTCCGATTAGAGTAGATTTACTTTAGTCACTACTCTGAGTAACCAATCATATCCCTGGTTGCGTGCGGCTAGCCACTGCCGCTCCGGCGCCGCATGCACGTTCTAATTGGATCAACCTCAACCACTTCGAAAGCCACACGCCACAGCTAATTCAACAGTTAGTTCAAAAGTCAACTGAAAATTAGTTGATTGATTAGTTCGTTTAAAAGTAAGTTCAAAAGTCTGTAAAAATTTAATTAGGTACCTACTAGTTACACAGTCAATTCGGAGAGAAGTTGAACAGTCGGTTTAAAAGGCGGTCCCTGAACCCCTATCCCTAGAATTTGTCTCTTATGAAATGTACCTGGCATAGGCTGCACTACTAGCACTGCAGCCTGTTATAATCGCGACATGGATGGCGAATCGAAGACCTACATAGTACATACCTACATGCTTGTCTCATGTTCGCTGCCGTATCAGGATTTTGGGGGAAACGGAGTTCACACTATGCCCGAGCTCCGATTATCTCAGCTTGATCTAGTAGGTCCTATGTATTTGTGAGCGCCATGGGTGCAGCCCACGCTCTGAGACCACTGAGATATTCTCCCTCCTTTATCCATCAATCTACCAATTACTTCCGTAACGAACTCTCGACTTTTCCAAAGAGAAAAGAGTAATGAAAACACTTTTTCTAGTATCAACATACCTCCTTAATTCACATTCTTGTGAACATGTCCATTTATCACAATCACATGCAACTTCGAAATATCCTGCAAAACCTCAATATCCTCAACCGGATTCCCATCCACCAAGATGACATCGGCATAGTACCCCGGCAACACCTTTCCCAAATCGCCGGGGTAGCCCATAATTTCCCCTCCCAGCGCCGTGGCAGCAATCAGGCTCTCCTTAGTCGAGTACCCGAACAGATTCACAAAATGCGCGAGGTCCTTCGAATAAGTGCCATGCGGCGCCCACGCAAACCCGTAATCGCCACCAGGCAGGACGCGGATCCCGCGCCTCCGCATCTCTGATATCGCCTTATTCGCCGCGTCGACCTCGTGCACTAACCCCCGTTTCTTCGCCATCTCCGGCGTGAGCCCGAACGGCGTCGCCTCGCCTTGGCAGCTTGCTAGCGGGAAATTGATTGCCGGCGCGACGAAGAGACGGTCTTTCAGCCCTTCTAACATGTCCATGCCCTCTGCGTCGACGTAGCTCGCGTGGTAGATCACGTCCACGCCGGCTAGACACGACATCTTCACCGACGCGGCGGACCGCGCGTGCGAGCAGACGCGTTTGCCTCTGTTGTGGGCTTCTTCGACTGCGGCTTTGGTTTCCGAGAGTGTGAAGTAGGTTTCTTCGCTCCTATATGCGTTTGGTGGTCAGTGATCCATTCGTTCTAGTAATTCGACGTCGAATGGGTGGTTATTTATATGCTGCGTATGGGATGAATACATACCCCATGGTTTCGTGGACATAGTCCCCGGTCATGCTGAGCTTGATGTTGTCAACCCCGAGCTCGATGAATTCCCGCACGGCACGACGCATTTCATCGGCGCCGTCTGCGTAGCGGCTGATGCTGGGAATGATTGCGCCTCCTGTCGTTGTTATCTCTTGGCAGTTGGACAACGTTCGAGGTCCGGGGATCATGCCGGACTTGATGGCTTGTTTGATAACAAGGTCTAGGCGTGGTTGTGCTGAGGCGGCTCCGAAGCACATTGTGTAACCACAGTCAAGGTACGTCTTTGCTGATTTCGCTGTGTGTAGTACGTGTTCTTCGATGGGCATCCGGGTTAGGCCGTCCAGGGTTGGAGAGTTATTCCAACTCAGGTGTGTGTGGGCATCCACAAGTCCTGACATAAGCGTTTTCTTGCCCTTCCCATCGATAACCAGGGTATCGGAATCAGGCGAGATATCGACCTTGCCAACTGCCTGTATTCTTTCCCCTTCGATGAGAACATCTCCGAGATAGGGGTCCGAGCCTGTTGAGTCAAATATATTGACGTTCTTGAATAAGATCTTAGACTTGTCGCCATCCTTATGGTTGTTTATGGTGATATCGGCAGGTTTGGGCGTGTAAAATGGAAGCCCGTTGATAGGGCTGACACCATTGGAGACATCAATTCGAAGGTCTTCCACAGCCGCCACGAGAGGGACTTCGACCTTTGTGTTACCATTGACTACGGACATTTTTGGGTCTAGAAATGATAACGTATGGTTTTAGGAAGAAGGTAAATAGTGCGATATCTTGATGATGTAGATGATGTGCTCTTTGACTAGAAAGCTTCACGAATATCCGGTTCTTTAAAAGGTCTAGTCATTTTTACATCATTTCAATCTTGTGACCGGTATGGAGGTTCGCATCATCTTTCCGGAGTGGGTCGCGAGGTTGATCGCCGTGGCAAACCCGTGCTAACCGGAAACTTGCCGTCTCACCTTCTACCGCCCGGGAAGTTGCCGCATGGCGAAGTCTACTACATCTACCGGCCTTGGCAAGACCCTAAGCATTACAATAAAACGACATATCACAATACAAGAGAGACTTGTGTGTTTCAGTAAACTCGCAGTTCCATTACGGTGATTCATTGGCTCGGCTTCTGTCTACCTCGTTTTCTACTTTTCCGTTCACACAACATGGCTCGATCTGCGAATTCCGCCTCCGTCTCATTTGGCTTTGTGGGCCTTGGGAATATGGGAAGCGTGATGAGCCAAAACCTAGCGGGCTATGCTCAGAAGGAAGGGTTTCCAAAGGTCAAGATATGGAATCGTTCTCGCGGCAAAGCAGAGCAGCTCGCTAGAGAAGGATTCTTCGAAGTATCAGACACATTGGAAGACTTGGGAAAGAGCTGCGATATCATTCATGCTTGCCTCGCGAATGACGAAGTTGCGCTTTCGGTCTATCGACAGATTTTAGACGCCGCGAAATCAGGAGTTATCCTTGCCGACCATTCAACATTGTTTCCTGACACATCTACAACGCTACGTGCCGAAGCTGTAGCGAAAGGGTCAAGCTTCCTCTCTTGTCCGGTCTTCGGTCCACCCGCTGCTGCCAAAAGCGCAAATCTTCTAGTTGTACTATCTGGAGATGAGAAGTCCAGAGCAACGTTGAAGAAGTACGTTGTGCCAACACTAGGAAGAGCGATCATCGACTGCGGCGACGATACCAGAAAAGGAGCACTTCTGAAGATCCTCGGAAACAGTTGCATCCTAGGCACAATCGAACTCTTGTCAGAAAGCTTTACTCTAGCCGAGAAGACGGGATTCGATGCTGAATTGTTCTACGAGTTCATACGTAAGTGGTGAAATGAGGTAGACGACGATACAGCACTAACACGATAGTCTAGAGCAATGGTTCCCCGCTCCAGCATGGATTAACTATGGCAAAAAGATCCGCGACGGGGCTTTCAGTGGTAATACTGGCTTTACCATACCTGGCGGGATGAAGGACGCATCGTACATTCGGCGATTGGGTGTTGAAACATCAACTCCGACGCCTACTATTGACCAGGCGTGGAGCCATCTCTCCACTGCAAAGGCAATTGGGGGTGAGGGTCTCGACTGGAGCTCATGTTCGGCTGGGATGCGTGTCACGGCTGGTTTGCCGCCGTTTAAGGGCGAAGATTTCACGTTGGCTAAGAAATAGAGGATAACCACACAGCTCCTTTTTACTATTCTCTTCAGAACCGCCGAACTAGATACGCCACGGTCAACCATACACAACAGGACTAGAATTATTATTAGAATGTATTCAATCATAGTTTCCAATTGAATTGATGAATTGATAATTCTCAGTCTGATTTGTGAATTGAGGACTAATAGACACAGTATATACAGGAGTCTTTGCACTAAGGTTACCCCTTTTTCAGCGACTAAGTCTTAGCGTATATCGCTAGTGTGTTTAGGGCCTAGCTGTAAGCTACCCAGGCCACTATCTAGGTACCCAGTATATATGCTATAATATTAGCTCAATCTTCCACGTACGACCATAGGAGCTAGAGAACTCGGGATCCCGTCCGCTCTCCCATAGATAAGCTGGCTACCGCCGGATCAGTAGTTGGGTCGGTGACGACCAGCGAATCCCCGGTGTTGTACGTTTCATTTTTATATTTATTCTTATTTTTTTGGCCTAGAAAATGATGGTGTTGATAGTCCCATTATTACGGAATGGTGGGGCTAATTGAATGTCACTGGGAGAGTGAGAGTGCCAAGTGCGAGGTCTAACAATTATAGAAATTCGCCAAAATCATCTATCAATTCCAGGAACTCTATTCAATATGATCTAATCAATTATCCAGGCATTTTAAGAACTGCCATCGCTTGCGGCTGATTTTATAGCCTTGATACACTCTTCAGGGCTCTCCAGCATATGCCAATGCCCTGTATCCTTGCAAGTTACCTGGTGTGCGTTCGGTCCAATATCACTTACGATATTCGCGCCGACCGCAAGGGTAGATACCTTATCTTCGTCACCAGATAAAATAATAGCTTTGCAATTGATCTGGCTCCATACCGGGGCCGAGCTCTGAGCTAGAGCGTCCACAGCCTGAGCATACCCTTCTGGGTCTTGCCTTGTAAGCATCTCTCTAGCGAGCGCAACCTCTGCTTTGCGACTGGCCAGGGACTTGGTCGAGAATGCATTTGACACGACTGTATCAGCGACTGCGACCATACCTTGGCTTCGAACAATAGAGGAGCGGGCAGTAAGTGCTTTCTGGATGGCCTCGTGAAATGGCCGGACAGCGCCAAATGTCACAACCCCTTTAACTATCTCGGGGCGCTTGGCTGCAAGGTGGAGGCTGATGAGCCCGCCAAGGGAGTGTCCAACGACCACGATATCTTTCAGTTCTAAGTGGTTGATGATCGCTAATGATTTGTTAGTAATTTCGTTACCTAGATCTATTATTATACTGTGAAATTAAGGGCATTAAGTACCTTCACAGTCCGCCACGTACGACTCAACGCTAGAACTCGATGGTATCGAGCTTCGACCATGACCAGAGAAGTCGAAACGGACGAGGTCAAACTCAAGAAGGTCGGAGACTAATGGCTGATAAGAATTCGTTGTCCCGCCGAGACCGTGAATGAAAAGAATAGTCTTTGACCCAGCCTTCCCCTCGCGCTCGTAGAAAAGCTTGATGGAATCGCGGAGTATGTATCCCGACGATGTGATTTGAGAAGCCATGACAGATTGTGAATTGAGCTAAGGATATAGCAGAATTATTGAAAGTTAGGAGGACATTTCCCCTTAAATCAATTTCTTCACTGCTACCTGCGAATACTTATAGCACGCAGCTGCCGGAATGTTGCCGCCATGAAAAGTGGACCCCATAATAGGGGCAAGATCAACTCCCACCTTTCAAAATATTCGAGCCATATAATGAAATGAATTACACAATATTAAGTTGTAATATAGGTACCTATACAATGACGAAACTTCAATATTGGTAACGTAAATTCTTCATTACCTACACATTAAATAGATTAACTTCTAGAGTGTTATGGATAGGTATGAATGAGGTACCACGAAGGTTCCAGGTCAATGACTTATTCCTAGCGCGCTAATCAAAATTATCAAATAAAGCTACAATATAGGCGCTGTATTCTCTAATAATAGAGCAAGCAATTGATTCCGCCTCGGGCCCCGTAATTGAGATACACGGCGCTCTAGCCAGTCCCTTCCCGAGTTCACGGACATCCGCTAGAGCAGTCATAAGCCTACGCGCCTTTTTGACGAGAACCGGGCTTCCTTCTATTCTCAGGGGAGCCCCCATTTGTTCTGATACTTCGACGACTGCCGAGACTGACACGTCCTTCGGATCATCTCCCTGTTGGAATGACGCCAATTCCGAGGGTATGACTTGCGATGAAGCGGTGACTGAAGAATCCCAAATATCCCGGCCAACTATTCGCTCACCCAGAGAGGTCCAGCCAACTAGCAACAGATCGCATGGAAGCTCAACTTTAGCGAGGAGCGAAAAGACGCGGAAGGCGCTTGTGAAGGATGTCTCAGACAAGCTGCCGTCTAGGGGGAAGGTAATAGCTATTGGCGCGATGCTGGGATCCTTCCCCCGTCGAGTGATGTAGTTATTTCCTGCGCTGTCCTCCTATATAAATATGTTAGAAATTGCTCAGATGTGATGAACATAGGTAAATTTGATACTCACAGAAAACTGAAGCGACTGAGCCACCGCGAAGTCTTTGAGAGCTCCCCTGAATATTGTGTTTAGTGATGGTTGCTGCGTTTCGGTACTTGCATATGCCTTTCGAAGACCGTCAAGACTGTTTTCGGCCGACATTATCGCCGCTGGTATGGTGGATAAAGAATGCAAGGGGTTGTAAGTTCCGCAGATGAGCCTCTCATCTGACCAAAATGGCTAGGCTTCCCTTCCACAAAGGATGGGCTATCAGGGTTATCATATTGAAGTATTGTATAAATAATCGCGACCATTTCTCTATCTGATAGCGGTATTTCTCCCGTTGCGGCGAATGTGAGATGACGCGAAGACGGTAATAGGGGGCTAGCAGACGGGAAGATGCCGGATGCGGTGGGGCATCAGATTGTGGGGTAATGCATGACCGAACCGGGTATTGGAAAGCGCCGATCGGGGAGCTTCTCGCTCTTGACCAATTTGTCATCCGGGTCGGAATTCCGACTTTCATTCGGCCGAGTTTTATGTAAGTCATTGTTAAGAATCCTTTGTGAGTTGTAGGAAGGTTTTAAAGCTCGACCTGTCTCCATGGTAGGTATTTGTTTTCTTCTTCTTTGTGATACCATAGAAAATACTCAATTCGAGATAGACATCATCGTATCTAAATCATGCCTGTATATCATATAGGTAAGGTCATATCGTGGTATCCAGAGCTTGATCCAAGTATTAATAATATGTTCAAGTGTTATTCCGATTGAAGAAGGGGGTCGCACCAGATGTCTTGGATGACTTCACCACCAGAGCAAAAGCAATGGTAGGACAAGTGCCCGGTAGGCCGTTCTTTACACATCACTTATGCTGTACATCTTCGCTTAACTATTATATGGCTAGGTCTTACAAAGGTTGATATCGGACCTCCTTTAGCTGTGACTGCGCATCGCAGTAACGGCTTTGATATGGGTGTAGTGGCTGTTTTGGGGAAACAAGAGGACCTTGCAGGTTACGCCACTCATCCAGCCCACATGTAGTATGTCGATTCCCTCACACAGCTTCCCGCAGGTACTGACACGGGATACACAGTGCTCATGAACTTCGTGAGCAGTTGTGCGAAGAAACGCTTGTCTACGATCTAGAGGTTCCTGCTTAGAAGGATGGTTTGAGCTTCTATTGTAAACGATTAACTCTATGTTTAAACATGGGTGGATTTTAAGAAAGATCAACTACCGCTGTTTAGTGGAGTTGAAAACATACCTAAACAAAAGTATTGAGCCGTGCTTTTTCATGACAACACTGTAAAAATGCATGTTGTGTAACGCAAAGTGCATGGAGATACCGGAGTTTCCATTATCAGAAATTACATAGGCGATCCTCTGCGGGATAAGAACGTAACCGGTCCTGTAAAACTCGGCAGCTCCGGCATTGGTTCCACTTCTTTGCTTCTACCTTGACATCCGTTTGTTTAGCGACTCAATGGCCTATGAGAGAATAAGCTGAGCGATGCTGGCCTTTGGATACTTCTGCTGACCGCTTTGATTTCGGGATGTTACAAGTGAGATCCGGGCTTCGGTAAGCCTCAAGCAACCCTTGAGGGGTGATTTATGTTGAGTGTGGGGTAGTGAGATGATCTTCGATTTCTAATCTCCACCAATTTGTTAAAGAATAAAGATAGAGAAAAGCCACAAAGTACTAGTAGGTGCCTGCATAGATCGATTATCAATACGACAATGCCTCAAAGCGATCACATTCGTAATAGCAACCCTCGAACATCGCGGAAGTATGGATTTGCCTGTTCAAATTGCAGGCGACGGAAAGCAAGGTGTAATGGCGCTATGCCAGCTTGTCAAAAATGTCTTGCCAGCAACGAGAGTTGTTCATATGATAAGTGAGTAGCCCGAGAAGTTCAAAGTGCGAACATTGATTTTCACAGGTTCATAGAGCGCCGTCGGTAGCCTATGCTGTATCGCTACAAAATCAATTGCAAGCATACAAGGACCGGATCGAAGAACTTCGGCAAGTGAAGGATGAGGACCGCGATGCTCTCCTTAACGAACCCATTTGCACAGTAAGCCCAAACGAGGGCCGGTCCCGAGCATTTAAAGGCAATTCGGATGTCCACATTCCATTGCGGATAGATACTACCACCAAGCAAGGCACGGCTGATGCGGCCGAGATGACCTCTGTTGGAACCGACGGTCGTGTCTGCTTCTATGGAAAAACCAGTCTGTACCACATCGACCCCCATAACTTTGAGCCAGATAGTCCTGAGACGAACCATGACACTAGTATCGAAGAGAATAGCCACGACATGACCTATATGCCTTCTGTATATCCAGACTTTTGTGATACAGCATCGATCCTGGCAGAGACCCCTTCAGCGCTCCTAACCGACCTTCTCAACACCTATTGGACATACCCACATCACCTGCATTGCGTATTGTGCAAGCCTCTGTTCCTACGTTAGCACACCTCTACAGTCGTATATACCTACTAGTTATCTAACTGATATCTAGGAGATCTATACAGTTCAGGGCCATACGTCACCCCTTTTCTGCTATGTGCTGTGCTCACACAAGCTGCCCGATATTCTACACGCTTAGATGCCGTGGAGATCGGGCAAGGATTTGCGGCCAAGGCCCTACAACTGTTACCACGCGACATTGAAAAGGGTAGCTCCATCCCTACTATCCAAGGTCTTCTTGTATTCTCAGCCCGCGAATGTGCCTGTGGCCGTGTATCCCAGGGTTGGCTTTACTCCGGAATGGCATTCCGGATGATGCGAGACCTCGGAATAGACGTTTCTCCTAAGAAACTTGGACACTTGGCAAAACAGTTTTCTGAAGAAGATCTCGCGATACGGCAACAGGTCTTCTGGAGTTGTTACACATGGGATAAAACCATGAGCGTGTGCCTTGGCCGGCCTGCGGTATTACACTGCTCTGTGGAGTTACCCACGTCAGACACATTACCCTTCGGACGCGAAGCAGACGACGAAATATGGCCGCCGACATTAACCAACGGTTCACTCGCGGATGGCCTTGTGAAGCAGAAGGCTTTGAGCAGTGCTAGATTCGTTGCTTACTGCGAGCTCTCCATCATCACCGAAAGTATTCTGGATACGTTATATTCCAGGCCGCATAGCGGACAGCAAGACCACCTCCTAACATATCTCGACACGACACTGCAGAGATTGCACTCTTGGGCGGATCGATTGCGTCCTGAATTATTCGTTAAAGAAACCGCCACAACCATCGTGTCTCCCCCACTACACATCTTGCTTCTGAACCTAACGTACCACGCAGCCACCATTCTCTTATGCCGACCGTACCGAACAGTACAGCAAAATGCCAAAGAGAGATGCACCAAAGCATCGAAAATGGTCGATACGCTCTTTATACTGCACGTCAAGCGCTTCGGCTTCCGATATGTGACTTACCTGCAGACGTACACATTATTCGTCGCATGCACAATAAATGTTCTCGATTTCACTGAAAGTGATGGACCGTCTGGAGACTCGACGTTAGCTAGAGAAGCGAATGCCAGACTCCATTTCGGGCTCGAGATCTTCAGACAGGCAAATAGCACACCGGCCGCAGCTCGATGCGCCGCCACCATTTCCCAGCTCTTCCAACGGCAGAAGACATCCAAGCAGAACGAGAAGACAAATCCGACAGCTAGCGCAAGACTCGATTCTCCTACAACAGATGTAGTCGCTAGTTCCAGCACCCGGGAACCCGCGATATCCTCTTTACCGACCCTCCCAACGCCGTATCAACCGCACGTTACGATTCCCGAACCGGTACCAACGATTGATGGCCCGCGCATTCAAGATCGAAATATGGCGGAGCCCTTTGATTTCTCTCTTCCGATTGAAACGCCGTTACGGTGGTTACCGGAGAATGTCCAGGATGATGGGAGTTGGATGTTGATGACGGATGTGAATTTCAATGGCGATTTCGATTTCTCATCGATGGCAGAATTCTCATGATCTGGAAACCTGAGAATTATTTTTCTGTCTGCTAGGTGTAATAAACGAATTGAAACAGGCATTTGAACAACTTTTATGTCGTGAGATTGACTTGAGGCTGTAATTTAGGTAGGCATAGTATAGCGACCCTCTCGACCCCCTAACACGCCTAATTTCAGCACTGTAATCAACTAACCCAAGCCCACAACCTCCGCCTAGAACAACGCCAGAACCCATCCAATTCAGTAAAACGCCGCACCTCACAACCACCCCCCTCAAAAAAAGAACCATCAAGGGAAAAGCCCCTCTCAATTAATAGCTTAAGGAGCTGGGTATCTCACAAGACGCCACTACAAAAGCAGCAGTATATACACGCGCCAATCGTCATACATATCCGTCCAATCGTTCTCATAATCCGTGTCCTGTTTTCTCAAATACCTAATAGGTAGGTAGCTTTTCGTGATTTTTTCCCATGATGCAGCAATTTTAAACCCGCCCACTTCACCACTCCTTTTTTTATTTCAATACGAAAGCAACCTTGAAGTACTTGCCCATTCGTATTCACGCAACCCTAACAACAACCTTCCACCCCAAAGCCCCCGCCTCGCGGATCGCACAAGCCAGACATCCTCTCCTGCGACGACTGATAACCGCGTTCCAGCCCCTCTCAGCGCAGAGGGCACGGACGAGGATCTCGAGGTCGGAGCCGAACTGCCTCCTACGAGTTCCGAGCTTCATTCGCGAGGAGGGGGACGGGCTCGGGGGGTCGATACGCTCGACCCTGCTGCGGGATGACGCGGCGGTGCTGGGCCTTCTTTCGAGATCCAGGGAGCCGGGCATGCGGATCGGCGGGACCGCGGTAGGTTCCATGCCGAACGAGGACGAGAGCGAGGACATGCGCGACAGGGAGGGCATGTCGGGGGACTGCGGTGGAGCGAAGCCCGTGACGCAGTCGATGACGAGGAAGCGGGGAACCCTGTTTGAGATGGAGGACTGAGATGGGCTCCGTGTATGGGTGTGCAGTGCGGGCTTGCTCAGTAAATCGTCTAGGCTGCTGGAGGTTTGGTTAATGAGATCCACGAGGTGGATCGCGGTATAATTGTAATATCTATGAAGTGGGTGACCTGACGGGTGTTGGTAAAGCCGATTACGTAATGCGATAGATGGACGCTCACCTGTGATATGTGCAGGGCTGGAGGACTTCCCATTACTATCGTGGCCGCCGACGTCGATTTGCTGAATGGTAGGGCTAGTGGGCGATTTAAAATATTTAACATAACTAGAAGCGACACAAGGATGCGCCGTGACAAAATTAACATCATTAGTAAGCGCAAAATTATGGTATTCGTCTTGGTCAAGTGAATCGTGAGAGATCGTAAACGTCGTAGAAGCAGGATATGTACGGATTTCTGGCTCCTTCTCCTTGCTGGGTTCGGAAAATGGATGGAAGCCCTTATCTGTTGTGGGCGTCGTGCTTACGCTATCTATCGAGGCGTATAAATTCAACGATTTAAGCTCTATTCTGATGTTTGAAGGTGGCGGCTTCGCATATGCGTTTTCATATGGAATAATGAAATCTGCTGGCAGCACATTGGAAGGCTCAGCATCGCCTAGAACATCAGACTCTCGTTCTATCGTAGCTTTCCCGTAGATTCGAGCTTTCCTCCCAGTTCGAGCAATATCGGCTGCATGTGTAAGTAGCGTGGAATAAATCAAGTCGAATTCTCTCAGACTTACCTGGTATAGTATCAACGGTAACATTAACCCAACCCTCATCAAGCCCATGTGGAATCACATCACTCGATATCCAACCCATGCACTCTGCAGCGCCTTGCCCGGCGGCCAAGACGCGACCCACAACGCAAGACGTGCTCCAGAAACTCTTCCCGCTATAGACAAATCCACCACATAGACTAGCCCTCGGGCCAAGCCTCGGCAAAGCGTTTTCATCAACTTCGAGTAAAGCCGACATAAGATAATGAGACAACATATCTCCAGGTAACATTAGACCGGATACATATGACTTTGAAAACCAGCCAGATGCGTGCAAAGCTGCCTCGATCTTCCGTCTCCTGGATGGCTGCCTCCTGTTAGGAATAGATGATTTGGCACTAGAGAAATATGAAGAGCGCCGCGAATCAAACGAAACAGGAGGTGCCGTGATAGATGTTCCTTTACCTAACGCGATAGCCTTCTCAGCAACTTTCGGTCCGGAGAACTGTATCTCTGGCCAGCGCAGCTTGCGTGCGAAATGTATTAGTCCATAAACTTGTCTCTCGGTGTATCTGCCCTGAATTGCGTAAGCATAGTCAGATTGAGCGTTGTGGCGATATTGGCTATGATCAACATGATGCGCACCATACATGTGTTCATGCTTGTGATTCATCTTGCTCGTCAATGACGATAGCCAGCCTTTGGGCGTAGATGGCTCAGAGTGAGCCATGTTTGTTTTTGTGACGTTTATGTTTTCGAGCCATGCTCGAGCAAGGACTAATGACCATTTGACGGAGATGTTTGCCTCCTTTTCGAACCTATGGACCTCAGATGCCTTGAGATTCTCACCTAATCCAAACTCGTCACCATCGGTGATAGCATCTAACCGGATTAGAAGTTCGCAAGCGAGAAGAATTTGGAGTAATAGCCAATATCGCTCCTCGCTTCGATCCTGAGCATCCTTCCCCTCATTTATCGAAATTCCGTCAAAAATCTCGTCGTCCATGGGGAAGGCCCACAAAATTTGACCGAGGCGAACTCTCCATTCGACACGGGAGAAATCGATCCAGGCGTTTGGTGCACCCAACACTTTCACCAAGGCAGAGATCTGTACAGCATGACTGTAAGGGTCCTTGGGGTCCAAGACTCTCGTTGGCGGATAGAGAATTTTACTGAATAACTCGCTGTAAAACTCCTGTGATTTCATCCGAACCCCACTTCTCTCCGCCTGGTACCTCTCCTCATTTTTCATCAGCTGTTCCATGATGGTCGTATCGTCCAAATGGCGCAAGCCGTCCTTTGACGTTATGAGTTTCTGGCGCTGTTCTACGATCACGCGACCCTTAGAACCCAGGCTGTCGAAGCCATATTGCTCCTCCTGCAAGGCGTCAGCGACAGAAATCTCCAAGGCAGCTTGGTAACCGATCGTGCCCTTCTCTAGACCTTGCATGCTAAGCATGCTCGGCCGTTCCTGACACCTTGCATTAAAGTGAGGACGTTTCCTAGCAGATGGCGATGTCACAGACGCGGGGTCGCGATGAATAATACGCGGCCCTGCAGTAATGCAACCCCAGGCATCGTCGCTGATTTGAACATGGTCAGCGAGGTCTCTGATGCCCAACTCGTCATTCCAGGGGAAAGCCACGGATGGATGCGGGGCTCCGGAGCCGTGACCCTGAGACCGAGCGAAGAATTGCGGAGCCCCGGAGAAGAGTTTCTCTATTTCGATTTCAGTTAATGAAGCCATTATGCGTTTGAGCTTCAGCACTGGTTTGGGAGGTCTGCCATCGACTTTGTCTATTGTGCCCGGAGGAGGCGGAGACGGAAGTGGTTTGTTATAGTTGAGAGAACCTGGGGAGCGCGGAGATAACGACGGCCTCTCAGACGATGGCCGCGTGCTGGAAACTTGGCGGGATGCAACCTAAGTAATTAAGCAATTGTTAGTTACCGCCGACAGGAGATTATGAGTAGCTATTAAAACACGTGCTATTGCCTTATACCAAGACAATAATTCAGCTGTGCGGTTTAATAGTTCCTGCTATTCGAATAATTGAGAAATGAGAATAAAATTCAAGAAAAGAAAAAACAGCGCAATGCAGGGTCTAGGCACGAAGAATCAGCTGAGGTCAGAAGACGATTTAGGGGGTTTCGCGTCTTAATCCCACATTGGACTGAAAAGGGAAAATTGTATTGGTTCCAAGTTTCTGTAGGGTTTTGTACTATGCGTGCTTTCCGTACTTTGAAATTGTACTGGAGCTGGGGGTTGCCTGCAGGTGCTGATTGATCATTGATGCTGGATGCTGTAGAAATTGGGAGGATCGACTCTTGTGAGCTGTTTGGCAAGTGCTAATTGTTACAATACTCCAAACCACCTAGCAAATAATAACGAACGATGAACAGTCAGGTACCAGGTACCAGCAGTCAGGTGCCCCAAAAAGGGATAGAGGAAAATGCGTTTGAGAGGGCAGGAGCGGTAAGGGTTGCGGTAGGGGTTACTAAAAGAGGAAATATGCTGTAGGTTACAGTACCGTGGTTTCCGCAGTCTTGACTTTCATTGGTTGGTCGGCACCACTTACACCTACACCCGCACCAGCGTTGGATGTACTTGTACTTGTCTCCGTCCCCGTTCGTGCACGGCGTGCTCCGAATGCGCCTAAACTTCCGAAGGTTAGGCCTAAACCTAAAGTTAAAGCTTCAGATGATTCGATCTCGTTTTCGCCTTCGCCTTCATGATCTTCCTCTCCTTCTCTTTCTCCATCCCGTGCGACAGCCACCTTGTTATCCTTTTTCAATTTATTTCGTGCTCGTGTGGAATTGGTCTTACGAATCTTTTCTCTTGGCCGACGTATGAACCCTCGAATACCAGTACAATCAGTTGATCGTTTCTGCCGGTTGCCATGTTTTGATTCCTTGGCGTCTTTAATGAAAACCAATGCTGAACGTTTGAGCACCGCCAACGAAGGCATCTTGGAAAACTCGTCTTGAGGCGCTATCCGGCCGTTGGAAGCGTTAGACGTAGCGTCCAACGGCATGCCGTGCGGAACTTGCATCGAGGTTACAGAACAAGTCTGCCGTGTGTCGTTATGATAGTGCCATGGGCCATGAGGACGACTACCAACCAAGCCAATCGGTTCCGGTTGTGATTAAAATTGAAGCAAATATTCGAGCCCAAATAATACTGAGCAGGGCATCTTAATCGTCTCACAAAGTTGATAATAGGATACACCCGACTACCGGTGTAAATGTCAGATCGCACAATCGTGAAGATTGGGCTGGACGGCGGCGGAACCTATTATTAAAAGCAAATCTTAGGTTCTTATGTCACCTATCCAACGTTCGGAACCTATCTCCCTATGTATATCCCGGACCAGTAACCTCACTCCGAATCGTCAGGTCTAAGTATACCACGAGCCGCCAAGCTAGCGTCGAAAAGTGCCGGACTTCTGGAATCCATGATAGATGGATTCGGTCCATTGGTGTGTTCTCACCCACCAAACACCCTTGCATTCAGGCCGTGATAGCCATGGATGCTGAGCAAGATAATCAGCCGGTAAGCTAGATATTATGCACATCTTCAATTGTTTCAAGTGAACTTCACAGCTTATAGGTCCTGCACATAGAGTGGACAGGGACTTTTAGCTGGACGGATTTATACGGATTTCGGATTTGGTAACTTCAAAATTCCCCCCACGAATAATCTCGACCGTTGGACTCCCAAAAACCCAATAGAACCGTGCACATCGCGCCCCGGCAGCCGTGTTATTCCTCGAAAAGGTCACACCGACATTAACTGGCGTTTTATACCATCCACGTTGTTTCCGGGGCTTCAGGGCTCACTAGCAGTTTCAGCCGTCATGCTTTACGTGGCTTACTTGGGGCCATCTAGATCCTGGGATCCACCGAACCGGACTTTCGAGCCTCTTCCGCTTTTCTACTACTACCCCGTCCGGGCCGCGAGTCCACCCACTCTATTAAATAGTGTAGAATTGAAACTAGACAGGTAGGCTATGTAGTATGAGCTACTGTCAGTCGCAAACGGCCTAGAGTTTCTACAATACATTAGAGCACGACTTAGTCTCAATTATTGTGGAAAGGTTCAAGGCCTACTTGGCGATTCGAAACAATGCCAATACTACAAAGTCGTATCGACATCGATCTCCAAGCTTACTATTGACACGTTTTCTGTTATTTAGTATACGATTTCAAGCTTAACAGGCAGTTTTTGATCTTGATTTCAACCCGAAAGATCCGGTGACTTCTGTTAATCTACATGGCACATGCTGATCAACCGACATAGGCCGAAACGCGGTTCCTAAACCATGTTCGTCTCGAATATTTCGATAGAATTTCTTCGCGTGTATATTTAAAGTAACGTTAAATTTTAAGTCGCTATAGTCGATATGATGTGAGAGCCTCAGATGAGATTATTAGTCAGGTCATATTAGGTATGACCAACTAGTTCAATTCGGTTGTATGGGACTTATACCTTGAGAATGGTTGCTGGATGACTATCCTAGCCAAGGTGCGTTTCGCCTGCATATATCATTCCTAGCGCCTACCTATTTCCATCCTTCACATGCATCAATGATCCCATAACACCTTTGGTGCTGACTGCAAATTTCTAGAATCGCTCAAAAGGTGACAAGGTTGTCGATCAGCTGTACCTAACGGTGATCGTGGGCCATCCCACCTAATCTGAAACAAACGACGAGCTCCCCGGAATCTTAGGGACGTACAGCTGAGATTCCCCAAAGCTGTGATTAGCTCAATGTCAGACAGACAACTCGTGGTTCACCCATTGGGTTGCTCACCCACCTTGTTGTTGATAGGAACGACTAATCGGTGTTCAACAAGACCTACTTCAATAATCAACTTCATTGCATTATTATGTTGGTTGGTACATAATACAAGCTGTGTTACCTCTATGCCGCTTAGGTTAATGTACTCCGATGCAAAGTCACTTGCAGTTACGCCCATTGGTTCAATTCATACACATTTCAAGCCATGCAATTCAACTGGAGTAACACAGCTGCGATCCCGATCTCTTGCCAAGCAGAACACGCGTTAATGTTTAGTAGTTATCACCTCGTAGGAATAGGCTGTACAGCCACGATGCGCCGGACGGATACGATTCCGCGTATAGGTCGTGTCTGTCAAGAGCAAGATACCTCGGAGACAATTCAAAACCAAGATGATAGCTATTGGGAGGTCTAGGAATCGGAGCCTACACGTGTTTAGCGAGGCTCACCTGCCTACCTAGGTGTCAAAATGTTGGAGCTTCGTCCGAAAATCCATCGGCAGCCTCTTATAAGCCTACGTGTGGAGTTGAGACATGTTTCATCGTTGCCACGATTGATCAAAGTGGGATTTTGGTGGCTCCGAGTGTAATATGTGCGGTGAGCCCCCGTGATCAAAGGTCGCGTGGTGACGCCAACAGCTTCCAATCGAACCCTAGCAAGCGCAAATACTTGCTTACCCAGCCGTCACAATAATGCGAATCGGAAAGCTTATCCAAGACCGCTATTCTCAACTTGCAGTATCAGTATTTTCTTCCTACTTCTAGTCCATTATTCATCTATCCTCAACACTAGGAGTATGTGGGCTACATCAAGTTTCAGCTCCGTAAAGCTCGGCTGTGCCTCTATTCGGCAAACTCGGACCCGACGTATGAATTACAACCACATTAGCATTAAGAGCGCTCGATATACATATCTAAGCGCTTATAGTGAATCGCTGCTACCCAGAGGCTTATTGATATCGGCGGCCTCACAATGAAGGGTCAACGGGAGTGGTCACTTCAGCAAGCTCTCCTTCAACTTACGGGCAGTTGGAGATTATCGTCTTTATCGCGCCCGACTCCCCTAAACAGAATTACCATCGGGTAAGGTAGTATAGTAAGAGGATTTTGCCGGGAATGTCTCAGCGCCTCATCAAACATGACCATTTTTCAGGTTGGATTAACACGCTCCATCCAGATGTTATCAACTTCCCCCGACAAGGAAATAAGGAATTGAAATTAGGCAAGCGATCAAAGGAAATCAAGTATTTCTAAAGTTTCAGAATTTCGATACCATGGGCTTGGGAATCGTAGGAGTAGACGAACGTCGATTCTAGAAGTCAATAGTCTTGGGGTGGCATGATCAAGAAGCTCCCTAAAGAGGAGCATTCCTAAAAGCCCATGCCTTCTAGAATATTATTGGACACTACAAATAGAATTGCGAGTGTATATATCATGATAAGTCGGCTAGGGGGAAATCACGATAGGAACTGGAATGTTTCTAGTCGCTGTTAGGTCATCCATATTGGGTACGTGTAGCACGCTATCCTTCGACTTTTAGTCTTTGATATTCATAGACATTCGTGGTATGAAAAACCGAGGTTAATGTGATGAGCTGCCGTTGCATAATACACTACTCCAATAGTAGCTAAAAGCGGACTGGGAAGAAAGGGATGGTTCCTAGACTCCATATGAGGTGGGAGGTCAGCTTTAGACATTTTAGCGTAGTCTTCAACAAAGCAAGGTGGTAGACATCGAAACCTCCGCTGTATTGATGAGTATATTGCAACCTAACGTCAGCAGGCCAGCTTGGTCGTCATCTTATACCCTCCAACATGAACGCGCTAGACTTCTATGGGGCTGGTACCTTGCGTAGACGGGGCACAAAAGGCTTTGCATTCTCTGGCGTTATATCCACAACAACATAACTCCTAATTAGTGTAGAAGCAGCAAGAGTTCCAACACTAGGGTTGTCGATCTCGAAGCCTAACCTCCCCCACCATCATATCAAATCAATTCCATCCTGGCAATCTTGGGTATAATGCCATCCTGAACGCCGCCCAATGCAGTGTACGTCATAGTCGCTAGCTTACGAAAGCTAGGCTATGAGTCTTCAAACTCGAAGAATGGTGTAGAGGTGATATCGCAATCCTACACCGGAGGCGTGTCGTGGACAACGACTAGTAGGTATTTGAGCTCGGGCACGATTACGAGCTCTTGCTTCTTCGTGCGTAGTCTAAGTAACTTCAGTTCATCCTACACCAACTGATTAGCCCCTCATCTCATCCTACCACTCATGTGGGTAGCCTTTGTTTAGCACTACTCACCTCTGAGTCAATCTCGTCAACCAAGCTCCCGGCAGTAGTCAGGAACGTCCAGACCATACTGCCGAGCTCTTGCGCGGCTTGTGTCTCATTATTGGTGTTGGCGTTGACATCGGTCGAGAAAGACCCGCCGGTGGGATTCGGTAGCGGCAGCGAAGTCTTATTGTTGTTATCAATTGGAGCAGGAGATCGCGCTGGTCGGATAGTGGATATCTGGCCGTTGGTCTTGAGGACGGCGCCGTTTGTTCGGTCGAGCATGAGCCATGCTTTGACGCCGGGCTTCTTAGAGAGCCGGTGCAAGGATTCTTCTATAGATTCGGTGGTGATAGCGGGCTGAATTCTTAGTTATATTCTTTATATTCAGAGGAGGATAGAACTTACTAGGGATTTCTCGGCCATTTTGTCTTCGTAAATTAGAATAGTTACTTTAATCGTAGTGAAATCTAAGTAAATAAACTGTCGATGCTTTCCAGCTCTTTATTGAATAATATTGCTAAGACAACTCAGGGATCTGATCTTGACGTAAATAGCTTGAGCCACTTTAGCCACTAAAATCGCTGTTCAGCCACAACTGATAAGATAAAGGGTAGCATACTGCGGCTAATCCGAATTGGATTATGCCGCTAATTACCGCCAAAAAGTTCAAATGCGATTAATGTCACTGTCACTATTCAGAGGACTATTCTGAAACGATAATGCGAATTGGTTAATTGGGATCATATCGCGGTGCCTTTCTGATCCCAATGATCGACTCAAGATGGGTTCCAGCGCCAAGAAGAAGAAGGAAAAGAAGAAGGACTTCCAGAAGCCCAAGTTGAAAGTAGGAAAAGCCAAGCCGAAAGCTTCCAATTTCACAGATACCAGCTTTAAATCTAAAGGTATATTATATCGTCTCTTATATTTAAGTGTTATATATTATAATTCAAAGCTAATCTACCCCCTTTTATAGGTATCGTATTACAACAGCAATTAGCTGAGAATGCGCCGAATCCGACCGAACGATTCAAGCACAACCTTTCTCTTACGGCCTCGCGCTCAGATACTCAACGCAGAGATGCGCTATCATACCTTACGGGCCAATTATCTACTTCCCCGCCGACAAATCCGGTAGGCACGTCGACGTTGCTTCAGAAACTTCTGCCCATGATGTCCGACTCTTCCGGGCCTGTGCGGAACCAATTATTGAAGCTGCTGCGGAATCTTCCCGCCGACGAAGTACGACCCCACGTTGAGAAGATCATGCTTTATATTCGAGGAACCATGACCAATATTTCCCAAGAAGTTAAAGACGACGGACTTAACTATATGGAATGGCTTCTTGACGTCGCTGGAGAGGAAGTAGTTTCGGGTCCCGGCTGCTGGGTCAAGCCACTTCGAGACTTCATGTCCGTACTAGGATGGACAGTCAAAATTGCCCCGACCACCGCGGCGAAGAGCGGATGGACATCCGCGCCTAGAACCACGTTCGGCGCTAAGAAATATGGTCAATCCTTCCCACGTCAGATGCTCATACTTTCTAAATTCCTAGAAATGGGATTTAAGCCAGGCGAACCCACACCCTGGTCTCCCAACGACTGGTTTGATAACATAGGCCGCGTACCAAGGACGTCGGACCCGTTTGGATATCTCGGTTTATTCAAACCCCCTAGAGATGAGGATGGGGAGATATACTGCAACCGGGAAGACAGACAAGATGTCTTTCAGAAGAGATTCATGGCGGCAGTCGAGGCTGGCGTAGATATGGCTAAGAGGGAAGGGGGAACTGCTGGGAGAGCTGCGGCAACACTGGATCAAGTGCTGAGGGATGGTATGGCTGATTATGAGCAGAACTCACGACTTGACGATGATGATTATTTGTGGGATGGATACATAATGTAGGCTTATTCTCGATATACCCTATGAATATAACCTACCTATACCAAACAAGACTATCATTCTATTCCGACAGTATATTCAAGGGCAAATTCAACTCAACCCCTAGGTCTCTAATAATCTAGAACCATATCCCCCCACCCCTTTCCTTATGTACCTGTATATACCGGTACCTAGTATTACATAATACTAAAAAGAAAGTCTTGGCATGCCCCCCCTATTTACTGCTCACAAATCCAATCATGATAGTAGACCTATGTTGGCATTTAATTAGGTATACAATTGCGGAACATATTAAGATAGGTATATGTAAATAATATGAAGCATGTTATACTCACAAGTCAGGGCTCCTTCTTAGAAATACTATCTAGCCCGTAGTAGAATTACCATTATATTACCTTTCGTATCAGATAACATTTCAATACTTACCTACATGTAGGTACATGTATGTATCCATAGATACATGTAGAGGTACTTAAAAGTGACATAAAATTATCCACAGCCATGTCGTTGCTTCCCCTTAACCTCTTAGAACTTAAAAAAGAGTTTCATATGCCTCTAGTAACCTAGGTAGACAAGAGGTATCTACATGTATGTACTAAGTATCTACGTACTGAGAATTCTACCTAGTATATACTAGAATATACAGCAAATTGAACCGTATACTGCGTACTACCGCTCCAGAGACGGCCTGCCCCCGAAACACCTACCCAAGTAACGTCGGTTCAGTCTTTCCCATCGCCAACTACTCTAATCAGTAATGCCAACCAAAAACTATTTAACACCACCTTGGGTCCCTCTCAAAATTTCTCTTTTCCTTCTTTCCTTACACAACTTCTTTCCCAATTTCCTTCCCATCTTTTGTGAATCTCCTGGTCAGATCAAGTCTGCCCACAGGATTCCTTTACAGCAAAAGGTAAGTCTCATTCTCACTTTTATCTAAATTTCCTGTCTCTACCAGCATTATTATTTCCATCATTATCACTCATAAATCACGTGGATTTGATTCAGGTAAATCCTTACACATCCACCTTCACTATACCTACTCATTCCCTCATCCTTCTCCTGCCTCTACTGGTACACCCATTCCTTCTCCATATACCTCTCCTCCCAATCTCCCTTCTACTAGCCATAGGGCAGCTATTCTCTGTTTCTACTTCTCCATCGAACACGACTCTTGTTCCCGTCGTGAATCCATCTACCGATCTCATCTATGTCTCGTACCGCTACATAGGTAAATTTCGATTACACGTACCCTACCATCCAAAATATCCATCACTCTTCCCTCACGCAAACAAAGCACAAAAGTTTTCAGGCTTGGACACAATACTTTCCTTTCTCTATCTCCAGAATCAAACATACCCATCAACACTTCCTGTTCAACTCAACCATATATGGGAACTTGCCTTTTTCTCTTCTGCTTTAGTATTGGATTCTAATTTGACTCTTCTAGGCTAGTTTCGACAACCTGATAGGATATCTACTATGTAAGTGTTTATTTCCCTAGAAATATCTTTTGGTTCTAGCTCTGTTGCGTGTACTATCTCTGCGGTAGGATATACGCATACTTTTCATATTGATCTCATCTCTATGTACTTCTATTTTTTTTTTTTTTTGCTCATCTATTCATTCCTAGAAGTGTTTCTTTTTAAATGTTACATCTTGTGTATATGCTATATAGCATATGGTCCTTTTATTTGGCGTTCACGTCACCCTCGTTTCGTTTTTATTGAAATCTTGAAGCTAAAAAAAATTGTACGTTTCATTTACACTGACCATATTTCTCTAGCCTTTGCATAACGACTCACTATCGATTAACAAACATGTCTGCTGGTTGGGGAACCTCAGGCAAGCAGCCAGCTCTCCCTGAGCAGGCAGCCGGTCCCTCCACCTCGGAGGAGCCTAAGCATCCTGCGCAGCCGGCTGGTGATTGGGGCCAGGCCTTCCATTATGACTACACCGAGACTGATGTCGACCGCCAGTGGGGTGGAAATGGAGCTGTGTATGAGTGGCAGGGTGAAGAGGGCGATCTTGCCCCTGAGGATCCTATTCTAGAGGCCCAGCTTTTCGGTGAGCCCGACATGCGCTTCGGTGCGGGTCTTGACATCTCCAAGTAAGTAGTTATCCATGACCCCCTTCAACTTATGATTCACTGACTGGAACAGGATCTACTCTATCAACGTTTCCCAAGAGGGTGAGAAGCGAATTGCCCCTATCTTCAAATTTGAAGCCGCTGGCCTTCACCCGGTTATGTTGAAGAATGTGCAGATGTGTGGTTACGATACCCCGACCCCCATCCAGAAGTACTGCATTCCAGCAATCAACATGGGTTATGACTTAATTGCTATTGCTCAGACCGGTAAGATATTATATAACTTTGGATATGAAAGTACGTCGTTTTGCTAACTTGGTTCAAGGCTCGGGCAAGACGGCAGCTTACCTCATCCCTATCTTGAACCAGCTTATGGGCAAGGCCAAGAAGTTGGCTGCTTATCGCCCAACTCCCCAGCAGCTCATAACGGGCGAAAAACGCCCTGTACGAGCTGAGCCGCTGGTTCTAGTGATCTGTCCTACCCGAGAGTTGGCAATTCAGATCTTCAACGAAGCACGCAAGTTCTGTTACCGCACTATGTTACGTCCTTGCGTCGTCTATGGTGGAGCACCGATTAGTGATCAGATTAAGCAAATTGGTGGAGGCTGTGACCTACTCATCGCAACCCCCGGTCGCCTCGTTGATCTCATGGCACGCGGCCACTTGTTGACCCTTCGTCGACTTCGATACATGGTGGTTGACGAAGCCGATGAGATGCTTGACACTGATTGGCAGCAGGAATTCGCCGAGATCTTCTCTGGTGGAGGTAAGTTCACACATTTCATTGCAATGGTATATTAGATCGCTAACATTTAATGAAAGATCATGAGGAGGACAACGTGCAATACATGCTCTTCTCCGCTACATTCCCTGCAGCCGTTCGCCGCCTTGCGCGAGACCATCTCGCGAGCAATCACCTTCGCGTCCGCGTCGGCCGCATCGGAAGTACTCATGAGAATATCAAGCAGGACATTGTCTACGTGAAACCTGAACTGAAGCGAGGTGCTCTCCTCGACCTTCTTTACTCCATTGAGCCTGGTCGCACGATTATCTTTGTCAACAACAAGCGCGCCGCAGATGAGATTGATGACTTCATCTACAACAAGGGCGGCTTGCCTTGCACTTCCATGCATTCGGATCGTACTCAGCGCGAACGAGAGGATGCGATGCGAGCCTTCCGTGCCGGAAAGGCACCTCTGCTCGTTACAACCGGTGTATCAGCCCGTGGCATTGATGTGCGCAACGTGAAGCACGTCATCAATTTCGATCTTCCGACCATGGATCACGGAGGTATTCAGGAATATACCCATCGCATTGGTGAGTTTCTCCTCGTCGTTGATAATTGATATGGTTAACTAATATTGTATAGGTCGCACCGGTCGTATCGGTCACACTGGCACTGCAACCTCGTTTTACACTGATCGTGACATGCCACTCGCTGAAGATCTGACTAAGATCTTGATGGAGACCAAGCAAACTGTCCCCGACTTCCTTCAGGAGTACATCCCCGAGGGAGCCGATCCCTCCAACTTCAAGATTGAGGATGACAATAGCGAGGACGAGGACGAGGCTGCTGGCGGAGAGGATCCTTGGGGAGTTGGCGACTCTAAGCCCGCCGGAGGTGACGATGCTGGAGTCACCGATGAAGGTGGATGGGGTACCGGCGCTTCTGCTGGAGAGGCTTCTGGTACTGCCGGTGATGGCTGGGGCACCGGCGCTTCTGCTGGAGAAACTTCTGGTGCTGCCGGTGGTGGCTGGGGTGCTGGATCTGCTATCCCTTCTCAGTGGTAATCGCTTCTGGTTACCTATTCCTCTTCCCCAGTTCGGGCGAATATCTTGAGGTTTCTTGAGAAGCACTGATGCACATGTTCGCATGTTCGCATCCAATTCGCTTTGCACTTCTGTTCTGCCCTAGAGGCATTAACGAGACGAGAGGGGCTTACCGCAAGACAAGGATGACAAGGACACGAGTTTCTAGGTAACCGTAAATAGGATCTCTGAATAAAGACTGCGTATTTCCCCTATAATTCTATACAGAAACTTCTTTGATGGTGACATGCTTTAGTTTCGTGCTACAAGTAACACGCTCTACGCTCTTTTCCATACTCTCTTGATTTTGTTATGATGACGATGACACATATTTGGTGGAGATTCAGTGGCATATCTTCTGATCACGTGCTGTAAACTAAGACCCTCTAAGCTTTGGCTGCTCACGTGATTTTTCTTGAGATGGCTTTTCTTTGTGGTCACCTAGCCGATAGCAGCTGTGAAGCAGCTGTTGACAGGCCCGGCAGTCGTTTGTATGGCAAAAACTTTCGAAGGCATTTTCTTGCACAGGACAAATTGAAGCCTCGACTCAAGATTTCAGTAATTATTCCAATATTCCCTCACATAATCTATCCGATGCTTGTCTTTTGCAGGAGGCCATTCTAATATGATCTAATTAAGATTATAACAGTAACCTTTTTATAATTAAATTATAGCCCCAAAAGCATGGGGATGTCACTTGCTAGCTAGCGTTAACAACTCCAACAACCTAAGAGCTTAACGGGGGAAATGAAAGATAATAGCTTATTAATGTCTAAGTTTACTCTATGGAAATGAGTAGTTCGGATAAATCACTGTCGGATATAGCAGATGGCACACGGTGATAATCTGTACAATTAGAAGTCATGCTTCTCCATGACTCATGAAGGTCAGTACTTATGTAACTTTGTCCTGATATCAATTCATATTTGGTTTGGTCGCTGATTATACAAGGATGGGACGTAGGAGTAGGTAATGTCTCTTTCGAAGAGTCCGGCGTTGGTCGGCAAAGGAATGAAGGTTAAAAGCCGCTGGCTACTGGCGAGCGACCTTCATTTCAAGCTTCACGATCTTGACCGCGTCGCTCGTACGGCAGACTGGATCGCCTCAATCCCGCACCAATATAATGTCTCCCGCGCCATCATCTGTGGTGATCTTTTCACGACACGCACTTCTCAGCCGACGAACGTACTCGCGGCATGTTACCGCTTCTTGGACAAGCTGGGCAGTGCCGTACCGCATATGGACATTATTTTGGGCAATCATGACTTGGCGTATCGTCGTGATTACACCACTTCGGCGTTGGAAGCGCTAGCTATCGCCCGGCTGGCCCCGTTCGTTACACTCCACACTGAGATCGGATTTCATAAGTGGGATGGGAGGGATGTACTCGTGATGCCGTTCCGGGAAGATCAAGGCGAAATTATCAAACATATACGCGATTTGGACCCGAATATCGCGGAAAAGACAGTGGGGTTCGCACATCTGGCAATAAACCGGGCCATAACCCAGAAACACATCATCAACCCTGAGACGGGAATGGCCGGGTTGCCTAATAGGTACCCAGGCCTTACCAGCGCGGGTGAATTTGCACCGTTGGCAAGGACGTTTACCGGACACTTTCACAGTCACCAAACAATCTTCCAAGCTACAAACCAGAACGGTCAAGATCCACGAGGAAGCATAACATACATCGGGGCGCCGTTACAGCTTACCTGGGCAGACCTGTTTGATACTAGAAAGGGAGCCATTTTACTCGACCCTGAAACCCTGGACGTTGAGTTTCTTGACAATCCACATGCCGTGGGCTACACGTGCGTCGAAGCGCAAGAGGTGCTAGCTGGCCGGATAGACATTGATCAAATTCGAGACAAGCATGTCATGGTCACGGGGAAGCTATCGATGTACAAATACATCTCTGCCAGGGACCGTCTTGTCAAATTAGGAGCTCGTAGTGTGAGAGATTGGAAACATGTTGTATCAGGGTTTAGCCAAAGCGGCCTCGGCAAGACTATGCTTCCCGCTGATATTCAGAATCGACGGAATCGGGAAGAGGAGGTCTCGGAAGCCGTAGGAAACACCCTACCTAACCTCACTAGCCCCCTAACTGCTGCTTCGTCAGAACTGGCGACTGGTAAAGTGGAACTTAAACCAATTGACCTGACCGGACTCATCGAAGAATATGTGTCCTCTCTGGATCTTGAATCTACTTTGGATGATAGGCGTGATATATTATCTCTCGTTGGGAAGAGGCTCTTTAATCTCCGCAACTCCTCTAGCGACAAGGTCGACTACGATGTTAAATACAAAGATATGCTCGACCCGTCACCCCAATCTGCTCTTTTTATCCCCGCGAACGACGCCCTACAGACATCTAAGGCGGAGACAATCTTCGTTGCAGACCCCGTTTCTATCGAAATCACGAATTTCCTTGGCGTCCAAGGCACTCTCAGTTTAGACTTCAAGCAACACTTTCAGCCTGGTATAAACTTAATAGTGGGGCACAACGGGGCAGGGAAGAGTACGATTATCGAAGCAATCGTCTGGTGCCAATTTGGACAATGCATCCGAGGCGGACTAGGGGTTAATGATGTCGTTAATGATGTTGCTAAGAAGAATTGCAACGTCCGTCTGACGTTTGCAAACGGGTACACTATCTCGCGATTCCGGAAGCACGCCGAGTTCCGCAACGGTGTGATTGTGGAAAAGGACGGCGTAATCCAATCGCAATTTGAAGGACCCGATGCAAAAAGTACCCAGGCATCTATTGATAGTCTGTTGGGGGTCGACTTCGATACGTTTATCAGGATAGTCTTGCTCGGGAACGAGAGTGCTCCTAGCTTCTTGAATTCCAATCCATTGCAGAAGAGGCAGTTGATCGAGTTGGTTTTAGGACTAGAGGTCTTAGATGGATGTGCGGAGACATGCAACTCGATGTTGAACCAAGTTGAGGAGGAATTGGGGGGTATGCAGTCGCAACTTGGTGGAGTCACGCACAAAGCAGAGCTCCTCACAAGTCGAGTCGGTCAGATAAACCAGACTTTGAAACTCCTGCAGCAGGAGGTAGCATCTCTTGCTAAGGAAATGGAGGGCAAGAAACTGAAGCACGAGGCAATTATGAATCAGAAGGAGCTTGTTGGTAAAAAGCTCCGGGAAAGCCTTGAGGCTGAGAAGCTTCTACCGGATTTAAAACCTAAGCTTCTGAGCCTTCGAAGTGATATTTCTTCAGCGCAAAATGAGGTGGATAGGCTTGATGTCTTGGCTAGGCTCGCTCAAGCCCGCTCATTTATAGATCGTGAGCGGGTCATTATCGAGCAAGAGGTAATAACAACCAATACGCAGCTGCATCATCATCAGGACGATCTTCAGCGCCTTATTGAAGAGAACAGCGTGCTGGATATTCCATCTTCAAGTATCGATGAACACAAAGACATCAAACGAGATGGTAATAGCGGCGCGCAAGGTTTCATACTGAATGTCACACTTGCCTTTCGAAAATTTTGGACATCGATCCTTAACATCGTCAGTCCGAGAGCAAGGGAAATAGCTCTTAGGGCCATGGAAGCTAGGCGGCGGTGGGACGAGCACACGAAGGCTGTCATCACTCTCACCAATAGAATCACTCACATGCAAGACAGAATAGCAAGTATGATGGACAATATAGCAAGCCTTCCTAGCAATGTTGCCAGCCAGACTGGAATTAATGAGGGTGATGTTCATCTTGCCTTACGAAAACTTACAGCACAAGAAGCATTAAAAGTTCCTCGCCAGTTGACTCTAGCCATAGATGAGCTAAGGACACTGAGTAATCGGCACACTCAACTACAACTTGAGCACGAAACGCGAGAGAAAAAACGACTCCGAAAACAACGCGACGTCGAAGAACATGAGAAGCAGACAGAATCTATAAGAAAAAGCTGGACTGAATCCTTCAACAAGTACCATCTTTCGCTCGCCAGAAAAGAGCAAGAAATCACCACGCACAAAGAACTCCTCGAATCCGAAGTCGAGTCCCTCGCTAAATATAGCCACCAAATCGTCGACCTAAGAAAAGAAGTCGCCAGCATAGACTCCAACCGCGAAATCTTCGCCTTCTGGCAATCGGCCCTCACCAGGCGCCAGGTCTCCGCCTCACGACACACGTTCCGCCGCCACGTCATCGGACGGCATCTCGGGGAGCTCAACAAGCTGCTCGGCCAGATCCTGATGGTCATGTACCAGGACGCGCACTACGCGCGCCACATGACAAGCGGCGCCCTGAAAACCCTCTTCGAAGACGACGGGGAAACCCCTTCCCCCCCACCTAGCAACAACGAAGAAGAGGGTAGCACCTCGGTCCTCGAACCCTCGCTCTCAATGGCTTCCACCCTAGGGTACTCCAAGAAAAGCGGGGGCGAGCGTAAACGCGTCGACCTAGCTCTCTTCTTCGCGCTATTCGTGATGAGCGAGGCGCGCAGCGCGCATCGGGCGCGGTACATGCTCGTCGACGAAGCCTTCGACGGGCTCGACGCGGCGGGCCAAGCCGCGGTGCTGAAGCTCTGCCACTGGATGACGGGCCGCTTGGCTTACGTGTTTGTGATTACTCATAGTCGGAGCTTCATCACGCTTGCGGAAGACGAGGGCGGTGCGGAGGGGGAGGTCGGCGCGAGTGTGGTTATGGCGAAGGCGGGGGAGAAGGGGACGGAGTTTGTGGTTAATGGGGTTTGTGTTAGTAGTGCGGCTGGGGAGAGGGAGGATTAGGGGGGAATGTGATTACGAGTAGGTAACTACTGATCGCGTTTCGTGGGGGTTGGCTTGGAGGGTTGATTACTGGACCTTGGGGACTATGCCTACGTATTCTGTGTATGTAGTGGAGGAAATATACCCCAGACACCGAGAATTCGATCCCATCTCAATACTATATTATTCATCTAGGTTACACACTATCTTAGATCTCAACTCTATCAAAAAATCGATATCCGGGAAGTCCGGATAGCTCTCAAACAACGAATATCTCCTTGTCGTCGAGGAGACGTCGTAGGTTACCCCTCAAAACCATATCCCTCACGGCAAATATCAAAACGATATTGGCTCGGCGAGTGACTAGGAAGAATCTCGGAAAGAAGAAGGTTGATCTCGGTATGAGTAAGACGAGGAAGAGAGGGGATACATACATACCTAGTACATAGTATGGGAACAGGCAGAAGCGATAGAAAAAAGGGTTCCACACACCCATCACACCTCTCTATTTTCTCGGGGATAGGGATAGGGGTTTGGATTTTACGTTGAACAAGTAGACCCTCGGCATAGATCAACATGTTCTTGAACAATGTGAAGTCATATTTCATATCTACCTAGGTGGGAGATACATATTTCAAAGCACCAAGACTCGGTGTCTTCCCCGATACTACCACGATGATATCGGGTATAAGCACACCTGAGTACTAACCCGCACACCCACCACGCTCTCGTTCTCGCTCATACCTACCTAAACAGATAGCGTAGGTGTGTAATCTAGTTTAGTCTAGCGTGGACTTGCGCCTCTACTACTTACTAATTCCCCGTCCGAAACCGTAGCTCTTAGCCCTTGAAATGAGGGGGGTTGTCACGACGACACCAATAGCGCTGATTAGTACCTACGTAGAATCCAAGCTTCTTAATCATCTTGAGACTGGCTGCCAAGTAGTTTCCTTTCCCAGTCCTACGAATCCTGGACTGACTCATCGATGAAACACCTGGGCATCAGGATCTATCGGCTCGACAGGAGGATTTCGCAGTTCCACCGAAAAGTTTGTCCTCCGTCGCACATCGCGATCACGCGTGCTGAATAACCAGAGATAGATTGCCTCGGAAGTGGCACCTACCTCCTTATCTAGCAGCCAACCGGCACAGCACGCTGAATCAGCGCAGGAGGAAAGGAAAGAAAGAAAGAGAGGAAACCCCGACGGGATGAGTGCACGCCGTGAGGTCTCGGAGTCTCAGCTTAACAATCCCCCGGCGCTGACATATCTCACCTTCTTACCTTACCCACAGACCATATATACATCCATCCATACCAGCGAACGGCACAGCCGGCGTTACGCAGTGATAAGTATCCGACCCGTGCGTTACCTACCTAATTACACAGCCGGGGGCGTAACAGCTCAGCTGCTCAACCCGATTTCTAATACATCACCTGCGTGCCAACCGAGCTGCTTAGTAGGCAGCGGTCTATTACACATTACCTGTAAGTAACCTACCTGTAACCGCGTAGCCAGCGGTAACCAGGCAGCGAGCATCCACGACAGAAGTCACGAACACGACTACCCCGTAGGAGTCGGACGTGTGCTCCTAACGCCGGATAGGCGAATCCACCCATCCACCCCTACAGTACCTAAGTAATTAAGCCGACGGCGCATCGCCTCCAAAAAGCAGAAAGGTAAGGAGACCAACTCACCTATATTGAAACACACGCGACGTAGTATATCTCCAGCCTACCTACTACAGCAATCAATGCGATACGTCACCAAAACCCGTACCAATCCCCCAACGTTCACCGCGCGCGTGTCATTCACGCCGGGGCGTTCGCATCGTGAGTTGTACAACCCAAAACCCAAGTATGTACATATGTACATAGAAGCGGGACCTACCTAATCATGCATCTCGCACCAAACTCAAGCTCCAATTGGCTGAGTCTAAGTCCTAGCGCAAGACCTATTTCCCGAAAGGGCAATCGAAGAAAAACGATTGGTTAAGAAGAGCCCGACCCCTAAAGCCGGGGGGAGATTTACAGGTAGGCAGACGCGGATTAGGGGATTGGTTCGGCAACTAGGTTCAAGCCATCTGCGCAGCTAAGGGGACACCCCCGGTCGAGCCCGGGATATAATAGGGTAAAATATGGGGCCAACCTATGAATTTCACGTCAGTCATGTTGACGATGACTCACCCGGTCGACCCACGGCTGGCCAGCCGACGGGTCCATCATCGACCTTTTGACTCGCTCTCCCCTTCTGCCAACTCTACAACTGCCTCACATCAGCAAACAAGGGGGGAGAGGGGAGTATCGTGATTCGGTACCTTCGTGCCGGTTGTCAAACGTGTGTAGCTTGGCCGCCTCGTGACGGTGAGACAGATACGTCGTATCAGTTCTTTTGCTTCTTATCAAAAAATCAAATCTTGATCCACAACTTCGGCTTTCTTCAGCTCAATGGTCAGTATTCCCAATGCACACAAGTTTCACACTAGACAGAACAGAAGCTGGCAACTCAACATGAATAAATCGTAGTCTTTTTTTCGTTGGGTTTCCAAGCTCGAAGCTTTTTTTATCAGGATTTCATGCTATCTGCGGAGGTTGTGTCTCTCTCAAAGCTCTCTAGTAGTAGTTTCCGCTTTGTTTCTGTACCTCGAAGTTTATCTTGATACTCGATTGCGCAACACCTTTTCAGGCCAGATAGTGATAGAAACTAGAATGTCTTGGTGCGCCTTTCCCTCTTTCTCGTACCTACTATGTCGAAGGACAAACGGGCATCCGCTTTTCGACGAGTGCCAGATGTATCGATCGGCGGGTTCGCGGGTACGTTTTATCGCCGGACGTACGAATCAAGTAAAGACTAAAAATTTGCGGCGCCTGACTCGAGGTTATCGCACAAAGTGCTAACTTGCCATGCTTCTCGAGTTCCGCCGTTCCCACTCTCTGCTAATACCTCCGCTGCTGCCGCCGTTGCTGCTATTGAACTAGCCATTATTGCTTTGAACGATCACTATGATTATCCCCTCCGGAACACCATTAGAAACGATAACCCATCTCCCTGTTCATTCGTACACAAGCAACTACCCACCTTCCGTCCCCATATGCTTTGATCCTGGAAATGCATGATCCGAGAAAAAAATAAAGATTTTTTTTCGCCTGTGCCACTGACCATTGTCGGGGTTCTCTATAAACTATGTGACTTCCATATGTGGTATCAACCCGTCGAAGCCCTCCTGTTGTAGAACAAAAGAAATAGTTGAATATTGTCACAAGGGATATTTGTCGTCGGTAGCGCGAAATACCTAAGTATGCTGTAGATAGCAAACAATTCTAGCGCAGGATACCTTCCCACATGCCTGGGCCGCCGGGACCTCCGACTGCAGGGTGAATCGCGGGAATGATATATGATCGAGCATCAGTTGCGCAGCAAAATCGTTTCCGTCCCCCATTCGATTGAACCGGGGTCTGTTGGTTACTCAAATCCATAGATGTAAGACCGCGAACCATGGACTCATGGCCTTCTCTTTCAGCAATGCTGTAGTACTGGGTACTTAGCATCTCGCGGACATTCTCCTGGAGAGAATTGTCAATCGACGTCGGCCGGCTTCGCTTTGAACCGAGTCTACCGGGTAACCGAGGCTGGGTGTTCGATCGCTGTGGGTAACTTTGAAGTTCTTGTAGAGCACGAGCAGCGTTCGTGGCGTCGTCAAGTTCACATCCTCGCGCCAATGGAGTCTCCATTGACATCTGAACCAAATCTTTACCCACCGTGCCGGTGTAAGATTCAGGTGAGGATGTGATGCAATTCTCTTCATAATCTTCGGGTACCGGAGCGATGACGGGTCTTAAGCTCTGCCTCTCACATAACTTCGCGTATCGGCATCGCGCCTGAACATCCAATTTGGTGGACGGCGCGCTGGCCAACGACGAAGCAGATGAGATTGAGGAAGAGCGAGACGTACGAGACGAATCAGAAATCATCGATTCCGGTGAAGATGCTGTTGAAATAGAATTGGCAAGTGAAGAACGACGCGTTGAGACGTAACTCATGGGCGAAGAACTCATAGAACCAGGCCATCGATCCAGAGTCTGGGAAGCAGAAACATTTGCAGCTTGCGCCATTGCGAAGCCCATGGAACCTTTACCGCTAAGGAGGCAAGTAGCGACAGTTGCGGCAGGAGTGCTAAATCCGATCGATTGTGGAGTGAGACGAGGAGTAGGTAATAGACCCAAAGCTGGAGCAAAACGACCTGGAGTATGTACAGTGGCCGGTGCGGGCTCCATAACGAATGGGATGTTGAAAGTCTTGGGCGTGGACAGATCGCTTACGTAACTTGACGCGTCCGATGGGGGAGAAGGAGCCGAAAGAGACGGAGTCGGCGTGGTATCTCGGAATTTCATTACTGACGGGCTCAGTGGGATGAGATCTTCAATATTATTGAGCTCCGGCTCGAGGTTAAGAATCAGATCCCTCCACTCTTGATGCTGTTGATCCGGAATCTGGGAGCAGGCCGACCCAGAGGACGGAGGTTGCGATGGCGTATGTTTTAGAACGATTTCGGTCCACCGTTTAAAGACTACATCGGTGATGTGAAGTTTCCATTTTACAGCCTCGAGGAATGCCATCTCATTCTGGTTAATCTCCTGCGTCGCAAGTCCGGATATTTTACTCCAGGCTCGTGCCGAGTAGTTTCGATCCTGCAAGTACTTCGAGGCAAGAATCAAAGCAGCTAAAAACATACGACGACCACACTGCAGAACCCTGCTCGCGTGGACATCATCGGGTTGTTCCATGGTAAAGTCATGCTTAGGGACATGGGGCTTAATCAGTATCAAATAATAGAGGGCGACTTGCAAAGTAGAATAGCTCGTACGAGACCGGCGCAGAGTTTCTTGGATGAAAGTGCGCAGAGGTAGCACGGCCTTGGGACCCATTTCCTGTCGATGGAAGACGGAAGATAGTGGCCAAATCGCTTCTACAATCTGGGTTGACGAATCTAAAGGAGTTGAGCTCGGATTATAGGGAACACGGGAATATTTCGTTATTGCTTACCGACGAGGCTATCGACAAAGTTCACCTTGCGATCACTTTGGCGAACCAGAGGCGGAGGGCATCCAGTCCTGGTAGACGCACTACTATTGGTGCGTCGTGGATTACGGCGAAGCTCTTGCGGAACTTCGGCCTGTTGCGGCTGTGTTGGCCAACAAGTGTTTAGTGAGATCTGGCTGCATGTAACATCAGATCTGGAGGGCCTAGACAGCCGTGCATAAGAATAAGAGGCGCACTGTTCTGACGAATCAGATGCGCAGGTGGAAATCGTAGTATCATCGGAGGATTGAGAAGATGCTTCGGACCAAACCGAGGCAGCGGAGGATGAGGCGGAAGAGGCTATAGAGGAATTGTATGGCCCATTTTGGGAGGAGTTAATAAAAGAAGGCAACGAATCGATGTCGTTGCACATCATCTTGAGAAGAGCAAGAGGTAAAAAGTCCTAAAACTAAACCTCCAGTCGTCTGTCAAGCAGAGTCAAACCGATTAGATCGATATACCGAGAGATGGATCGTGAAGTTCTTTTTTTAATCGACTGAGAGGTTTTACGATAGCAGCATCATATGGCTATCGCAAAACAGCAGATGAATCGAAAAAGAGATGGTTTCTAGACACGGGTGCCTCTAACCAGAGTTTCACGAACGATCAAACCGGAAGACAGAGCGGGACAGACGACTGGAGTAGTTGATATCGATTTCGCAACCTGCATCGTGCGTTTATTTGTTTCTACCAGGGAAACAAAGAATTGGGGGTTAGGACAGCAGTCGCACCAGCTAGATATGCATCAAGCTGGGCTTCTACTTAACCAAATGTATGGAAATCACGAGTCGATAAAAGTAGGAGTCGCGACTTGCAAGAGTTGGTAGTTGCGGGTTAGATCGGCTTGTCGAGGAATTAGATGATCGGGATATCGGGGGTTCGGCGCGAACGCGGTTGCGATTGCGATTTGGGGGTGGAAAGAAATGGCTGGCGTCGGATTGGCTGACGATGTTGTGTAAGAAATCGGTTTATGCAAGGTACGGCTGCAACCACTTTTTTTTTACTCTAGTACCGATAGAATATGCATGTGTTATACCGTTGATGTAGGACCAGAAGATACGAGAAAAGTAAAAAAGGGGATTTCACTATGGAAATCCTAGACCTTTTTAAATTGAAGTAATGAAGATATACCTGAGGCGAACAGGCGACGAGATTAATTGCACGGTACGGTACGTGTTTGATACGGTGGAGAGGAGAGGATAGAGAGAGGATGAGTCTTGAGTCGCGTGGTCGAAGCCGAAGAGTAAGAAATAGGACCAAGGAATAAAAGGCCAGGTGAAGGCAAGTACGATGGCGAAAGATAGCGACAGGGTGTACGGATGTATTTTAGTTAAGTGGCCTTTGACTTTTGGGTTGGTAATGTCAGGTACCTATTCGATGACTCTTTCTTTGGTGTGAGGTGGCGAAGACAGTCCGATCATTACCGCTAAGTGGGCTGTTTGTACAGGTGGTCTTTGCGCTGAACCTTCTGGGAACTGTGAACCGTAGAAAGCTTGGGATGCTGCGAACCTAGGTAATTCCTTTTAGGGGGTGGTCGGTGCGCTATAGCGTTTGAAGTACCTAAGTAACTTTTTCGGGCTTGCGAAGGCTGTTCTTTTTTTGGGGGGTGCTTAGGTGGCGCTGTACCGTGCTGGCTTTACACGGGGGCTGGTATGTCGAATTATGGTGTATGGCGTATGGCGTAAAAAGTCATAGACCGTATTAACTGCGGATCCGGGTGACTCCCAACCTGGAACTAGCACGTTGCAAAGGAATTGCAAGGGAAAAATGACGGTCACACGCGTGGAAGCCTGGGAATGGGTCCAGATCCAAATCCAAGCCGTGCGAGTGGCGATTTAATCCAAAGGAACAAAGGGCTGAGAGGAGATATTGGTGAGTAAGAGTTAAAAATGAAATAAAATATGAGTACAAATTAAGAGTGAAGTAATGTGTGAGTCGCCGGGGTATACGCAAACAGCAGTTTCTTTTCTTCTTTTTCCCTTTGAGTAATCTGGGGTGGCGTCCGTTGCTGTTGGTTCCAAAGTAAAAGTACTAGGTAGGTAGGTATTTTAGAAAGAAAGAGGAATGATAGTGGTGGTAATAGTAATAACAATTGTCGATGGACTGTAAGATGTCATTGGGACATAAAATTGGTGGATATGATTCGTTTCGTTGGGAGACCTTGTTTTTTAATTCTAATGGGGTATCGTATCGATGAATCGACTTTTATTTTTATTTTGTTTTGAGATGTCCTCTTTTTTTCAAGTCTCGGAGAGTGCAAGTCAATGCCACTGCGGAACAAGTAGAGGTGATCAAGAATAAGAATGCACAATCGAAGAGAGGAGATCGGGTATGGAGAAGAATTGGAGGATCTCGGAGAGCAATGAACAAAATTTGTAAATTTGATGCTATGCGCTCAAGTATCGCTCTCTATGGTATTAGAGCAGACTTTCAAGAAAGTCGCCTTATCGTCGTTTAGATCTTTAAATCGAACATTGCGGCGGCTTTGTTCGATGGGAGGAGAGAGAAACGGGAGAGGACAGCCGACGCATGGGGCACCGGCGAGTTTTGAATAACAGGAACTGAAAGATTCGACAGTCAATTGGGGGGGGGGATACAGGATACAGGATGCGTAGGATAATGCATGTACAATTACGGTCAAGAGGATGGGGGAAATCAAAACTACGAGCAATGAACGACGACTCCGAACAGACTACACACCCTTGCAACAAAAAGAGAACGACCAATAAAACGTTAACACTTCAGCGCCAGCCAGCCAAAATTATGTGGGACCATGGTGTGTCGACAACAGATGGTCTTGCAATAATAAAGGGGGTCCTAGTTTGGTACTAAAGCGATTATTTTACAGTCTAATTGGTTCAAACGAGTTTGAAATGATTATTTGGAGTATTAACGAGCCACTCAATGACGAGGCTGGGGGGTTTCGAAGGGCACCCTCCCCTGTAAATGTACGAACACTATATCCAATGAGGAATGGTGGTCATGTTATAAAATCACTCTCATTGGTCCAATTAAAACCTCATGTGGGAAGCTGCAGATAATCAAATTACCCTTGTAAAATGGATGAACATGATGCATCATGTACTAGGTATTATTATTATGTACTCTTAGTACCAAGTACCTATTTATGATACCCCACCAATGTGGTTTAGTGTGCATGCAACTTGTAAGTAGCCATTGCGACCTAAGCTATTCAAGGCCAACTAGAAAACTTGAAAGAACAACCTTGGACATTCAATCCAATCAATCTTTATCGAAGTGGGAATGATGGCAACTTTGAGAAAGAGTCATCACCTCCAACTCTATATCCAGTTATCCAACCATGTCCTCCATCATCTACACCCCCCCGGTTTTCTCCTCCTCCTATCCCTCATTCCCTATTATTTCATCCCGCCACAAACTTGCGGGCATGATGTCCTTCGCCCAACCAACAATCAAATCAAGCAGACAGGCAGATCAAGCATTATTTGCGTGATGTTGTTGTTTATTAGATGGGCGGCCACATATAATCAAGCCTGGTAACGAGAAGAATTGGCCGGGCTGGCTAGTTGCCTGACTGCCTGCTACCATGAATTATACTTCATTGGCAAAAAGGAAGAAATAGGAGAAAAGAAATAGAATAACTCGTTGATATTGCTGCTTGTTCTGCCGCCGTGTACATACATGCATCGCTTCATCGCTTGCATGTACGAGCGTTCCATGTATGAATTCGAGGTTTGCTTGGAGCAGCCGGGCAGCCTAGATCATACATACCTACCTACATACGTTGCCACCAAAGGGCGGCGGCAGCGGCAGCGGCAGCAACAGCAGCAGTAGCAACATTGGCAGTGACTTGGTGTAACGCCCGCCTTGCAAATAGTGAAATTTTTGTATGTTTGGGGTCAAGCCGACATGACCTACACGAGATGGCGGGGACTCAGATTTGCGATTTGCAACGAACCCATACGAAAGATGGTCTGGTCTAGACAACACCTAAAGCATCGATCCTTCGAGAAGCTTCAACACGATCAACATTTATCCACCGACGACTTACATCACGATATTTCAGTTCAGAGATATCCGTCACGAGATTTTCGTATTACAATACGTTATCAGTGGCATTTCTAGTGTGGTCACCTACAGAGACAAGGTCGGACCCGCGTCTCCCCTCCCTGCGGTTCTGGGGTTACTAGGTACTTACCAAGGGAAGAAACAGTCACACACCACCCTTAAGACATCGGCCGTAGATCATGACTGTTGTCAGCCTACCTAGATTAATCGGTTCTTTGCCTCAGGCTCATATCCTTTCGAGATCAAGTGCTATTTTCGTCTTGATCTGGCAGCCCCGGAGCCTCGTTTCTTCAGGTTGAATAGAATCGGCCTAGACTCGAGTTATCTCAGATTCAGGTACAAGGCTTTCTTCCCTTCGCAGCCCTAAGTAGCCCTGAGTCGAGGCTGGGGTGAATTCACTGCCGTAAATCGGAGCATATCTCCATTGCTGGCTTGCCACGGTCAACCTGCACGAACTTGTAGGCATTGTGTAGAATCTCATTACTTGTTTCGGATAGGAGTCACCCGTATCCGCCTTTTGTGACTTCGCAGTAGGCCACATTGTTTGAACTACATACGGATCGGCCCACATATCGAGCCAAGATCCTGCGTCGGGCGAAGCTTAGGCAAGCCTCTTCGTTGCCTTACAATAAAACTTGCAAATGCTGAATGAGATCAGCCACCACCTATTTGGGTACTCACGACGGCGAGGTTTGATCGATCTTTTTGTAAAGACAATAATTATTATAAAAACAGTGCGAGTGCGATACATAGGTACTCTCGGCAATCATGATAAGTTTGCACATATCCATCCAATAAAAACATCATGATGACAACCAATGAGATCGATCTCATATGAGCTAACTTCTATAGTGCATACATTCTTCATATAAAGAATTTTCTATAATTCGAAAGTGGTGGTACATTATCACAAGATGATCAAACTTCGACGAGGAAGACCAGACAAGCCCGAGCCCAGGTGATCAATCCATAATGATTCATCTTCATTAAGATGCTTTGCAAACTTCGCTTTGCTGAACTCGTGGTTCGCTGGTTGACTTGTCCCCTCAAGAGACTATACTTACGTACTCAAATCACCCAGCGCATAATAACGCGTAGCTGGAGTTCGTCATGGCATGTTGTGGCTTTGATAAGCCTTTTGTCCGAGTAGCTGCTCATACCGGACGATCTTTCACCATTGGAATCGCGAGCATCACGGATTGAAGAATGACGTATGGGCTCAACGCCAATAACGCCTTGAACTCTACCATATATGAAGATTTATACTCTCTTCATAGGTACGTAGTTCATGAGTGCAATTATTATCCATCCCGTCTTGGCGTCAAA